AGGAGGTACTGAAGCAGCTGCGGCTACAGGTTTAATAGTGCAATATCTTCGCCTACAACTACGGCCTAATCCTCAATTTTTTGCTGACCATCCTTTTACTTTTATGCTTGTAAAGGAAAATGAAATTCTCTTTTGTGGAATATTTCAAGGATAAATTGATAAATAATTTGGAAGTAAACTTTATTTGAGTGTTGATTCTTGTTTGTATGGATTAAATTTTAGTAAATTTGAATAAAATAAGTGATCGAAGAGTTAGTCTACTAGCTTTGTTTTTCTTTAATTTTCCTTAATCTACTGTTTTATAAATGCTTTAATTGTTGCTTAAAGTTATGTTAGTGTCTCTAATCTTCTAAATTAATGTTAGCATATCTAAAATATTTTCATTATGTTAACAGTTGAATGAGGAGGGTACTGAAGCAGCTGCGGCTACAGGCATGGTAATAGTTCCTCTTAGTCTGCCACCTCCACCTCCAAAATTTATTGCTGATCATCCTTTTACCTTTATGCTTGTAAAGGAAAATGAAATTCTTTTTTGTGGAATATTCCAAGGATAGGTTTAAATAAAGGAAGATAATAAATAAAGAAAAATTAAATTTATTGTAAAATGATTTTATAAGAAAAAATCAGTTGGATTTATCAAAACCTATTGAATACAAAAATAATAAATGAGTTTTACTCTGTAAATATTTTTTCCGGTTAATGCCAGTTTTCCTAAATAACCTGACCATAAAAATTATTTCCTAAAAATGTTTTATAGTTTTGCTAAGTGAGAATGTATAATATTTTGTTTAGAATGTTTTTACTCTTTTCAGAAAAGTTATGTTTGGATAGTTTCTTTGTTGGCTTATCTGTCTCTATAAATGTTTTAAAAAGTTTTTGGGAATATTTGTAGTTAATTGTTTATTTAATGTTTAGATTATTTAATGTTAATGTCTGAATCTGTTGAGTGTTTTTTCAAGTCTGATAATTTTCTCTTTATTAATATGAAAAATCAAATAATTGAGTGTTTTAAATTTCTAAAAACATTTGCTAAAAACAGATGAATGAGGAAGGTACAGAGGCAGCTGCGGCCACAGCTATTGTTGCAGTCCCTGTAAGTTTAATTATTCGATCTCCGCCAACTCCAGAGTTTGTTGCTGATCACTCTTTCGCTTTTATGCTTGTTAACAAAGGAAATGAAGTTATCTTTTGTGGAATATTTATTGGATAGTTGATAAAAATGAATGGAGACTTTTTCATAAGAATGTAATTTAATATGTAATAATTTATAAGAGAATAATAATAAATTTTAGCGGGAATAGTTTCTAAAAATAATTTTATTTTAAATGTTAAAAACATTATTTAAAATGATACTCTTTTATAAATTTTTCTTTCAACAAACAATTTAATCATGTTTGTTCTGTTTACTTGAATGTTTACATGTTTATAATAATGGGTGAATGTTTACTAGAATGTCTTTTTGTTATAAGTTGTTTGAATATTTGCTTTTGTTAATGAATCAATATGTTTGAATTTCAAAAAATTTGATAAATGTTTTGATGTGTTTTAATTAGATTAATTGAAATATTTAAATTGATATTTAAATTAAATTAATAAAATATTTGCTATTAACAGCTAAATGAAGAAGGTACAGAGGCCGCTGCAGCTACAGATGTTATTATAAGTATTTTCAGACCAGGTGTGCCCCCACCTCTGCCTCCAAAATTTATTGCTGATAATCCTTTTACCTTTATGCTAGTCAAGAAAAATGAGTTTCTTTTTTGTGGAATATTTAAAGGATGAGATAAATTGGACAAATAAACTTTTAATTAAATTTACTAAAATACCTAATATAGAAAATTATTTTTGTTATAACGAAGAAAAATCTTTTTATTTAAAATAATAACGAAGAAAAAACTTTTTATTTAAAAATAATTTTAATAAATTATGTTTATTAAATTATATTATTAAATTATATGTTGCTATTTGCGCCTATATTTTGTGCTTTATTGCTAATTACAAACTTATTTTTAAAGAAAATTAAAATATAGCTTCACTAATTTCTTTGTTCGTTTTAGTTTTTAATAAAAATACAAATAAACTAATTATTAAATTAAATATAAAATTAGTTGAACGAAGAAGGAACTTTGGCAGCTGCAGCTACAGGGTTGGGAATAATGCCTACGAGTTGGCAACCTACACCTAAATTTTCTGCTAATCATCCTTTTGTCTTTATGCTTGTTAACAATGACAACGAAATTATTTTTTGTGGGGTATTTCTGGGATAGATTTTAATTTAAAGACGAAAAAGTTTTGTTGATGGATAGTTTTGAATAAATTTTAGTTTTTTATAAACTTTTGCATAGATTTTGAAATGTTTAATTTCAAATGTTTGCTTTTTAAATCAGTCATGTTAATGAATGTGTTTGATAGAAATCCAAAAAAGAAAGTTCAAATAATATTATTCTTTATGGAATTGTTGTATAGATTCAGAATGTTTAGTTTCCAACTGTTTGTTCTTTTTTTGAAATATGTTCTGAATATGTTTTTTACGATTTAATTTGTATTTTTAGAATAAAATACTAAACAAAATACTTACAATTTGTTTTATTAAGTTTATTATTGTATTGTTGTTATCTTTTATGTTTGCTTAAATAGTTTACCCAAAGCTTAATAAGTTCCATTAAAATAATAGGCACAAAAAATTAACGAAATAATTAATTAGGTTAATGAAGAAGGTACAGAAGCAGCTGCAGCTACAGCAATTGTTGCAACATTTAGAAGTTTACCGCCACCAACTCCAAAATTCACTGCTGAACATCCTTTCGTTTTTATGCTTACCAACAAAGGAAATATTTTGTTTAGTGGGATATTTCAAGGATAAATATACATATTTCAAAGGAATTCATGGAATAATTTCAATTAAAATACCCGAATAAAAATTAGATTTTATAATTTAAAAAATACTGTTATTTTTCTGATCCTAACTCCGAAGTATTAAGCTTAAAATGTTTTAAAAACTAAAATTAATATATTTCCTGTTAGAACTTTCAGGAAAAGTTTCCATTCGAAGGTTGAATGTGGTAATATTCAATTTCGTCCCCCCCCCCTTTTTTTTTCATCATCAAAGTATTAAAAAATGGTTACTCTGACTTAAGTTATAGAACTCGTCGAGCTGAGTCGAATGACAACTAAATCAACGTAATCGGACGAGTTTTGACAAAGTTATGGCATTATTTAGACCTGCCGGAGTCGGCAACCTTATGTCATAACTTTGTCAAAACTCGTCTGATTACGTTGATTTCGGTGTCATTCGACTCAGCTCGACGAGTTCTATAACTTAAGTCAGACTGACCATTTTTAAATACTTTGATGATGAAAAAAAGGGGGGGAACGAAATTGAATATTACCTTGAATGTTTATGAACAAAGTATTTTAATGCATTTGATTTTTTTAATTGAAAAATTATTATTTTTATTGAAAATTTTTGTTTACGAATGTGCTTCTTATTGAGTTTGTTTATTTAAATTATTGCAGAAAGCTTTAGAGATATGAATTTAATTAAACCTTAAATCAACAGGTAAATGAAGAAGGTACAGAAGCAGCAGCAGCTTCAGGGATAGTAATGACAAAAAAGAGTTCATCAACTCCTAAACCAAAATTTATTGCTGACCAGCCATTTATTATGTGTATCAACAAAGGAAGCGAATTAATTTTTATAGGAATTTTTCATGGATAAATGTAAAAAATAAAAAGTAATTTTTATTGTATATTTATTTCACTGGATAAAAAATAATTTAAATAAATTATTTAAATAATTAAAATTATTTTTGAATAAATTATTAAAATTTATTTTTCTCGAAAATTAGATGACCGAAATTTTATATAATAAAATCTGACTAATTTTAACTTAAATGTTGAGCGGTATTTCTAGTTATTTCGTTTGTTTAATTATTTTTGTTTAAATTAACTTGTTAAAGTCGGATATTAAACCTAAAATTGGGGCCTAAATAATTGTTAGTCTAAGTAAAATTGAGATAGTATACTAATAAAAAAAATTGCTTAATTCAATTCTAGAAGACGAAAAATACAATGCATAAAGTGATTTTAATTCAATTTTTGTGTTTGATAATTTTTTGCGATTTTTTCGATCAATTTTGCGGATTTATAAAAATTCGAGATCGAAACCCTGAAGTAATATGTATTTATTTTGATAATAATTTACAAATTTAAAAGGCTTTCTATGCCATTTCCCGTGTTTTGTGGAAGTTTATCTTGGTTTTATTCATAATATTTATGGATATGTTTTTTATCGAATTCTTTGATGGAATGAAGTTCTTAGCTTTTAACAAATTATTTTAATTGCTAGATACCTTTTTAATTGAAAAAATAATTCTTGTTTTTAAAATCTCTGGAGTTTTCATTCTTTTTCTAATCCCAAAAGTATAATTAATATTTTTAAAATTAATTGGTCAGATGTTAGTTTCGAAATAAAATTGCACTTTTTGTTTATTTATTATTTAATTTTTACACTTTTCTTCTATGTATTATTATAATTTATTATTTAAAAACATAAGTATTAATTTACATTTTATATTGTCGGTTAATTAAATTTCTTAGAATTATTTCTTTATATTAATGTAAACACAACAATTAGCCTTACGTTATTAATTTAATTATAGACAGGTGAATTATATCTAATTATTTAACGACACATTTTATTAGTGTTAAGAGTTTTTTGTTTATATAAAGTTTGGCAGTATCGTAATTTTAAAGCTATTAACAGATACAATTAAGTGATATAAAGGAACCAATCCTAGTTCAACATAAGAAAAAAATGGAATTATATTTATTTAATCAAAATGAATATGAGCGTCTTTACAATTGTAGTATTTATAATATTGACCAAATTCCCCTGGAAGAACGTCAACATAAAATACTTGCAATTTTCTTTATTATTTTGTCTACAATATATGTAGTAAGCAAATAATTAAAGTAGGGTAGCAACGCGACCGCCGAAACTCCCGACCCCGATAGATTTTTTGGCAAAAACCCCGACCCGAACCCCGACATGCCATCCCCGACACACTCCGATCCCCGACACACCCGCCCCCGAAGAGTCGGGTTGCTACCCTTAATTGAAGTAATGAAGAAATATAGGTAATATATAGGTAACATGAAGAAATAATTGAAGAAATAAATTTAGGGAATAGATAGATCAGAATAAATCTTATAAATATAGACTAACGAAACAAGTTTTGATTTAAGAAAACTTAAACTGAGATAGAAAAGTATTAATTAGATAAAGTCGGACATACTTAGCCTTGAGTTTCTGGTTTCAAGAACAGTGTAATATCTAGGCCCAATAAGTTCCAACAGTATTTCAACTATAGTTTGTTTACAATAAATTGGGGTTCAAATACTTATTAAATAGATTCTCTATATTCCTTGTATGTATTCGATTTGGAAGCGTATGGCAAACAGTAACTGTTATAAAATAATGTTCGTTATTGGAGTTGTCGATATGCTAGCAATATTATGTTGTGGATTCTTAACTGGATATTTGGGATATTTTGGATATGTTTTTTGTTCTTCCCCAAAATTTATTTATTTTGCTGGGGCCTACGGATTTTGTTTGTATTTTTTAATGATTCCATATATTCGTTAATTAATAGTTTGTTGGTCTACTGAATCTACAATAGAGGGGATTTTAGCTATTAATCGTTGCGTTGAAATATGGTCTTCTGAATATGCAATGAAACTTTTTGGCGGTTGGAATTAATCCATCTTTAGCGTTAACTTTAGCTTTATTTTTTAAAAGGCAAAAAATTGTTTATTTGGCTGGGCATTCCCTTTCTATACGGCCTAGCAGTATTTGTATGGTCAAAGCCAATTACATTCAGTGGCATTTACTTTAGCTGGTTCTTCAATCCTCACATTGGATATATTGATGACGTTAATCAAGTATTTGTTTCTTAATATCTTTAAAATATTTAATCTTCTAAAAGGAATATGAGAACACCTTTCATTCAATTCACAATTTATCAGTCGTATTTTTTCTGTTAATTACTTACTTAACATTTTGTATAATTTTTGTGATAAAATCCAAACAAGGAGGTTTTCAATCACATCAACAAAGCTATTCTGAAAAAATGGTTTTTTTACTAAAATATTGTTATAAACCCTAAATTATAGATTTTTTTCCAAATCATTTTGATAAGCTTGTTTAATAGTGTCGCTGCTTCGATTTATGTTTTTATGCAATACATCCATGTCAATGACTTAATTATTATAATTGGTCAGATTTGTTGGTTAAATGCACACGGTGACAATCATTGATAATATTAATTTTTTAAATTTAAATGATCAAAAAATGATCCTGGGTCCTCTCAATGCCATATCAAAGTCCTTTAAATATATACTTTCAGATTTAATTTATTATAATTTTTTCATTTTAATTAATAAGGGATTATAATTATGAATCGGAAGACCCTTAAAGTGTTAAATATGGCAGCCCTATAATCTAAAAATTATTTAGGAATACCTCCTGTCATTTATTTAACAATGAACAAGTCGATTCAACGCGATTGTTTTGGAATACTAAAAAAGTTTGGCAGTACTACATTAAAATTTTACAAAAATCTACACTCAAATTCAATACAACCTTTTATTTTTAATTTAAATTTTGTAAGGGAAGATAATCAAGTAAATGTACAAAATCAACAAATCAATCAGAATTGAATTTTCTAAACTCTTTATTGTAATATAATAGTATATTATTTCTTTTACCTCAAAAAAATCTTTTAACTCAAATTTACAGTCCCATCAAAATTTATTCAGAATATCAAAAATTTCTATTCAAATTTAATTCAAAATTAATATTCAATTAATATAAGATTTATTTCTCTTATGACAACTTAGTTAATAATAAATAATCTAATGTTGCTGATTATTGCACCACTATATACAATTTATTTCTCTTATGACAACTTAGTAAAATATTTTTTAAAGTGAAGCAAACGTAAGGAATTAAAATATATTTTTCTAAAAATATAAATATATAAGCATTTAAATCTGAGTATCAATAAGAATCTAATAATTTTTATATCCCAAATTGTTCCACACATTTTTCTAAAATCATTTCCGCAATAGCAAGTGAACTAGTTGCAGCAGGGCTCGGCGCTGAAATTTTTATTTTTCAAAAATTCCAAAAAAAACTTTACCATTTCTAACATGTATTATTCGAGAAGAGAGAGGGCCTTTACCACTGTCATAAACAAACTCATCAACTAAATTGCCTTTAATGTCTAAGGCTTGAGCACGGACACCTGTACGGCCTCTATAAAATTTTCTTTTAATTTTTAAAATTAAAAAAGATTTTTCAAAAATATTTTTTGGAAAATTGGGTATTGTGACTTATAGGGTTTTTTTTTGGCGTACCGATTTGGACAAATGAGGTGTCATTCGAAAGAGCTCGCCGAGTCGAGTCGATTGCGGGGCGAGCCAAGGCGATCCGACAATCAGGGACCGAGATACAGACCCCTAAAGTTTGAAAAAGAGAAGGGGGAGGGAGTAAGCTCATCTTCGGCTTGTGTTTGGCCGTGTCATGTTTTCTCTTTAATTAATATTTTGAAGGTTGTCTGCAACTGATGCTAGACATGTTTATATAAAATAAAGGTCATAAAGAATAATATAAATAAGCATGCAAAATTGAATTTAAATATTCGCCAAATGAACACTAATCCTGAGGAAAATCCGATCATAACGCTATCAAGTGAAACTGAATTTTTCTTTTGATGTGTTGTTTTCACCCCAAAATGAGCCTTCTCTTTTTAAAACTTTAAGGGTCTGTATCTCGGTCCCTGGTTGTCGGATCGACTTGGCTCGCCCCGCGATCGACTCAGCTCGGCGAGCTCTTTCTAATGATACCTCAATTGTCCAAATCGGTACAGCCACAAAAAAACCCTAAAGTCACAACATTCGGAAAATTTTCTCAGAAATTTCAATGTTGAAATCTCAAAATATTCAAATTTCCAAAAAAATTTTAAGGAAAAATTCCTCACATTTCAACATCATTAGACGTCAATTCAGGAATATATTGCTGAAGAAGTTTAATTTGAGCGGGAATATAAAATGACCTAGTTAATTCTCCAAAACCATAACAAGCATATTTAAAAATTAATTTTTGTGTTCCTCTTTAATTAAAAATTATTTTTTCTTTTTAATTTTTAACTTTTACCTATATTTAATAGAATCTATAAAATCTTTAGCCGAAAAGTCTAATTTATTATATCCTTCACGACTTAAAGCCATGACTGCATTTGGACCAAGTATAACATCACCGTAAATTGTTGGAGTAAAATGAACTCCCAAAAAAGGAAATCGAGGGTCGGGAACCTAAAAAATATAAATTTTTATTTAAATCTTTCAATAATAAAATTAAAAATAATTAAAGGATTTTTGTTCAAAAGCTTCTTTTTATTGTACCATCTTGTAGAGCAGGGTCGATTTCCTATTGCCAATTTTTCTTTCTCGGCCCTACACCCCAAAATCGAAAAGTTATAGGACTTCAAAGTTTTCGACTTTTGGAGCAGTCGAATCTTTGAAGCCTTTAACTTTCCGATTTGGGGGTCCCGCAAATAGCTAGTGAACTTGTTGCAGCAGGTCTTGGCGACTAAATGCCATGACTGCATTCTTTTTATATGAATATTGGTCCAAAAATGTCCTGATATACGGAATTTTCAGTTCATATCAGGATAACCGAAGATTCAAAATTTTTTTCCCTAACAAATTTTTTTGGTAGGGCCGAAAAAGAAAAAAAATGGCAATAAGAAATCGACCCTGCTCTACACTATGGTATAAAAATGATCAAGAAATTTTTGTTGACAGTTCGATATAGTTCCTTGTAAACGAAAAATAATTTTGATTTAAAGCTACTCAAAACTAGAGATCGGACCGTACCGTACTACGGCCGTATTTTTCGGTATTTATCGGCATTCCGTATCGGTTGTAAGGTACGGAAAAATTTTGAAAAAAAAATACGGTACGGAATACGGTACCGATGAAAAACATCGGTATTTGTCGGTATTTCTCGGTATTACAGTCGGTAATACGGTACGGAATACGGTACGGAACAAAATTCCGATCTCTACTCAAAACCACTCAAACTTCCCAAAATTTCAAAAAATCTAACCGGATAAATATTTGCTTGTTTAACTAAATAACGCTTTTCAGGCTTTAATTTTAGATATTCTCCACGGAAAGGAATTATTTTTGGGAGCTCTGAACCTCCAGAAAGTTGAGCAATTCGATCAGAGTAGAGACCAGCACAAGTTATTACATAACTGGCAAAAATCTTTAAAATAGAAAAGTACAGATAAAATTACTCAGCAAAAAGTATTTGGGAGAGAAAAGTTTGTTGGATATTGATCCAAAAATGGCCGGACATACGGAATTTTAAGTTCAAATCAGGCAAGGGCGTAGCCAGGAGGGCTGCGACCCCCCCCCCTCGAAATGGGAGAAAAATTAGGAGAAGAATTAGAAAAACTCAATTTATTTCGCCTATAATCTTCAACTTTAAAAAAATTTTCGTCTGCGGCGCTAGAACAACAAAAAGATTTAAAATGAACAACTTTATTCAACAGTAATGAGCAGTGCTTCGAAGCTCGTACCAAAATTCGTACTCGTACCTGGTACGAAGTACGAGTACGAGCAAATTTGAAATTTCGAAGCACTGGTAGTGAGAATGTGCATTAATAGCTAATTGCGGAAACTGGAAGAGCAGAAAGTAATTGAAGTAGCCGTACTACATTATGAAATTGATGTATCAATTCGGCGCCATCTTGTTTCAAAAACTGGGTAGAATAGGGTTTGTTCGCGCAATTCCACGTTGAACACTTTTATTTCCAAAGAGTATTCTCAGCAGTGAATTCGTTTATAGAATTCGCAGGGTGAAACGGACCATATCCAGCAAAGGCATCTCCAAACAAAGTAACATCTGTTTGTACTGAAACAATAATAATCCTTTCAATCAAATCTTGTTAACTTACTAATTCTGTAAGGAAGCAAGTCTTGAAGCTTGCAAATTAAGTGTTAGTCATTGCCAAATCTTATTCGTAACTGATCATAAAGAATATTGCAAAATTCAAAGAATTGCTTTCTTAGAGTTTCTCTAGAATTTTGTTCTGGTTGGCAATCAGCATGGGCTAAAAAACGAGTTTTTGAGCAATTTAGCATCATCTCTAAACATGATTTCAAAAGCACCTCCATCATTTGATAATTTTTATGACATCAGATATAGTGACTATGCCGCATGATTACGCCATAATTCCAAGGCATCTTTGAAATTTCTATTGGGTTCTAAAACCCATCGTTTTGCAGTTTCGTGACGTCCTAAAATAATGTAGCATAGCTATATCAGATATACCAACCTTTTCCAATCTCCTTGCGTCCCCAATGAAACGCAACACAAATACGACAAAATAGACAACTTCTATATGCGAGTACGCCATTAATTCATTTTTAAGCCAGGATTGTTGGAAAATCTATTCTGGCTTGCCTGGAACACTGGTGTTGCTGTATAATTACAAGAAGGTCCCCAACAATATAGCTCCTTTAGTTTTTCATTGTCATCCAACGGTCCCGATTTTCCGACAAACAATCCTGTTTGATAATAATTGTGATAATTATAGATAATTCTGTAAAAAACCAATATCATTCTGATCTAAGGGTTGGTTACAGTATATTTTTGGTAGTCGTCCCGGAATTTTTAATGACTGCTCTTCTGAAATTTCTTCTTGATCTGAATTATCGCTTAGATATATTCCTTCAAGTTCATCCTCTATCTCAATAAAACTTTGATTTTCATCTTGACGAGAAGTTGTTGGCGGACATTTGAAGAAAGATCTAATATCTCCTTGTTTCATTTCGTACAAAAATTATTCGTTTACTTATTTTAAAAATCTTATATAATGGAATAAGGAAAAATAAAATGATCTTAAATTTCGAAGAGCAAAAAATAAAACGCTAATTTAAAATGAATAGAGCAAAACGATGAAAGCACCTCTGACATTTAGCTTTTTTGCAGGTGCTAAATGTAAAATAGTTGTCCTTTTGCATAAAGAAAAGACATTTAAAAATGTGAATTAAACTACAACTTTAAAGATCAAAACAAAATATTATTTACAAAAAAGGCGATTTTTAATTAAAAATGTTAAATTGACATAATCCTCCCCCGAAATCCGACCCCTGGCTACGCCATTGAAATCAGAATACCTGAAGATTCCCAGGATCAGCCAACTCTCTTGTGAAAGTTAATTCAGAAATATTTCATGGAGGAGGTTTTTATTTAGAATTTTTTTCACGAGAGGGTTGGCTTCGGATTAATTCCAACAAACTTAATTTTCTCTCTAATACTTTTGAAAAATTCAGGAGTATCCCTAACAAATTTTTCCAAAAAATTTAAAAACCTCTTTTCCTTTAGAATCAATTAATTTAATTGGAGTTTGTGGATCATTCGATTCCTCAATTTTATTTAAAGTCCATCCAAGTTCAATATCCCCGCCCATTTGTTTAAAATCTCTAAAAATAATTTTAAAGTTTCAAAAATATTTTTCGATTTACTCTGCCATTTTTAAAGTGACTACGGCCCAATCAACAATTCCTGTATGGGGAGACCAGATGGCTTTTATACCCTAAAAATATGTAAAAAAATTTTGATTGATTTAATAAAAATTCAAATTTTTTGTCAAAAAAATTTTTTAATTTTAATTACAAGTCTACCCGAGATTGTAAAATAATTTTAAATTTTAACTGGCCATAACTTTTTTTAAAATTTTTTGCAAGAAAACGGATAGCACTTTGCAATAGTAGGTCGGGGGTCCTCTATCGAATGGTACCAAAAAATACAGAATTCGTGGTCACAGAAAAGAATGGTTCCTTCTCAGAAAAATTTTTTTTTAATTTTCGAAATCGAAAAAAATTCGAGGATTTTTGGGAATTTTTTCAAAAATTCTTGCTGAATTTCTCCTAATTAAATCTCTAAAAATCTAACACAAAACTTTAGTAAATAAAACAAATTCACCCCCTTAAAATTAAATATTTGACCCGAAACGACATTTGATCCCAAAAACTTTTTAAAATATTTTTTTTAATAATTCAAAATAACCAGGGAGCTTACACAATTTGAAATTTAAAAGAAAATAAAACCAAAATTAAAAAATTAAAAAAAATATTAAACCTGACAATGAGGCTCAATTTCTCGTATCCTGGCAGCATCTACAACAGAAATATCCCGACAATTATTTTTTTGTGAACGATCGAAAAGATTCTAATAAGAAAAAAATAATGATTGGAAGAGTAAAAAATAATTTAATTTTTAAATTAAAAATTCTAGGAAATTTATTGAAAACTTTTTAATTACAAATAAATTCAGAATTAAAATTTAAAAAACTAAAAAGAATTTTTTCTCAAAAAAATGAATAAAATTTTTTGATCACAAAATTTTTATAAAAATTTTGACAAAACAAATTTTGAAAATCATTAGAATTGTTAAGTTAAAAAATTTCTTAGACACAATTTTTAATCCAAAAAATAATTTAAATTTTTCCAAAAATTTTTTTTTATCAAATTTTAAGAATTTTTATCCTCTAAAAACCCCAAAAATTTTACTAAAAAATTTTTCAAAAATTTCTTCATTCTCTCAAAAATTCCCCAAAAAAATTAACAAAAAAACAACCTCAAGTCCTCCAATTTCCCCCTCATTTAAAGCAACAATCAACTTTCCACATTTTTTGTAGGGAATTGATTTTTCGTCACAAAATTTATAAGCCATGTCGATGCCTCAAAAATTCTAAGTTTATTTTCCTTTAAAATTTAATTTTAAAATTGGAAACCTTTGACACATAGGCGTGCTTTAAGGCTTCCAGGGACATAATAAATGCCTGAATGTAAAACACCGCTATTGTGACCGCTTTGGTGGGCAGCTAAAATTTATATAAAAAATTGGAGGAAAGTAGAGAAAATAATTTTGCGGATTATTGAAAAAATCCGCAAAAATTGTCCGCAAAAAATTCAGGAAATCCGCAAAAATAATTTGCAGATTATTGAAAAACCCGCATAAAAATTGCGGATTCCCAAAAAAAATTGTCCGAAAAATCCGAAAAATCCGCAAAAATTTTTTTGCGGATTATGCAAAAATCCGAACAAAATTTTGTGGACTATCAAAAAATTGTCCGCAAAAATACCGTTTTTGCTGAAAAAATTTACCAAGTTTTGCTTCCTTTTCCACCAAAACTGCTCGTAAATTTGGTTTACTCAATTTTAATTGTCTTGCTTAAACAATTAAAAATAAAAAATAAAATCCAAAAAATCTATCAACCAGTAGCACACCCAACAATTCCCCCACCAACAATGGCTACATCATAAACATTTTTTGCTGTAGAGTTTAATTTTGGGGAGAAAAACATTTTAATTAGTTTAATATGAAAATTTTAAAAGTCTAGAATTGTAGAAATTTTTTAATTAAAAAAAATTTTTTTATCAAAATTTTAAAAGGGGCTACGACTTTTCGTCAACGGACTTTCCGTCAATGGACTTTCCGTCAATACTTTTCGTCAATGGACGGACTTTTCATCAATAAATGATCGCTTTTAAAAAATTTAGGAAATTAATCGGCATGTTCAAAGCCACAAATAACTAAATTATGTGCCCAATTTTGTTTAAGATTCCTTATTTCTTTAAATACTCTCGAATAACCTATGGGGCGTCGCCGAGGCGCTTGTGCAAAACCCCGCGCTTCGCGCGGGGTTTTGCGGCACGCGCCTCGCGGGGAGTCAAAGGTCGCTGGGTTCTACACCAGTAACATAAACCTATTCATTTTTATCGATTTTCAACCTTGAAAAGACTACCTATCCTTCGTAGTGACACAATTGCTTATAACTTTGTTCAGGATTATCAAATAAGTCTAATTTTCAATCTGACAACACTTCTACATACATGTTATCATCTTCTATTTCTCTCAAAATTAAAAAAACATCCACTCATTGACGAAAAGTCGTTGATGGAAAGTCCATTGACGGAAAGCCCGTTGACGAAAATTCGTGCCACCTTTTAAAATCCATGTACAAAATGCCAAAAATACAAAATGCCAAACTGTAATAAATGGGAAAAACGGTGGCGCGACATTTTGGGAACAGACATTTGTGAACACGACAATTAGGGACCCGAAGTTGAAAATTTTAAAGTCTAGAAAGAAACTTAGGTGTCGAGTACCCAATTGTAGGGTCCTCAAAAGTCGTATCCCAAAGATCGTGTAGCCGGGAAAACAGGCTATGATCAGTGTCAAGATAGCTCGTACGAAATTTATAATCGTAATCGAAAAAATAGAAAGTTATGAAGCCAAATACCTAAGTATGGGGGTGGTACGTGTACTGTAAAGCATATAATTATTAATTTCCTAAGGCTGAGCAGTAGGCGGCGTGGTGTAATGGCTAACACATAAGTCCGGTCTACTGAAGATGCTGGTTCGCTCCCAGCCGCCGATTAACCTTTTGCACTAGCTAAAGGAGAGAAATAGCTATAGCCCAGCTGCTTTACTGTACGAGAAAAAAATAGGCAGGTATGAGTAGGCAAATAAAACGGGCCAAGAACAAATACGAGAAAATTTAAATTTCCAAACACTGAATGTGATTTATTAATTTCGGTTCAAAATTAATAAATTACTTATAAAAAAAATAAAAATCAATGTTCGCACAAACATCTTTTTAACTCTTATCAATTAGTAAAATGTACTTTGAAATTTTGAGTACTCCCCATTCCGCCACACAAAGAATAAAAATATTTATTTTAAACAAAGTCAGACCTTATTTGTAAACTAAGGAAGATTCATAAGAGAAGATCTTAGAGATGTCCAAGACCGAAAATTTTCCCAGACTTAAGCCCATGATTAGACCCTAAGTCCAAGATTCTTGGTCTTGGATAAAGTTTTGGTCTTAGGGTATCGATAGAGATGATTACTGTATTTTTTTGTAGAATATTGCATTAAGTAGAAATTAAATTTTTCAGGGGTGCTTATACTTTTGTGACACACTATTTTCGAGAAAATTCAATTTTAAAATATTTAAATTGATAAAATTTTCTGAAACTTTATTTTTATTGATGCTTTGGATCGCTGCTAATGTAGGAAAAAATTATGTCAAATAATGCCTAGGGGTTATGTATTTTTACAAAAATTGTGGTGGTGGGGGGGGGGGGTGCTTATACTTTTGTGACAGAGTGTAATGTGAAGGAAATTATTGTTAATAAATTTATTTTTTAATTTAAATATCGATAAAAATAATTTTTGTTAAAATTAATTGATATCAATTCGATTTATTAGCATTTTAACAGCACTCAACGCCTTTCTTAAAGTCCAAATTATCATCCAAATTTGCATATCTTTGAACTATGTGTTTAACTTTTCTTTTTGGATGATCAGTATGGAAAAGAGGAAGAAATTTCGCATCTTAAAAATTATTGGTTAAATTTTGATTGTTTTTTGATGTTTCATCTTAAATAATGAACTAATAAATTGAAAGTTCCATCCGTTTTAAGTATAAGATGATTTTTACAGGGTGACAAAAAAGTAACCGGGCACTTTATTTTTGGCATAACTTTTTTCAAATTAAAGATAATTAGATCAAATATTGATGAAATTATAGAGAAATTATAGGATAATAAAATATAAAAATCTTTTAGAATTTTCCCTATTCTACTTTGAGATAAGGTTCAACGAATGTGAGAAAAATTATTGCTCCAGGTCGCACCTTTTTTTGAGATATTTTATCTATAACTTTAGAATAGATTGCAGGAATTACACAAAATTTTTGTGGCATCTAGAGCAGTCTTTTATCTATGGAAATCATAAAGCAAAAAATTTTTTAGATTAACGCCTAAAGAGATATTCGATTGCGCGTAACCCTCCCAAAATGAGAAAATCTCATTCCCCCCAAAACTGATTTACATCTACTCAGAGCCATCCATGTATGAGTTGGAATTTTTATCTTTCGGATTTGTCCGGTTCGCTAATGATCTTAATTAGATTCTGTTGAGATCATCCCGTTTGGACTTCTCCTTTCTGAGATACAGAAAATAAAATTTTAGGGGGAAAATTTTGATATGGTGTACCTAAAATTACATAACTTTCTTAATTCTTAATCAAAAATTTTTTAATTTTACTATATGATAGAGAAATAAATGGGCTACAAAATAAACTTGGAATTATCTAAAAATGAAATGAACAAAAAAAGTTATAAAGGATAGAAAAGTGCCCGGTTACTTTTTTGTCACCCTGTATTATTGAAAACGATAAGTGGGGGTAAACCAAAAATCCCGTGAGCGTATTATTTGTCTTACCATTGTTTATAACAAAACGTTGATATTCGCTGTTAACTCTAAGAATTCCAAAAACGCTTTGATCAAATCTGTGGCATGCTGCAATCAAAGTCCAATCAGAAGGACAATTCAACTTAGAATCATCTGGATCAATGCATTGTTTAGTTAATGCGCAGAGAAGTGCCCTATTAATATAGAAAAGGATTTCTGAGTAAGGATTGGTTATTTAATAAGCAGAACCTTTTATCCAATCTAAACCAACCTAATCTATATCTCTTAAAAAGATAAGACTGGATAATTAAGACATAATCTATAATGTGAAGGAAATTATATGGTAATTGACATATGTTTCAACTTAGGTAACAATAAGGTTCCACGAATAACCCTTTTGATTGATATCCGGGCTTGTAAGACTGAGAAAAGTCCTTATCCTTTTTATCTCTCAGTCGGTTGGTGTACTACTCTTTTTGTCCTCATCGGCTCACAATCTAATTTTTTCGATTAACGCAAAACAAACTTTTTTTTGAATCACATTTTTTAGATTAATCTTTTTTCATAAATTCAAACTTTATACCATTTAAGTATTTGTCTAGTATCCTCGCTTTTATGCATTATAATGAAGTTTGCTTCATACATGTCTTTATCCCATTCGTTATTTTCAATTTTAATCCAGTTAGTTAACAAAGGTAGGTATGTATATGTCCCTATAAAATTAAATAATATTCTTGCGTATCTAATTTTCACAGACTTGGATTTGTTGCAAATTGTATAGTATGCCATGCTGCTAAAAATTTGCAGTAGTGGACATAGCTATAAAGGCCCTTTGCTTCGTTTTGTTAAAGCTTAGTAAAATTTTTAAGTTTTCCTAGAATACAATTTTAGCCCCATTTCATAGCCGAATATGTCCTTTTTACAATGAAGTATGGTGTACCGACACTTGCGGAACGACATTTGCGGATCGACAGTTGCGGACCGACATATGCGGACTCGACATTTGCGGACCAGTTAATGATATAAAAAAATAAAGGATTTTAAAATTTTTTTGATTTACAAATATTTCTTTAGATCAGGTTGCGGGTCGAAAATTTCAGGGTACTGTGTCTGGCCGGTAAAAATGTTGAATCAGCCTAAAATTTTGGGAATAGAACCTTTTTCTTGTTCAAATTCGAAAATTTTCGAAGACACGAGCCCAAGGCGATCTCAATATTCAAGACGAAACTTTTTCAAGAGTCAAATGGTTTTATTTTCATGAAAAATTATTAAGTCCGCAAATGTCGGATCCGCTAATGTTAATCCGCATCTGTCGGTCCGCAAAAGTCGATCCGCTTCTGTCGGTCCGAAAATGTCGGGTCCGCTTATGTCGTTCCGCAAAATTCAGTCCGCAATTGTCGATCCGCAAATGTCGTTCCGCAAGTGTCGGGTAACCTGAAGTATAACCAAAGGGTCTTTATAGTCCAAATTAATAATCCAAATTCATAATCACGCGATATTTAATTAGAATTAATATTTTTGAAATATTATACGTCCAGGGAAAATTGTTCCAGATATTACATCCTTTTCAAAAGCCTCAAAAATAGGGTTGAACGAACTTGCATCATTAATTACTATAGAAGTGTCCATCCAAACAAATGTATCATATTTTGAATATATTTCCTTAAATTTATTTATTTTTAAATTTTATCAAAACTGCTATGATGTAAATCTTCCAGGCATAAACATTGAGATGATGAACGTCTTTTGGCATAAGGCTCCAATCAAATTTTTTCCATTCTAGTCCACAAACTTGATTTAATTCATCCATCTATTTAAATTGTAAATTATTACAGTAATAAGAGAATCAGATCGTTATTCCGAAAAAACATCGATTCTCGATAACCAAGATTTTTGTTCGAGATCTCGTCTCGGTCTGATATCCACATAATTATCAGAAAAGATATTACTTATTACTTTGTTTTTATCTTCACTAATCCCTCCAAGATCATAACCAATAATTTTCTGAGAACAGCCAAATTGTTTTTTCAAGCCATACAAAAGTTTACGCAATGTACCAAAATATTTTATATCTGCGGCTGTCACAATCGTAAAAAGATCGTTTCCGGGCTTTTTTACCTTTATTTAATTTAAAAGTTACTTTAATTATTAGATCATTTAAATATAAAACTATCACTATTACTCAACAAAATTTATGCAAATAAATTAACTGATATTTGTGCCTAACTAGCTAATGTCTTAAATAGAGTAAGTCGAGTACCGAGTAATTGGGAAAAAACCGAGCTCGAGTAATCCGAGTTTGAAGAACCCGAGTTCGAGCTCGAGCTCAACTTTTTAGGCCGAGTTCGAGTTCGAGTAGTCGAGTAATCGAGTATTTTTTATAAAACAGTATTTTAAAATAATTTCAATAAAAACAATACTTTTACTAAAGACTAAACATCCTCATTGCCGTGGTTTGAGCATTTATTGGCAGTAATGCGTTAGATCTTCATCCAAATCTCAGTTATTTTCGTTAATCCGTCTATATCCCTCTTAATCCGCAAAAATTCCATGATATGCAGACGATCAATGTTGAATCGGGCTCCGGGTTGAACATCAATGGATAATATTATTTCGGGAATTCGTGTAGATTAAGTGGATATCGAACGATAACAGATGAATGAGATGGATATCAAGGGATTAAGCGGGATTTAGGCCGATTATAGTGAGATTTGGGTGTATTAAAAGCAAAATCTTGGAAATTCGGGAGATTAATTGGGATATCGTCGGATTAGATATATTGCCGCAAGGTGATCATGAGGTAAGTTGCTCTATCCCTCTCTTTTCGCGCCGTTGGCTTAAATTTTGAGAATTTCTGAAGGTCAAGTAGGAACACCAATTCTCAGAAGGCCAGATCCCTCGCTATTCTTTTAGATCCCTTGAAATATCCGGATATCACTAAAATCCACTTAGCTTGATTGAATCCTCCGATATACATAAATCTTCCTTTTTCAGCGCCGCAGCCAAAAATTTCGAGAATTTTGGAAGGCCAGAGAGCAAAATTTCTTATTTTAGCGCCGCAGGCAAAAATTTTGAGAAATTTGGAAGACAATCACACTAGATTTCTTCCTTTTTCAGCGCCGCAGGCGAAAATTTTGAGAATTTTGGAAGATCCTTAAGCTAAAAATCTTCCTTTTTGCGCCGCAGATGGGGGCATAAATATACTCGGTTTTAACCGAGTACGTCGAGTAGGAAGTTTCCGAGCTCGAGTAATCCGAGTATTATGATCCCGAGTTCCGAGTCGAGTAATTACGCAAAAAACCCGAGCGGTCGAGTCGAGTAACTCGAACTCGCTCGAGCTCGACTTACTCTAGTCTTAAATAGGAATATTATTACAAAACCCAAAACCATTTTAACATTAAAGAAAATAATTTTTGATTTGTTTTCCGATTAAATTAAATAAAGATGTATTGAAATTTTGAACTATTTTTCGATCGACCTCTAGTGTGGGGGAGGGGATTATTTTAGAGGGGAGTTATTTTAGGGGAGGGGGTTATTTTAGAAAAATGCCGTACTTAACCTGAATTTTTTGATTAATTGTGTATTTATCACTAAGTTTATATTTGTTTATAACGGATACAAATGCGCAATCAAACTTTAGTCCACTTATAACATTCTCAGTCAAATTATTATTTGTTTTTACATTAAAAGAATAAGACATTTTCTCACCACAACATTCTGAACTCATTCTAGTTTCTGAGTTTTCGATACTAAAATTATTTGGTTATTTTAGCTAAAACTAATAGATTTAAGTTAGCCAGTCATAACCAGTGCTTCAAAATTTCAAATTTGCCCGTACACGTATCTCACATACACGTATCTCTTTTTGGCTTCGTAATACCACTCCGTACAATGTATGAAATACGAGTACGAATTTTGGTACACGTCGAAGGAGAACGATATGTTACTTGTCCCTAATACATACATAGCAAAGATGTCACGGGGTATTCGAAATATTATACCGGGAGTAGGGCCAAGATCTTAAAAAGATCGGAGTCGGAGCCACAAAATGCTTAATATTTCATTACTATTTGTTTGAACTTTATTCTTCGATTGACCTGATAAACCTTCATTTGACCCATAAATCTTGAATCTTTACTAAACTTTTAGGTAATACTAAACTTTCATTGGACTACTAAACTAGACCAGAGCCTAAATTTTTTCTAATAAAATTGCGGGTACCATTCATTGTGTGTTTGAATATTTCTAGAAAGTTTTTCAACTGATTGTACACGTTGGACAAGTGGCAAACGATTTAAATTAGCAATAAAAGCTAAATTTCTGTCTTTCAAATTGCACTCACAAAGGCAGAAAAATATTAAGAAAATTCCAGATTTTAATATCATAAGTCTGTTCGAAAAATATTTAACAATAATCTACTATAAAATTTACTTTTATGATTAGTTGATAGATTTGGAAATTCAAATATCGAAAAAGTTACAACTAAATCGTAATTGAAGGTGTGTTTTAATTTTGGTCGATTGCCTCTCACCCGATTTTCGATCCTGGTTCGGCTAATCGTTTGAAGCCAACTCTATTCTATTCTAATTTTTACCCCTATACTAAAATAGAAAAAACTACATGAAAATATAAATCTAAACTAAAATCTTTGGTAGTCTACTTCACAAAATTATAGCCCCACCTATATTTTTCTCGGTTTTAAAGTATAAAATTTATTCAAATTAAAAATTTAATTTAAATATTTTTTAAAATAAAATTTTCTAAATAAAAAATTTATTAAACAAAAATAAATAAAAAAATATTATTAAATGTATAGCTAAATTAATTTATCACAGCTCTTACAAAATGTGATTAATATACATAAAAATGTTTTCCAGCTAAGTAGAAAAATAATTTAAATAACGGAATGGTTGTTTTTTTATCCATATTCTAAAGTGATAAATTATTTTTTTTAGAAATTAATTAATATAATTAAATTAACAAAAATGAAATATTGTTGAAATTATTTATAGAAAAGAGTGTATTTAGTTTGTTAGAGGTTGATAATTCGAGATCGAGGCTCATCCTGAAAAGCATTCAAATTCAAGTTGAATGCCACAACAAATACAAAGCAAAAATCATTAAAACAAAAAAATTTCCTTCCTCTTTTTTCCAAGTCTTGAAATCCGCAATCATCAACGTCTCACATTCGTTATAATCAGAGTGTTCTAAGAAGTGTATGTACTTTTGGTGTATGTACTTTTGTTTATTTAGAATAAAATGAATATTCGAAGTTGAAAATGAGAAAAAGAAAAGATATAAAAATATGAATCTTGTAAAAATTTCTAATTTATAAAACACTAAGTAAATCTAAGATTTTTATCACAACCCCGTTTGATGGAAATTTATTTTGTATCCAATTTTTGACCTCTCTCAGGAGAGGGTAATTGATAGAGGTTATTTTAGGAAGGCTAATTATAACTAGTTTTTAAAAGGTAATTACTGTTTCAACCTTTCGCTGGAGGGGGTAACTAATAGAGGCGGGGTAATTATTTGAGGGAGGTTAATTAATAGAGTATATACGGTATGTCAAATTTTTTAAATTATTCCATCTATTCATTTCAATTCATAACCAAGAATTTAAAAACATTTAAGGAATTATAAAAATAAATTTTAAGGTTTCAAATAAAAATATAATTCAATTGTTGCTAAGCAGCAATTCTAGTAGACAAAAATTTGATATTAACAATTATTATCACGAATTATTTTTTATTAGCCTATACATAAATATTTAATTATAACATTAAAAAATTTTTTTATTAAATTATATATTCATCTAAAACATCTGCCTTTACCGAGAATTTTATTCAACCTTAATTTATTAAATTTTAAATTTCTTAAATTTAGTCAAAATTCTAACGATAATTTTGTCACATACAAGGAAAATTAAAATTTTAATTTAAATTCTTTATCTCATTTTTTATTTCTATTTAAAGAATGGGTAAAACACAAATCTAAATTTGAAATAATTAAAACTACAATTTTGGACATAATAGAAACTTAAATTTATTTAATGAAATACTTAATCCTTTCTATTTTTTGTATTTTTATTTAAAAACAATTTTGGAGTCCCACACAGAAATATAAATTTTAATGCTTATAAAAGCAAAAGAATAAGCGGAAAAAATAAAAATTAAAAGATTAATATTTTAAATTAAAATTTGACGAAAAATTTATTACCCAATTGCCCATTGAAAGACTCCAAAAGGCGAAATAAATTATCTAATGTACTAAGATGAAAAATGACAAGAAACTTCAGAAATTTTGGTCCTAACTGAAAAATATCTTTTAGTGAAAAATTATCAGACAAAGCTTTGATGATTATGAATATTGCTAAATTTATTCTCATCTATTTTTATTTACCCTCATGTACCTCACAAAGTCCTTCTAGCAATTCAACGGAAATCTCAAATATTTTTCTTATCAAAACACACGGTAAATTAAATAATTAAAACTAATACTATATTTGAATTTTCTGCTCGAATTTAAATTCGTGTGTTGAAGATTTTTAAAAGTACGTAGAAGAAGGGAATGTCCAAGCTACTAATATTTACATAAATTTTTAAGCGAGGATTTAAGATCTATCGAAAGCAAGGCCATCACTACATTTGCTTGGTTAGAAACGTTTGAGAACCTCAATCCTGACTGTTTATTCAAGACATGATTTCTCTGTATTAGTCTTAAGTAATAGCCCAGTGTGATCGAAATGTCTCGTAATAATAGCATAAATTGTTTTACTATCTTGATCACGCTTAACCATATTTGAAGGGAAATTTTAAACAAATTTTTTTAGATAATACATATAATTATTTAATTTTTCAGCCGTGTTAATGATATTTTCATGGCTATTATTTGCCCCTTTGGCTATATTATTTGCACGGTTCCAAAGGAATCCTTTGAAGCGTTTATTGGGTGAACAATTATGGTTTCAGGTTGGATTCAGTAAAAATGGAGTTTTAACTAAAAATTTTAAAAGATTCATCGGTTTCTTAACTCAGTTACTATTTTATGTACATTCCTTGCCATTATTTGCATTATTAGCGCTACTGGCGGAAAATGGGATGGACCTAAAATGGGAATTTCTGTAATTCTATAAGTTTTATTTAAAAAAAATTTTAAATTAAGATCAACTGGGGACAAGTACACGCTCTTGCAGGAACGATTGCTTCATTTTTGGCATTGTCCCAGTTGATTAGTGCCCTTTTCCGGTATAAATTATTAAATATGACAAGTCCATGTAATAGATTAGTCCCTGGAAAATCTATTTATTAACAATATATATTCATTAATATAAGTAGATAAAGAATAAGTGGTATATCAAGAGATTAAGGATTAGTGCCACCGATACTTTCTTACCAAATATATCCACTTACCGAGATTAAGAGTCCTGATTTTTTACCGACGCGATATCCCTTTATACCCTCCCAACCCCCCCCCCCTTCGATATCGTCTTAATCCGCGAGTTTCTTAGCACCCAAAATGACCCTAATCCATCAATACCCTAATCCATCATATAATGTTGTCAATATATGTTGATATAATCACTCAGTGTGATTCATCATAATGAATAATTGTCTGAATTTATCTAACGGAGGATTAATGAAGACTAATTTTGTTATTTACTTTTGTAATCTCTCCGAAGAGAATGAATTTAGATTTATTTATTCTTATTAATTTGCCAAAGCATATAATGACTTCATTTAAATTCAGGTGTCATCCAGATTCGAATAGCCGAATAATATTCAATGTCATTCATAGACTTGGAGGCTTCTGTGCATGGATATTTGCTTGTAAATTACTCCCCTCTAATCTAAATAAAATAAAAAATTATTTTAGTGGCAGCTTTAACAATTGCCTGTACAAATTTCCAAATCTTTGCCAATACTTCTGCAGCAGCTTTTCTCATTTTTAGTTTTTTATTTTTTGTTCTAATATGTTTGGCAGTCATGCAAATCTTGGCATGTAGTAAATCAGAACTTCAAACAGTGGTAATAATTCATGTGTACATATTATATCAACCCAGTTGATTAATCCACGATTAAAACACTAACACTATTTAATACTAACATTAATTAAATAATTACGGATAGAGGTGTTATACATAGCTGTTATTATTTCAATTCTAAAATAATACTATCCGAATTTATTTTTACAATTTCAGTGTTGGATTGATCAAAGCTCTCTGTTTGTTATTGCTTTTGTTATTTTTATTGCCATTACTTTTGGTATTGCCTTTTTGGTTATTTTTGCGTGAAAAATGAGGGGCTTTTATAAATAATGATTATCCAACTAGAGAAAGATGTTTCATAAATTTTATTTTTTTTTAATTTTTTGTATTTCTTGTTTTGCTAAACATTTTTATGATTTTCATAATTACAGAAACCCGTTTATTACAGAAACCCCATTAAACAATAATTACCCTGGGTAATTAATACAGGTTCTATGGTAACTTGTTCTGTCCACTTTCCATTTTCGATTATCTGGACAATCAAAAACAATGAAAATATACATACAATGTATTTGTTTCTCTAAATTAATTAAAATAAAAATAAATTTTGACAAATATTGAGAAACATTTTTTGAAATTAAAAGTGCAATATTGACAAATAAATTATTAAAGTGCATTCTCATATTAGATTTGCACTTTTCTCAGACAAAATTTATTTTTATTTTTAAATTTTGAAATTTATTAAATTATCTTCCCCTCATTATTTAATAAATTTGAAATAAACAATAAAATAAAAGCTGTTACTCACTGTTACGAAAACAAGGATAAACTGTTACATTTTTACGTCTGTAAACAACAGTATCAGGCTATTTATCTTAGGATTTAGCCCATTTTAAAGACAACATATCTTTTCTTTGTCTTTATGTTTGGATATAAATTAAAATTTTATTATAGTGTTTTGAGTAGGGATTGTAAAAACTTATAATATAGGGTGACCATTGAAGTTTAGGCAATCGCTAAGCTTATATTCACTACTTATAAGCCCAGAAAAATAATTTAATAGGCTACATAATGAGTTTAAAAATAATAAAAAATATAAATGAGAAAAAAAGTTATGGAAAAATGAATATTGTCCAAAACTTTTATAATCACCCTGTAGGGCTCCCGGCCAATCCGTCAGTGGACAATCCGGCAGTGGAAAATCCGTCAGTGGACAATCCGTCAGTGAACAAATTTGTAATTCCTACCCATACCCTGCCTATCGCGGCAAAATTTTAATTTTAACGTCTGAGGGGTTATGAGAGATATCGAAAATTTGGAGATTAACGAGGAAATCGGACGATTTAGCTGGATTAAAGGATATAAATGGATTTGGGAGATATCGGGGATTTCAAAGATATTGTGGGATTAAGAGGAATATACAAGATTTGCATTATTATGGTGGTTATCGAGGAATTTAGAAGATTAAGATGGATTTCGGGGATTAAGTGGGATATCAAAGTAGATAACCGGATTAAGAGGATTTGGAGGTCGTTCCATGATATCCATCTAAATACTTTTTCTTATTCATAGAGTTCCCACAATTCCACGATATCTATTTAAATCCAACATAATCCCATCCGTTAATCATGTAAATCTAATCCATCCAAATCTCCTATATCCTTTTAAATCCATCGACATTATTGTAAATCCATCGACAATTCTCCCAAATGGCCCAAAACTTCCAAATCCACTTAGGTATATCCTTTAATCCAGCTAAATCGTCTGATTTCCTCATTAATCTCCAAATTTTAGATATCTCTCATAATCCTCCAGACGTTAAAATGAAAATTTTTGGCCGCGGTAGTCAGGGTATGGGTAGGAATTACAAATTTGTTCACTGACGGATTGTCCACTGACGCATTGTCCGACCACTGACGGATTGTCCACTGACGGATTTTCCACTGCCGGATTGTCCACTGACGGATTGTCCGGTCACACCCTGTAGTAAAATGCCAAAAAGGGCGACAAAAATAGAAAAATAAATGCAAAAAAGGTGACATAAGAGGGAAAAAGGCGAATAATTTACTCTTTTCATTCAAAAATTAATTTAAAAAAATGCCAGAATATCTTTATTTTTGAAAATTTTTAGCACAAAATATATAACCAAAAAAACCAATCCCTCATTTAGAGTAATAAAATGTCTAAAACAACAAAAATATTTATTATTAATAATTTTATTTGTATTTTACTTCAACTTATTATTCTGAATAATAATAAAGCCTTTTCTTCTGAGAGGCAACACAAATTTCGAGGGTTAATAGAACCTAGTATTTATTTTTATAATGGAATTCCAAAACCAATTTTATGGAAAATAGAAATAAAATGTTTGCATGGTTGTGATGATTGGTTTAGATTTTATATAGAAGCTACTAATGACAATGTTGACAAAGCTGGCGCTTTTGAAATAAAACTAATTGCTGGGAAGAAAAAGGAAGGAATTGGATATAAAAAAATTAGCCAAATTCGTGTTCACATTAGATCGATGGATTTATTAGCTGGACAATTTAGGGTAGGATCTTTTGAATTAAATAAAGAAAAATTTGGAAAATAAATCATTCTACTTTTCCAAAAATCGAAATGTAGTTGGTTATTCACTGGTATCTCAAGTCTGGAGAAACTATCCTCTTCGATGTATATCCTAAATTCACCTAACATTCTAATGTTATTTGGGATCGCGCGGAACTAAAAAATAAATCACCAACTCGGGAATCGTAATGGCACAATCCTGTTTATATTAGAGGTCGGCGCGGGACGGGGCAAATTAAAAATGCGGGATTTTGCGGGAATGCGGGATTTCGCGGGATTATTCCTGCGGGAGTTACTCCCGCAGACAATTTTAAAAGTTACTCCCGCAAGCGGGATCCCTCAAATACGATTTTGCCGACCTCTAGTTTATATAAATTACAAAAACGTTACAGAAGTATACATGGGAAAATGTTATGCCACAATTGGACAAAGTTCATATATTTCAATTTGGCCACTTTGAACAACTTTCCCTGGATCAAAACTTTTACCTCAATTTTAAATTTGTTGAACAATTACCTTCAATCGAAATGAGCGTTAATGGGTTATTAAAATTTAAAAAATACGTGGCTATGATTAACGGGAAATCGCCAGTTACAGAACAAGTAGGTCTAAATATGTTGAGTGAAATTGCTCAGAAATTTTCTGAGAAAGAATTAAATGAAAGGGAATATTTGGGAATAAATGAGATAAAAATGGAATTGGATGAATATTTTGGAAGAGGGGCTTTAAATTTTAGTTCTTATTTGAAGAACAATGAAGATCCTTTATTGAATTTCTTTGTTAAACAGGTAAATATTCAAAAAATTTAGCTAAACTACATAGTTATGGTTTAAATGAAAATACTTTGAGATCCCAATGTTGTGGGCTTCAAATTATGATGTTATCCTCTCAAGTATAGTTGTCGGTTTAAAACCGTACCCACCTAAAACCGAAGATTTTAGATTGGATTTATAGCCTCGGTTTCGGTAAACCGATTGTTTGTTAACTATAGTGGAAGGAAACTTATCCGACTGTAACTATAATCTTAAATGCCAGTAGGGTAGAGGGTAGAATTGGTAATGCGCTTGAGATGTAACTGAGTGATTTTTCAATGCTTGAAAAAGCACTGGCAAAGATGCAAATAGACTGGGAATTAGATTTAAAAGTCTTTTGCATTTATTAGCTGATTAATATAAAAATTTAGGCAATTTAATACATAATTTAAGGTACCAATATGTGGACTTTGTCAAGGTAGAAAGCATGGCAAAGATGCAATTTACAAACTTAAAGGATGCATAGTATGTATATTGCCTCTTTATATATTAAATATAATTACAAATTTTAGGATTATTTTCATAAGGAATGCATTAACACATAGTAAGTATTATACATACTGATTAAAATTAAAGCATGTCCGATTGTTCCATTTTTTCAATTAAAATCAGCGTTATTTAAATAAATCTAGAAGATCAAAATTTTCTTTAATGTGTATATTTTTCGATTAAGTAATTGTCGGATGATTAAAATTTAAGGAATCATGAATAAGTGAGGGAGAGTTAAAATTTAAGCCTCGAGCAGACACCGCGATTGCTATGACTTTCACTCACCAAGTAAAGCTGATCTACCGACTGAGCTATCAGTTTGCTGCTTTGAACTGTTCTTACATCTAATAAATCTTAACCCGCGTAGTTGTCTCTAGTTAATTGTTGGACATGATTTCCGTCAGATTTGTTTTTGATCATGGAAAGAACTTAAATTATTCTTAATTATTATTTTTTAATTAAAGCATAGCAACAGAGCATTCTAATGAACCTCAAAATGAACAAACAAAGGAGTTTATCTCTAAATTGAAGCTATGTCCTATTTGCGAAAGTATAATTAAGTTAAACGAAGAGTGAGGGATATTATTTTATTTTTTCAAATTTTTATTTTTAAGAAATGAGGCGCTCTTTGATGACGAGATTAAAGAGAAGATTTTATATCATATTCAGCTGATATTGCCTATTTTGCAGGTTAAAATTGGGTTTTAAATGACAAAAGCAATAGTAAATATATGAGATTTTTTCCTAATTTTTTTTAAATTTTCAATGTCATTCGAACTTTTCTTTCGAGCTGAGTTTTAATTACCGTATATCCTTTAATAACTACGCAGGGTCATTATTGTTTCGACCTTCCGTTGGAGGAGTAAAAAAACATTTGTGAAAACTTAGGGGGAATTAAATTCGTTTTCTGACTGGATAAAAAAATAGAATAAATTTCTCCAATTAACAAGGACTCTCTTGTTAATCTTGTTAATGCATACAAATTGAGCTGAGTCTTTTTTCCTGAAAAGCGACTAAACCAGGGCTCGGATCGACAAAATGCCACTCAAAAGTATCAAAATCTTGTAAAAAAAGTACATAGGGAGAAAATTTGCTAATAAAAAGTACGCTCCAAAAATTTCGGGTAAGGGTTTCGAGTTAAGCGAAAAATTCTTGTTATTTTCTGGTCATTTGGGTGATATAGAGAGAGGCAAATTTGATGAGATTAAAAAGAAATTGCGGGATTTGGGGACTAAGAGGGATATCTTGGTATAATTCCACTATATACTAATATCCCTCCGCCTTATCTTTATTAAAATCTCCAATTTCCTCCCGTTTTCAGCGCCGCAGGCAAAAATTTTGTGAATTTATGAGACCAAGAAGCCAGATTTCTTCCATTTTTTGCGCCGCAGGCGAAAATTTTGAGAATTTTGGAGGTCCTTAAGCCAGATTTCTTCCATTTTTTGCGCCGCAGGCGAAAATTTTGGGAATTTTGGAGGTCCTTAAGCCAGATTTCTTCGTTTTTTCAAAAATTTTGATAAAAAAGTACATACTTTCAAAAAAGTACAAATTCAATTTCTTAAGTATGGAGGTCGATAAAAAAGTACAATACTTTTAAAAAAGTACGAATCCGAGCCCTGGACTAAACTATTGTTAAATTCTTAGAATGATGTCTAAGGGGTCTTAGAATTATATTAAAAATATTTCTTTTTCAGAATGGTGAATATCCTCATTATACTTATCATGTCGGTCAAGCACGAGAAAGAAAGGAATACAATAGACTAGAAATTATCAGTTTTCCTGACGAAGCTTTGGATATTGACAAGTAAGGGATCATTAACAAGTCATAGTTGACTTTACTAATAATCTATCTATTGAAATATGTATATACATAAATTAAGATCTGAAAGTAGTAAAACTGATGAAAGTGAAGTCAAAAGGAGAAAGAAAGGAAAGGAGAAGTTATACAAGGAAGATGAAAGTTTACCTGAGCATCACGACAGGAGGCGAACGTCGCGAAGACTTATAGATTTATTTAAGGATTCTCCAATTAATAAGGAATCTCTTGTTAATCTTGTTAAATTGGGAAGAAGAATAGATAGAAGGCAAAGGAGAAAGGAGAAAGAAATGAGAAGGGAAGAGGATAATCATAAAGATGAAATAAGAAAGGCAGAAGAGGAAGAGGAAGAAACGTCTTTACGGAAGAAAAGCCGTAAAAAACAACAATCAAAAAAAGCGGATATAAAGAAAGATGCCGAAAAGAAGGAGGATGATGAAGAGGAAGGGACTCCTTTGAGAAGGAGAAGTCGTAGAAAACACATTTCTGGAGGAGAGGGTCATTTGGTTGATGATAAGAAGGATGACGATAATAATAATAATAAGAATATGGCATTGAGCCTAGATCAAGAACATAAACAAGAAGAATACAAGAATGGTATTCGTACTGCAAGAAGTCCATTAAGAAGACAATTATCTAAAGAAAGGTGATATTTGTCATACATTTTTAATAATCACAATTTAGAAGACGCTACAGAAGTCAGCCTAGCGGAGCAAGGTCATTAGGTGTATTGAAATTACCCGAACGTTCATTAAGCGATCATGATACTGGCTCAAAACCTTTATTTTATGAAACAGAGCATGATGGAATTAAAATGGGTAAAAGAGATAGTCAGGGCTCAGACAATCTCACTATGCAATTAGCTTTATTCAAATCTCTATCCAAGACTGAAGAACAAAGGAAAGATAAAGGTATAGTATGTTATATTTTATTATCAGAAGAAATAACATATCAGACAACAAAAAATAAAAAAGGAATGGCGGGGATAGGAATAGTAGGAGACCCTCTTCTAGGTTGTCGTTTTATTAGAGACTGTCGTTATATTAGAATAAATACGGTATGTAGCTTTTGAATTAGTCATACTAACGGCACCTCTATATCATATCCCGTAATACTTTATATCTTACACAAATCTTATCAACATGCTCATTATTTTTAAAAATTAAATATCTTAAGGTTCAACACTGAGAGAGATTCCACCATTCCAACACATCGAAGCTTCTAAAGAAATAGAAGAATTTGAAGAAGTGTCATCAGACTATAGTAAAATTCAAAATATACAGCCCTGGGATTGGGAGAAATTTTATTATCCAGATTCTTCCTCAGGTCAAACTTCTCCAGTACGAAAAGATTATCAACAACCAAGTGCAAGTCATGAAATTTATGAAGAGGATGATGAAGGGGAGAAAGAAGAAAGGAAGGAAGGAAAAGTTTCAAGTCCAAAATCTCCATGGTTTAATGAAGAAGATTATATTGAAGATATTGAAGAAGATAACAAAAGAAAAAAATCATCAAAAAGTTTAAAAGAAAAAATGACAAGCAAATTTAGAAAACTGACAGAGAATCCAAAATTAAGTAAAATTAAAAGGGTAATTAGCGACAAAATAAAAAGACGAATTAAAAGCACATAAATAATTAATTAATTTTTAATGTAAATATGTTGTAGGGTAGTTCAAAATCTGGCAATCGGTCTCAAAGGTTTTAAAATTTTCTCACATTCGGTTGAACAATTTAGAACTACCCTATCATTATTTAATTTACTAGTTCAGCGCCCATATGTATTTTATCCTGATTAGGAACTGAACCAAACCGAAGAACCGAGAATTTTTCGATTTGGCAGTAGCTCTATTTATTTAACTATGAACATAATTACCCTCAAAATAGTTTGTCTATTATAAGAGGATAAAAGAGGTTTCTGATCTGAAAAAGTAAATTAATTCCAAATCTCTGAAACTATGATGTAGTAGCCAACTCTCATTACTCTTATCTACAACAGTTCTATAATTACATATACGTACCACTAATTTTTTAAATGTTTCCACAATTTCCTTTTTTTATTTAATTCTTCTGAATTTGATTCTTATGAGATGTGCAAACGAATAAATAAAAAATTTTTTATTATGTATTTATTAGTGTTAGGCAAACGCGATTTTCGGTATCGGTATTTTCGGTAAAATACCGATACCGCACAAAACCGCGGTATTTTTGATTGAGGCGGTATCGGTATCGGTATTTCGGTAAAAATACCGCGGTATTACCGAAAAATACCGCGGTAATACGTTACCGTGACCAACTCTAGTATTTATATTATCATTGTTCCAAATTAGAAAAATTCTATCCCATAATTTCGTCAAAGCAAAAATAAATGAATTATATCTAATGAACACAAACTTTACTACAGTAAAAATTTTTTATATTGGTTTTTAGCCTATTAATCAGATCAGACTAAATTTTATGTTATTTTTTGAATTACATAGTTTTTACATCCGAAAATTCTCGGATCTTTTGTCAACTAAAGGATTGAAAATATTATATTTATTCGGTTACTTTTTTTATAACTTTTTATTTAGCTTCTTTTAATATCCACTTTGTCCATTTCCTGAATGTTTGCGCCAACATAATGTTTGTGTAGCTTTATAAAGATAACATTGACTATTACGTTTATATTTTTGCTAGAATTTATTATGGACTATCAAATTTTTTGATATAGGTAATTTATATTTGCTCATGCATAGAACATCTAGTTAGTTACTAGTTAGAGTTATTAGTTACTAGTTATTAGTTACTAGTTATTAGTTACTAGTTATTAGTTACTAGTTATTAGTTACTACTTAGTTACTAGTTAGACACTCTTTTTTATTTTCACTTCATCTAAAAATTTTTTTTGGTTCTTTTATAATTTTAAATATCCAGAGACTTCTGACATAGCCATAAAACCCAAAAATTTATTTATTTAAATTTGTTTTCAGTTAAAATTTAGAAATAGAAATGACACCGCAAAAACTTTTTAATGTTACATTTATTCGTTTAATATTAGGCTACTAATTTAATCAAAAATTTATAAAAAAATTAAAATCGAATTAGCATTAATTAAATTTTATTCTTTCCTTTCTAGTTTTACTTTCTTCAGCATTTTCACTTCTAATTATTCTTTTTCTTCATCTAAGCCTTCCTTTCTTGATTTGGCTCTTCCTTCTTCACATTATCCACATCATCAATCTTCTTCACCTCCTTCAATTCTTCCTTCCCCATTTCTTCCGCTTCATCCTTGTTCATCTTTTCATTCTCATCCTTCTTCTTTCCAATTTTAGGAATCTCTTCCTTCTCCTCTTCCAGACGTTGATAAACTTTATTTAATTTCTTCACCATTTCTTTTGCTTTGTAAACAACTTTAAAAATTTTTTTAAATTTATTTAAAATCTAAAAATTGTTATTCCCACCATTCTCAGCCTCATAAATTCGCTCTATAATTTCATCTACTTCACTCTGACTACTCGAAAGATACGATAAAAGTACATCATCAGCAGAATGTAAATTATCCAATTCATTCTCAGCAATTTTATCAATATCTTTTAAGATTTTTACATTTTCAGCTCCAAAAAGTGAATTTAAAACTTGTTGAATATCGTGAAAAGAACGTTGATTTTCCCATTCTTTATAATATTTCATTTGCTCTTCTACAATACATAGAGCCATAAGAAATTCGTTTATACGGTCACATTCATCAAGAACTATTTTTAACTTCACTGCTTCATTTAGATCGGGTATTATCTGTATATTACAATAGTTTTTGATTATTAATATACTTTACTAATTAATCTAGGATCTTGTGGATTCCCATAATCAAGGTTATTTTTTTGACGGTTCCAAAATGTCAACAGCTTCATCCCTCGTATTCCGTGTTCAGATAACCCAGATTTCACGAACCGTTGTCCATGAACAGAGAAGAGTACCCACAAAAGCCCGAAAAATATCAATAACAAACCTCCTCTTCATCAAGTCTTTCATCAATATTAAAATTATCATTTTTAATCATATATGCTACCATTTTTAAATTCCATTCTCTCTTAATCATTTCCCTCATTTCTTTATTTTCAAAAATTTTTTTATTCTTCCATAATTCATCAAATGGCAAAATAAGCATATTTGGAACACGTTTACGTTTATTTTTCCCCACTAAATGTTCTTCAACCATTAAATCTATTTTGTTTTCTAAATCATTTCTATTTTGAATTAATTCCTCTTTCGAGACAAACTCTCGTTTTCCCCCATCTACTGCCCCATTAATTCCATATTTTTTATATTCTTCATCAGATTCTGTTATTTTACAGTTTTTATAATTTTCATCATTTATTTTCTTTTTTGGCACATTATTATTAAAATTATTTCCAAAATTTTTATAATTTGAAGAGTTTATCTTTTGTAAATTTTTCTTTTTATTTTTTTGATTATTAAATACAATTTTGTTATTTAAAAATTTTTGATCGCTTGCCAAATTATTTTTTAAATTAATTGGGAAATGGGGAGAGGAAATTTTTGCGGGAGCTTTTATTAAAGGTGTTGATTTTGAATTATTAATTAATTGAATTAAAATAATAATTTCGAGTAAAATAATATTTATTATTTTAATATTACAAAACATTTTTAATTTTACCCTGCAAATTTTAAAAGTAAAAATTTTTTAATAAATTCAGCCTTAACTAAAAGATATTCCTGAAGCTAGATATGTACATCTTGGGTATTTTAAATAAAAAATAACATAAAAATCTCTCGAGTAAAAATTTTTACACCTAAATTCAACATAAATGTTTAAAAATTTAGTTGGTCGCTGAGGAAGGAGCTGCCTAAGAATCCTCACTACACCTCAATATAAGACCCAAAATTTAGACTCAAGGGTTTCTAAAGGATAGATTTGACTATATAATTAAAATAAAAATGTACGTATAATTCTTGCTTAATTATTTTAAAAAGAAATTATTATATTATGAAAATAATAGCAACAATATTTTATTATTCTTGCTTTATATTATGTAAATTTTATTATTTAATTATAATTATGTAAATTATTAAAAAATCATTTTGCCTATGTCGCAATGGATTTGCACTTAACTGTCGAGACTTTAGTGCTTTTCGTTGAAATATTTTTTATTTCTTTGATCATACATACATATTTCATTATTTATTTAAATAAAATTTAAATAAATAAAAGGGCATTTATATAAAAGGGCATTATGTATAAATAAACAATATAGATTTTGAAAGTTAAAAAATAAGTTCTTTTCACGTGATACTCATAGGTAATTCCTTGAAATTCTAGAATATTCTTATTATATAAAAACTTTTGATTATAATATGTATATAATGTAGTAGTGATGCTCGGGTATCCGATCCCGACTCCCGACTCGGGAAAATTTCCCGAGTTTTTGGCCTCCCGATCCCGACTCCCGGTGTCAATTCCCGACTAAGTCGGGAAATTTTTACACCCCTAAGAATGGATTTTTCTGACAAAATTATATTTTTATTTAGAAAAAATGAAGAAATCTGGCCTGTTGGTCTTTTAAAATTCCCAAAATTTTTGCCTGCGGCGCTGAAAAGCGAAGATTTTTGGCTTAAGGATCTTCCAAAATCCTCAAAATTTTCGCCTGCGGCGCTGAAAATTGAAGAATCGGTGGAGTTGTAGTATAGAAGATTTCGGTGATTTACTAGGATTATGGTGAATTTAAAGAGATAACGAGGGATTTGCAGTAGATGTCATCAACTACTAAGAATCATACATACTTATAATCCCAAAATTTGGGGCAATTTATTTAAAACCTATGTACTTCCAATACTCGAATACGCATCACCTTTATGGAACCCTAAGCAAAAAGTTTTGATTAATACTTTAGAAAAAGTACAAAAATTTTACACAAGAGTCGCCCTTAAAAAATGTAGAAACAAAAAATTCAAATATCAAGACAGGTTAAAATTATTCCAATTAGAACCTCTTCTCATAAGAAGATATTACATAGACTTAGTCACAATGTATAAAATATACTTCAATCTAACAAGCTTAAACCCTAACGAAATGTTTATACAAAATTCTAGGCCTACTAGAAAACACAATTATATGATCCAAGTTTCACATAAAAATAATAAAACTTCGAATTCTTTCATTAACAGAACAACAACCATTTGGAATTTACTCCCTAAGGAAATTTTTATTGACCATACAATTAACAAATTTAAAAACAATTTAAAAATATGCCTACCCCCAATCCTGGGAAAACTCAACATATCAATTTAACCTACCCTAAGAACAACACTAAAAAATTTAAATAATTGCCGAAATTATGTATTGACTTTCTCACACTACTTATAAATAAATATACATACCATCTAAAATAATTTTTTGTCTAAACCTACCACGCCCAAAACATTTATAAACCAAAATTCCTATCTCAACTCGACCCCATTTTTATTTTTTATGCTTATTTTTTAAAATGATTTATTTTTCGTTTTTTTATTAGTATTTTTTTTTGTAACCAAAATATATATTTTTTAAGAATACTTATTTCAACTTTCTTTTTAAGCACCAGTTAAATCAATTTAAACTTTTGTGTTCCTAATTTATTTCTAAAAATCATACTTACCTTATTATTCTTCTTTTCTACTTAAAATTAATTTCTTAACATTATTTTTACATTTCAATCGTTACATATATTTGTATACATTTTTTCTCCATATTAGCGGTATATTGTATACCCTTTGGAGTTATGAATAAATTTGAAATTTGAATAATATGTATATAATGTAGTAGTGATGCTCGGGTATCCGATCCCGACTCCCGACTCGGGAAAATTTCCCGAGTTTTTGGCCTCCCGATCCCGACTCCCGGTGTCAATTCCCGACTAAGTCGGGAAATTTTTACACCCCTAAGAATGGATTTTTCTGACAAAATTATATTTTTATTTAGAAAAAATGAAGAAATCTGGCCTGTTGGTCTTTTAAAATTCCCAAAATTTTTGCCTGCGGCGCTGAAAAGCGAAGATTTTTGGCTTAAGGATCTTCCAAAATCCTCAAAATTTTCGCCTGCGGCGCTGAAAATTGAAGAATCTGTGGAGTTGTAGTATAGAAGATTTCGGTGATTTACTAGGATTATGGTGAATTTAAAGAGATAACGAGGGATTTGCAGTAATAAAGAGAGATATCAATGGATGATTAATGTTGCATAGGGGGTGTTAATATTTACTATTGAGAGGATATAAAGAGATATGTGGCTAGTTCACCAAAATTCCACGAAATTGAACATAAAAATATTTTTCTGTTTCACTTTTCCTCTATTTCACTCCAATGGAGAGATTCTAAGGACTTAAGGTCAATGACAACAAATATAAATCAAAGCTGGGCTCTGGCTCAAAGAAAAAGCCCCCAGCAATACCCAACACTATTTATCTCTGCGGTTACTAGGTTTTTTGGACAGGCTGTTGGCTTATCTTTCCAAATAATCGGGGAAATAAACTCTTAAGTTACACTTAAAGATCGTTCAAGACCCCTTTCTATTTCACTCCAATGAGAGTCAAAATTTTTGGCTGCGGCGCAAAAAATGGAAGAAATTTGACTTCTTGACCTAAAAATTCTCAAAATTTTTGCCTGCGGCGCTAGTAAGGCTTCTTTACCTTCCAAAATTTTCAATATTTTTGCCTATGGTGCAAAAAATCGAAATTTTTGGAAAAATTTTTTATTGCTAATTCCCGACTCCCGATCCCGACTCCCGAGGTCATTTCCCGACCCGACTCCCGTTTCCCGATTCCGGGTTTTTTCTTCTCCCGAGCATCAATATAATGTAGATTCTCCCAAAGAGAATATTAATATAAGTTGATTCTCTACGATATCCCCAAATCCCACGATATACCTTCTTAATTCTTCAACCACAGATATCTCTTAATCCCTAAGAATTAAACGTAAAAAACTAACTTATCACCACAAATCCATTCGATCCTCAAAACTCACTCGATATCTCAGTTGATACTTTTCTAATTGGCACTAATCCCTCCATGCCCATTCATTGGGACGAGTTTGATAGATTTTTTGAAAATTCCCCGTCCTCCCTCCACCTTACGTCGCGGAACACCCTAATAAATAGTACGCTTCAATAATAAATTATAATAAAAAAACGATATTTAAAAACATAACGTAACATTTATTTATATCTTAGTAAAATACAAAGTTATGATTAAAAACAAGAGGGAAAAGCCAATAATTTCTGTTAGTTAGGAAATAATATTTTTAACTTTTTATTTAACAATTATATTTATCAAGATATAAGAAAGGGAAAGTATATGACAAACAAATTTAATCATCAATTGAATTCCTTTACTGAAGTCTCAATAGTAGCGTACTACCATTTTGTTTCTTATAAATTTTTGTTTGTTCTATTTTTATAATATTGTTTATTGTAACATGATCTACATATATATTGATAAAGTGCTGAATAACGGTGCCACTTTGGTGTTTTATTAACTTTGCAAATTGCGCAATGTCTATCTTCCTTAAGTTAAATTCAACAGAAACATTATTTATATGAATAATCTATTAAAAATTATAAAAATTAGGAACCTTTTTAGTTTTAATCCAAAATACTTCTGGTCTATTTTCTCCGTTATTTTTTTGTTTATAAATGTAACATGCTTTACACAAATTGTATTTCTCAAAGTATATATACCATTTTTTCGTCTGTTTAGAGTTACAATTGAAACAATGTCGTTTATTTTTTTTATTGTATTGATCTATATTTAGGAATAAATTATAAGACGCCCTCGATTTTTAACTAGGTTTGCGTGAGGTCGAGGTTTTTCGAAAAAACCGAGACCGAAGATCACCGAGACTGAAAAAGCGAGGTTCGAGGTCGAGGTTTTTGGCGAGGCCTCGACCTCGCGCAACCCTATTTTTAACTAAAGAAACTAATTTTAGGCCCTAGTAGAAATATCGTCATGGAGGAGTACACAATGTGAGAATGCCAAAAAATAAAAATTTTTATTACTTATTTTATTGCCAAAATAAATAATTCTGCTTTTTTCTTTTAAATATTCAACTTTTTGTTTTTCTAACAATTCAATTTTATATCCAATTAAATTAATTTCCGTCCAATAACTTGATAAAAGTTTGTTTTTATAGGATTCTATATTTTCTTTTAATATTTCTTTTTTAATTATTTTTATATTTTCTAAACTCTCATATAATATTGAAGTTTCATAAACATTCCCCACCTCAGTAAAATTATTATATCGTAGTGCCTAAAATAAAGGATAAATTATTCTAATATTATTCATCTAACTGTATAGTTTTTGTATTTTCTATTCTCGAACTCGATTATCAATGGTTTTTGGAGGTGAAATTTTGCGAACGCCAAATCTCTTGCAAAAAGGTCCAATAACCAGGCAAATAAGCCCTAAAGCTAATTGTTTGGACTACAAAATGACTATAAATTTCTTACAAGTGAAATTGTATTAATAAAACGTAAAATACCCGTTTTTCGAATCCAGGTGAAAAATTTCTAATAAATGTATTGTTGGCAATCTCAATCACGACTTTCATTTTTAATAAATAATTTTGATCAAGTCTTGCAACATTTAATTCAACATTATTAAAAGTATTTGTAGCAAGATCCAATTCAGCCAAACGTATAAATCCCTCCATATTGTAATTAGAACCAAAATATCTATTGTTATGCTTTTCGATCGTTTTCACAACAAAACGCTCCTTCAGTTGAACATCTTTTAAATAAATAAATTCTCTTTTTTCTTCCCAATCATCTTTGATTTTTAACTCAACACTAATTGGTTTGCAGACGCAATGAATATTCAATAAAATAATTATATATAAGAGAGTGATCAAATTAAATTTAATCATCTGAAATTTTGTGTAATAAACCACTCTCAATTTCATTTTATAAATAGTGTTTAATAAGGAAGATCTTTTGGAGACCACTGCGAGACTTAAATAGCGTGAGGGTTGGTAGGGATGTGCGCCATGACATTTTGGCGTTCGGACGTTTGGAAGTGATTTTTATATTACTTTTAATGTTTTCAGGATCTTGGGCTTATCATGATATTGGATTATTCCTGGAAAATCTGCTAATAGTTATGCAGGTAGCTCTAAATTTTCTTGACTGCAATTCAAAATTAAAGTTTTCATGATATATTTTATGTAAAAGAAGTCTATTTTTAAATAGACTTCTTTAGAAGCATCAAAAAATTATTTTGAATGTTTTATTGTTTTGATTTTCGATTTAAAAGATAGACAAAATCACTTAATTAATCGAGGCGGCAAATTTTGTTGACAATATAGTCTTGATTTAAATATTGTCTTTATTTATTTTGAAATTTATAAGACATTCGAAAATAAATATCTGCACTTTATATTTAAAGAAAAATTCATATGATTAGTCCGAATGTCAATATTTTGAAATTGTACTTTAATTCTATTTATTTTGTCAATCGGCGGGATAAAAAAAGTTATTTGAACTTTTCGCAATTGACTCCTTTAATATGATTAGTTTTAAATATTTTGAAATATTTTATTATTTACTAATATCTGTATTAATAAAAAGTGCAATTATTTATTTTAAATGCCGACTATATTTCAAAATAAATAGATAAAGAAGCTTTTTGAAGAACAACATGAATAGATTTAAATAGGTCTATGATATTTAATAGGGGTCTATGATATCCTCAAATCCCACGATACACCGTCTTAATTCCTCAACCCCAGATACAGTAATAATGAAAAATCCTATAATTTGGAAACAAGTTGTATTTTGGCACTTTGTATTTTCAATGTTTTGTTTGTGTTGGTTAGTACAATTATAGTCCACCAAGTCTAGTCGAAGAAGTCGGAAGCATAGTCCCGACTTAATTAAAGGAGGGAGGTTTAGAGCAGAGGTGGGTCGGAACAGCCCGAGGTGTCGGAAATCGGAACTGTCGGAAATCGGAAATGACTCAAAAGTCGGAACTCGGAAATCGGAAATCAAAATTTTTTTTCGGAAATCGGAAATCGGAAGGAAAAAAACGTCGGAAATCGGAAATCGGAAGGCGGAAATCGGAAATAAAATTTTTATTTTCATAACTGAAATTTATTTAAAATTGTAAGGTGGTAAATTATGGGCCTTCTTAAGTGTAATTTGAGGGTGTAAAAGTTCTTTTTGCAACTCAAAAGTCAAATTCGAAGGGATTAAAAGAGATATTGTGGGATTTGGTAGATTAGACGGGATATCAGAGAATTTATAGAATTAATAGGGATATTTAGAGTTTAAAATTGAAAACTGATAGAGCCTATGACCCCTCGTAAGCACACGATATAACTCAAAGTCCTCCTTAATCTAACCTAATCCTCCGATATACTATTCAACTTCCATTTACAGCGCCGCAGGCAAAATTTTTGGGATTTTTTGGAGCCTTAAGCCAAAAATCTTCCATTTGAGAATTTTGGAAAAATCTCTAGTCGGAAATATGCTTCAAAAATTCTCGGAAATCGGAAATTTTTCCAAAATTTCGGAAATCGGAAATCGGAAGGAAAAAAACGTCGGAAATCGGAAGTCGGAAATCGGAATTCCGACCCACCTCTGGTTTAGAGTGGCGTGTTTAGTATAGAAGGCGAAGCTTTTTAGTAGTGTCTATTGTTAGTATAGTGTTAGTGTTATGCTGTAGTCGAAGCCAATGCATAGTCTCTCATTCTATAGTATTCTTTTTGTTAGTCAAGTCTCTTCTGTTAGTATCGGACACACCGCAATTCGATACATAACATTAAGAGTCATTAAATCAAAAAATTTTCGCCTGCGGCACTAAAAAGGACTCATTTGGGAGTGAAATATAATGGATCAGTGTGAATAAAATTTTATTTTTTAGTACCTATATTTTGAAAATTTCTCCCACTGTGTATTCATAGCTTAAACTTTTTAGAATCATTTTGAGAATTTTACGCTAGCAATAATAATTTCTGGATTCCAGCCTTAATAATATAAATATTAAAAAATAACTTTACAAAATCACAAATAAATAAAGATAAATTTATAGAGGGAACAAGTTTTACGTTGTTCTCAAACATGTTCTCCTATTACATTTTATCCCTTTAATTTTAATTTATTTGCATAACATCCAAAAATATTAAATACAATTGGAATATGTAATAATATAAAGGTAAATTATTTTTGTTATTTTTTATTTGGTAATTTTCTGTGTACATAAAAATGCACAAAACTTACAATATTTTTATGTAACTTAAAAATATTAATCTTTTTTTACATTTTTTATACCATTCGATAGAGCAGATTATCTTCTACAAAATATGATTGAAATCAATATTTTTAGAAATTTAGAAGAAATATTAGGATTTTTTAATACTCTAAATAACACCAACAAAAATACAAAATTTATACCATTTAATTAATTTAAATTTTATTTTTAAATTTAAAAATTCTCTATAAATTTAAAAAACTCTTTATATTTATCCAAATGATTCATTGATAGAGAAGGAAATTTAATATTTATTTTTTTTTATTCGTTCTAACTTTTATAAACAAAAAGGAAAAATAAATATGTATATATAAATTACATTTTTAAATTTAATATTTTCGAATTTATTTAAATTTTTTATTTTTGATTAAAGAAAATTTTTATGTCTAATGTGTAGAGCTGTGATTTTTATGCAAATACATATTTTTTCTGCAAACTTGGCATGATGTATAATGCACAAAAAACACTGTTTCCGCATGTTTTGAAAACTTTAGAGGGGGTTTCTATTTGCATATAATGCATATTTTTGCATATTTCAGACTTTGGTGCATAAATGCATATTTTACTGCATATTTTGAGGTTTTTGGGGAAAATATCGCGAAAATTGCCTAAAATCCTGCCAAAAAGTGAAAATTTAGTAAAAATTTTGGAAAAAATTTGTAAAATTTAAGAATTTTGTAAAAAAATTTTTTTTGCTTATTAGGTACGACCCAAAATTGTCCTTCCACAAAATTTGTTGGCAAAAATTGAAATATCTCTTTCAAAAAATCTCTCCCAAGCAGTTTTTCGATGGCTATGTAAAACGTATTTGATTTTGATGTTTTAGATTTGGCTAAACAAACAAATTTTCTAAATAAAACTTGAAAGAGATATTTAAAGACATGCAAGTTTTGTTGAGGGGATAATATTTACTTCAATTACAAAAATAAAATAAATAACGGCTAATTAAACAAAAATGAAACGAAAATTAATTTTCATTAGCATCAATCTAAAAATGGTTGGATCGCTTATCCGTGTGTTAACGGGCACTATTCATTTCACCATAACTTTTTTTATCTCTTATATTTTTTAATATTTTTATAGTCACTTTTTAGCCCAAACAATTCTCTTTCAGAGCTCTACTCATCGGAGTTGAATCCGATGGTTTACTCCTTTTAGTATTTTCGATAAACATCATATATCTTTTAATGATCCGGAATTGAACTTAGGACGATTTAAACTTCACAAACCAATGTACACCTCACAATCCCTCTATATCTCTGTTAATCCCAAAGATTCATTCTTATTACTCGTAATCCATCCACCATAGCCAAAACTTTTCGAATTTTGGATGGAGAAGTCAACTTTAGTCTTTTTAGCACCATACGCAAAAATTTGGGAGGCTAAGAAAGCCACCTTGTTCCTTTTTCAGCGCCGCATGCGAAAATTTTGAAAATTTTGGACGTCCTTAAGCCAAATTTCTTCCCTTTTCAGCGCCGCAGGCGAAAATTTTGAGAATTTTAGAAGGCCAAGTATCCAGATTTCTTCCTTTTTCACCGCCACAGGCAGTTTACTTGAGTTAATTATAAATCCCGTAAATTTGACTTAAAAATGTAAAATTTTTAGGTATAAATTTTATTTTTCTTGCATATTCGCGTGGATATTTTGGATTTCTTGCATATTTTCGTGCATATTTCGGCAATTTTTTATGCATATTCTAGTACATATTTTGCATTTTTTAATGCATAAAATTCACAGCTCTACTAATGTGGCTTTTTTTGTTTCCAAATTTTACTTAAATAATTATTATTCCTTTTTTCTGTCTTTATCATTAATAAAAATGTTCCGATAATTTTATTTCCTTAATTTTAAAATTTCAAGTCATTTAGTTATCTGAAATAGCAAAAAAGAAACATTCTAGTAACCACTTTTAGAGTTTTAAAAATGATTACACCTCACACCTATCTTAACCTGCATTACATTGAGGCATAAAATTACCATTCTCAATTCATTTTACTTAAACAAATAATTATTATTTTACACAAAATTTTAATGAAATTTTATGTATGCGGATGTGTTATTGCGGATGTCTGGATCCTGTAGACATAAAAAATTCCAGCTTTTAAGAATAAAGGGGTTAGATTAGAGTTTTTAGAGTGATAGAGACTGCACTCAACAATCAGACAAAAAATCATGTCTTAAGTTAGACTCGTAATCCAGAGAGATTATCCGAAACCAGCCATAATGGTCCTGTACTATTTTCCCCCATTAATTTAATTTTTAAAGACGAAAGTCAATGATAATCACATTAATAATTACACTCCTTTGCCTTCTAATACAATTAAATGCTCGAATAAATGATGGAATATTTCCACAAGAAATTACAATTGAAGAAAAATTTGAACAAATTAAATGGAATAAAACAAAAAATATTTTTATTTCAAAAAATTCAATAGAAAATACCCAAAAATGCCTTAAACGCCATTTTTCTGCCGATTCTTTTGTTTGTGTATGCAACAGCATTTACTGTGATCAACCTGAGGAAATTGGAAAATTTACTGGAGAAAATGCTTTTATTTATCAAACAGATCCCATAAAACAACGTTTAAATAAAAAAGAATTAAAAATCATTAAAAGAAAAAATAATGGAATTAAATTAGAATTGGAGAATACAGGTGAAATCTAAATATAATATTAATAATTTGGTGATAAATTCACTACAAAAATTCGGAATTAAGTTAAATCCATCTATTATCTCCACGTTGTCTCACATCGGAAGTTAGTGAATGATCTATGGCCAAACCAAAAAATTCTCTTAGATAATTAGATCATTTCCCAGAGTCTGCGATCTTTATCCAGGAGTGAATAAATTTTTATCTTTTCTATTTTACTAAATTAAATTTAGTTAATTAAATAAAATTTTAAGTAAAAATTCGAATTAACGCTTCGCAGCAATATCAAAAAATTCTCGGATTTGGAGGTGCATTTACCGATGCTGTCGGTTATAATTTAAACTTGCTTAGCAAGAAAACAAGAATGCAACTTCTAAGAACATATTTTGATAAAAATATTGGTAAAAATTTAACTAAAAAATATTCTCTCTCAAACTATAGTCTGAACTTTCTATAAGGTACACCTAATATTAGATATCATTACTTGATACATTTGTAATTGGTTGATTAGGATATCTAAGCGATACTTTTCGGACCTAATTTGTAAGGGTGTATCTTATATTGATGTTCAACTGTATTTTCTGTAAAAATTAAAAAAAGGTATTAGATACACTGTTGGGAGAGTGCCGATATCTAGTTGCGATTTCTCTTCTAGAGTGTATTCCTATTGTGATACAGATAACGATTTTAAACTCAAAACTTTTGCGTTAGCTGAAGAAGATTTGCATATGAAGGCAAGTAAAAATTTATATCAAGTTATTACAGAAAATAGAAAGTCGAAGGATTGATTACTGATCTAGATTTTACTTTCAATTTAAGATACCTCACATTTTAACTGCCAATATACTTGCTGGATCACCGCTTAACTTAGTAGCTACCTCATGGTCAGCACCTGCTTGGATGAAAACAAGTAGAAAAATGCCTGGCGGTGGAAGTCTAAGGTTTTGTTAAGCATCTTATTTATTTTTTGATTTTTAGAGGAAAATTAGATGGCCCATTTTATCATACTTATGCTCATTATCTTAGAAGGTAAACTATTTTTGCTAATTTTTAACCAATCGTACACTACTATAAAATTGCTTTTCCCCTTGAGGTTTAACCCTGTGATTAGAGCATTTGAAAGCTTTGTGTATTTCTTGTAAAAATTTTAAATTGGGAAATTTTTATTTGGAGGTTCTTGGCGTATATTATATTTATTGAGGTCAACTCAAGCTATTAAAATTTATATTCAAACAGATTTTTTGAGGAATATTCCAATTTAGCAAATATTACATTTTGGGGGATGACTATAGAAAATGAACCTCAATATGGACTCGATCCTTGTTATAAGTTTCAAGCAATGTGGGTTAGTCCAGAAAATCAGAGGTAAATAAGGAAATATTTTTTTGGGAAATAAAGACGATTTTAAAGAGATTTTGCCAATAATATTCTTTCTCCAATATTAAAATCATCACCAGCATCAAAAAATTTATTGTTAATGGGACATGATGATAATAGAAATTATATTTTAGATGCAGCCCATAAAGTTTGGAATTCTAATTAAATTTAGTAAAAAATTTATTTTTACAGATTTTTGGAAATAAAAATTCACCAAATATAATAGCAGGCTTAGCTTATCATTGGTATTCGTTTAGCCCTCATTCTGTACTTTCTGAAATTAACAATCTTTATCCAGACAAATTTCTATGGGGATCGGAAGTTTGTATCTGATTAATTAAATATCCTTTCCCTTTATTTACTATAAAAATTTTCAAAGAAAAAATAATTTCTGACTCGAAAGAAGAAATTAAATAATTCTTGTTAAAATTAAACGATTTTCCGGTAAATATTGTTTGTTTTGTAATAATATTCCTGAGAAGAATTACATAATAAATACACTCTGTTCCAAAAGTATATGCCCACCAGGGGTGTGCCGAAACAGATTTTAAAAAGCGAAAGACGAAAGGCGAAAAGGCGAAAGTCGATTTAAAAGGCGAAACACGAAAGACGAAAAGGCGAAAGTCATTTTAAAAAGCGAAAGACGAAAGGCGAAAGACGAAACACCAAAAAAGACGAAAATAAGGCGAAAGACGAAAGGCGAAAGACGAAACAACTGTAATGAGGAAAAATCTCTAGATATCGGTTAAACTAAAGCTTTGGTTAATTACCTACTTTCAAATCTTCTATCAAATTCTCCAAATCTTGCGATTTCCTTCTTAACCACTAAATTATGGATATCAGAGGATTTAGAGTGATTAAGGAGGATATCAGAGGATGTGTATGGAAAAATTCAAATTTAAATTTTTATTTTTTCCTATCATTGGAAATCGACCATCGTTAATTGTGAATATAGTTAAAAGATTTTGGGAAATCCCAGGATATCCAAATCCGTTGTCCGAACAAGAATTTCGATATCCGGATCCGTAACCAAAATTTTTAATAAAATACTGAGGCTTACCCAAGTAGAGAAGTATCCCCTTTATCAGCGCCGCAGGCGAAAATTTTGAGAATTTTGAAGGTCCTTAAGTCAGATTTCTTCCCTTTTTGCGCCGCAATAAATACCACTATGCTGGAAAATAACCTGTATTAACTTTTTAAGCGCCGCAGGCAAAGATTTTGAAAATATAAGGTGTCTAAGGCACGGAAAATTCACTTTTTAAATTAAAAAAATAATTTTTTCATAGAAAAATTATAATTATTCTATTCATAATATATAAATAAAAATCTTGTCCCTAAATTTGGTCCGAACCTAACAATAATAAAATGGTCGCTAGTCGGAGTCAAACAACTTACCACTCAACCATCAATTACTTTATTAAGTTAAAAGAAAATTATATATTTATCCCCACTCGTCCTTAGTTTTTCTCTTTCTTTTCTTCTCCCAATTACCAACTTTTCCTCACATACCATCATTAGGGGTGTATAATATTTTCGCCTTTCGCCCAAAAAAGCGAAAGACGAAAGGCGAAAAGGCGAAAGTCATTTTAAAAAGCGAAAGACGAAAGGCGAAAGACGAAACACCAAAAAAGACGAAAATAAGGCGAAAGACGAAAGGCGAAAGACGAAACGGCACACCCCTGATGCCCACCTATATTTTTAGCTTTATCTATGTGATTTCGCTATAGATTTTTCTTAAATTTTTTATGATTAAATACCATGACATTTAGAAACAAAATACAAAAAAAAATCAGAAATATGTGTTTTTGTTTTTTGTATAGAGATCAAAATCAAATATTAAGTGTTCCAAAAGTATATACCTTTGTTTTATAGGTTTTTAATAGTTATAGGTTTTTAATATATTATAGGTTTTTAATATATAATTTCAAGAATAAATTTAATAAATTTTCCGTTACTTTGAAATAAATTAGAAATCAATTCTTTAAATCATATTTAAGATTTTTATGTTTTAGGCATGTGCTGGGTGGGCAGGAGTTGATCAAGGTGTGTCTTTGGGTAATTGGACTAGAGCAATGATGTACGGGCGTGATATATTACGTGGACTACAAAATTGGGCTATTGGGTGGACTGACTGGAATTTATGTAATTATATAAATTTTTTGGAAAATAGTCACAAATAAATTAAAAAATATTTTTCAGGTCTTGATTTAATTGGCGGTCCAAATTGGGTCAAAAACTATGCTGATTCTCCTGTAATATTTTAAATTTAATAAGGAAAATTTTAATAATCTCGATTCGCTTAGATTATTGTAAATGTCACTGCTGATGAATTTTATAAACAGCCAATGTTTTATGCTATGGCTCATTTTAGGTAGAGATTAATAAAATTTATTTTTTAAATGAGTTGGCTAATGAAAAATTTAAAAAATAAACTGATTTGTGAAAATTTTTTAGCTGTTTTGGGGAATTACACTTTGATAATAAAAAGATGTTTTAGTCGACAAAAAATTCAACAGGTTTAAAAAAAATTCAACAGGTTAACCACGTACTCCTCACTATAAAATAAATTTCTCTCTATTACTAGGGTGGTCCATAAGTTCGTTCGTTTTTTATGCTGTCCTAGACTCTCTTTACTCATTCCTGGAGCATGACACGAAAATATTTTTATAATTATACACATGTACATATACTTAATTTCCAGCCGATTTATTCCACCTGGCTCAATTCGCATTGATTCACAAATTTCAAGTAAATTAACTCCAAGATTAACTAAGCAAATCGAATCTGTCGCCTTTCGCAATCCAGATGGCAATCGAGTACTAGTATTAATTTCAAATTCGGAAGAATTGATTGAAGGAATTATTGAGGAAGAAATTAATGATAATAAAAAATTAGAGGACGTGAAAATAAGAACAATAAATGTTAGCCTACCCCCTAAGTCGATATCTACATTAATTTGGCCTAAAAACTTTAATGGATAAATATGGTAATAAAGTAAATTTTTTTCTCAATAATTTTAACAAAATTAAGGAAAAATTGGACAGTTTCGGTAATCACTATAAATTCAGAAAGCCTCCTTATTTCTTTAAATCACCATATGCGAATTAATCGTACATATCTTAGATACTTCATTAATGTTTCCTCCATCGATACCCTCTTGATCCTACTATATCCGTCAAAATATCTCTCCAAATCCCACTATAACTAATACCCTTCTATCCCCCGTTATTTCCTTAAATCCACTTAATCCCTCCAAATCCATTACTACACAATGGTAAATGTCCAGCTCGTCCTCCACATGTCCGCAAATGACTATCTGCGAAAATGCATTCTTTCTGCATTCTCCTCCTTTCCTCTCCCTACCATAATTTTTCTCAAGTAATCAACTGATAGGTTGACATTTTGGCGCGAAAAACAAAGGAGGCAAATAAAAAATGTTTATTTACAAATAAATAAATAAAAATTAAAGAATATAAATCTGTGATAGAGTTCTAAAATATATTTCAAGTAAATCAGGTGATTAGGAACCTTTGATTGGGTTATAATGTAATGATAGAAACCAGTAAAAAGCCATATATTTTGGTAATTCATTTTATGATAAATGTCTCATTAGTCTAACCATTCTAAAACGTAATATATTCCAAAAGGCCTCAATTTGTTGTGTATTTGCACCAGTCTTTGGATCAACGAAAAATTCTTGGTGGTTGACTGTTTTATGCTGATATCCTATTTGCTCAGGTCCGTTGTAGGCTCGCCACTCATCAGAATAAATGAGTGTATTACGAGCTATGTGGCGCTCAATCAAAGGATGTAAAGTTGCTTTATCCCTCTTCTTTACAAAAAAATCGGGTTTCAGATCTAAGAAAGAAAAGAAATAATTTTAAATTTATACACATAAATCTAAAACATAAATCTAAAATCTATACTGCATTCATTGACATTTAGTGATTCCTGATGGGAAAATGGTCAATACTTGATAGAAAAGATTTTATCCTTTTATGCGTCTCTAGCGTTTTTTTCAGCTTTGCGTTTTTTGTAATTGCCTAGTGCGCAGAAATTGTTCTGAAATTGCCCTTTGAAATTGCCCTTACCATAATTGCACATTAGAATTTTTGGCCCTATCGCAAATGAGGTGCGTAATCATATTTTTTCTCCTTCCTTTCTCAGGTTAAAAATGGGGAACTTTTTCCTTAGTTTTTAATGTATGCTGATTTTGCCGTATAGAAAAATGATGAGAGAGGATTAATTTTTTACATTTTGTTTTTTGTTCATGTTTTGACTGACCGTGTTTTCACAGTCAAAACAGGGACAATTTTGACTGAAAAACAGTCAAAACACGGACAGTTTTGAGACACGGTCAGTCAAAACCGGGTAGAAAAGAAAATGAAAAAATTAATCCTCTTACATTATTTCTCCTTACTACGGAAAAATACTAAGGAAAAAGTTCCCCATTTTTAACTTGAGGAAGGAAGGAGAAAAAATATGATTACGCACCTCATTTGCGATAGAGCCGAATTTTTTATTTAAAAATTACTTTTCTATGGTTACTTCTTTTTTAACACCTACTAATTCAAATTTATTATTTAAAAACGCGTTGTAAAGGGCAGATGTTTTCCTCAAAACTAGTAGCTAGGCAAAAATCAGAAAAAATTATAAACATTTTATACACGTATGTATATAGTAATTATTTAAGAAAAAATATGTTTATATTTCAACTTAGTTTTATTTAAATTTTAATAATAATTAGGTTATTTTTTTACGAAACAATTAAAAAAATTTTTGATTTAAAAATGAATCAAACTCAATGTATTGCCGCTGAAGCATCAGTCCTCGATTTAAAATATAATATTGTAAGAGGATTATTTATAATTTTAAGTAAAACTATTATTTTACTACTCATACGTATTATTTGGTCTTACAAAACAAAATCTGTCAAATTACATACAAATCTAATTGTAAGCTGAATTTAATTATTACTTCACAAATTAATGCTAAAAAGTCGCATAACCTGTAATAAAAAGAATTTCTACCCATACACAACAATGTGAATACTGTACTTTACTGTGGCGAAACAGTAAAGTACCCTATTCTATCAATTATGCCCTCAGACTTTTCGGTCTAGCGCATCGCAGTATTTGGTTAAATATTGAGGAAATTGTGAGGGAATAACCAATATAAAATTATGTTTAAAAATAAATTTAGAGAAAAAAATACTCAGGGTAAAAGTAGATAAGCAAACTTTCGTTCTGTTACAATGAGGGGGAAAAGATTTTTCGTAATGGCTGGGGCGATGTTATTGTTTTTGACACATCTAACTTATTTGACACATCTAACGATTCTTGTTTTTGATATTTAAATTTCTATAAAATTTTAAAGATACTAATCAGCAATGTTCTTTTTCTTTATGCAATGTACGTACTTTCACATATTATTGAATCTGTTATGAATTTTGTCGGTTTAATTTTGATAGTTATTCTATTATAAATGAATTTAGATTGTTTTGTTTACATATTCGGATCCATGTGAATGTTTAATTAAAGTTTGGCTAGTTTATTTGATTAGGATGCCAGCCTATTTCTATTATCTCGGCTCTCCTTTATTTCATTTTGCTATAATGATTGAGCGTGTTTTGGCTACAGTTTATGTTAAAATTTATGAAAATCAAGGAAAATTATTTTCAGTTATTTGTACAATTGTTGTGGTAAATATTTTTAGCTTTAAAATCCGTTTTACAAAATTTTAGTGGACAATAAATCTAATTTATGGTCTTTATATTTATATTACAACACAAATGGATACCAACACTTTTAGCCATCCAATGGTTTATTTATCACTAACAACTATTTATAATTCTCAAATATTTATATACCTAAACTTCTTTTTCTTGTTTTTGGTAATATGCATAGCTGTAGCTGATTATTATTTAATTCTTCGAAACCAAAAAATTAAATTGAATTTGTATGTTATAAAAATATTTATTAAATACTAAGTTTAAATTTTATTAAAATATATTTAATTTAAAGTTTCAAATCCACAATAAACTACAGTCTAAGCAAAAGTTATCAAGCTAAACAAAATATTCTCTTAATGAAAATCATTTTCCCTCTCGACTTTTCTTATTCAATTGTTTTTGCATTATTTAATATTATGGTAATCATTTTACGATACAATCGCGAAGAATATGGTCTACTCTTTTATGTACGGACATATGACAGCATAATTTTAGTAAATAAATCATTTTAAAATAAATTAGGTACATAATAACGTACATACATAATAACGCGTTGGCCGGTAGCATGATCCCGACCGATATGGGCGAGTATACCGAGGTCGTAGATACCGAAGGCGTAGTGTTATCAGTATCATCATTCCAAAATACCAATATCGATTTTATTTCGGATTCCCGATACCGGCCAACTCAAATAATAACTAGAGAAATAAGTACGAATCGAAGCCCCGAAATAGATGAGTTAAATTAAATATGCAGGTACCCGAGAACTTTTTAAATTTTAGATACTTCTAGTTCACGCAGTTATAACATTAATTGTCTACGACTATTTTTTAAAAAAGCAGAATGAAATTAAAAAGAATTTCGTTAAAATTAATATGAATATGAGTTCAGAAATATATTTTAAAAATTTAAATAATGCTTGGAAATGAACTCTTCGATAAATTTGTTTAAATAAATCATGGTTTATAATAAAATTTTATGTATCAATTTGTGATAAAATTCTAATTTATTTTTATAAATTAGAATTTCACAGTATTACAAAATGATATAAATAGGGCTCGGATTTATAGTTAAATATAGTTTTCCAAAATATATTATAGCGAGAGAACCTCAAATATGCCATTAGTTTTTCGATATTATGATTCTGAACAAAGTTACATTCATTATATTTCAATATTTTGCCAATTTTCCAGTTATTTCAATATTTGACACTTTTTTCAAAATTAGTATTTTTTCATATTTTTACCAAAATTTCGGGATTTTTCATAAATCTTAGAAAAAAGTGAACTGATTTTCCCTAGAAAAAAACTGGGCCATTATTGAAAAGGAGCCCCCAAAATTTCTCAATTAACAAAAACTCAAAATGTGTAACTGAACAAAAATCCCCATAAAGGTCATCCCAAAATTGCCCTCAAAATGTCCCACAGGAGAAAAACCCAAAAATTTTTTGTGAATTTTTGATGGCCAGGCAGCCAAAAAAAAACTATAGAGCAGGGCTACATTCTGTCAGAAAATTATAAGCACCCCATTAGCATAAAAATTATTTCCCACAATTTAATTGCCTCAAAATGCAGGTTTCGAATTTCGTATTTTCTTTAAATTAATTTCGGTAGAGCTATTGAATTTACATAATAATCTTGTAAGCATAAAGGCGCGCCGAAATTTGCGGATTTTAATTTGCGGACCCGAAATTTGCGGACCCGAACTTTGCGGACCCGAATTTTGCGGACCCGAACTATGCGGACCCGAATTTTGCGGATCTGAGATTTGCGGACCAAAAATTTGCGGACCGACAATAGAGTCTACTGAACCTCGGAAATTTCAAAAATTTTAGCCTGCGGCGTTAATTAGGATAAATTCAAGCATCATGACCTTACGAAATGGCCATATAAATGATTTTTTTAAGGAATTTTCTCGATTATTTAAATTATGAAATAATTTTAGGATAAAAAATTGATAAAAATTTTGAAAAATCAAGAAAAATCTTGAATCCGGTACGGATCATGGTGAACTCTACCGGAATCATCGAAAAATAAAATTTCAAATTTTTACTTTTTACTCAAGTGTCGGTCCTAAAATCTTGGTTCCGCAAAAATCGGGTCCGCAAACTTCGTGTCCGCAACCTTCGGGTCCGCAACTTTCGTTCCGCAAAATTCGGGTCCGCAAAGTTCGGGTCCGCAAAATTCGGGTCCGCAAAGTTCGCGCCACGAGCATAAAGTACAAAATATTTGGTAATTTTTAATTGTTATAATTATGAATTAAAAAAAAAGTTAATTTGAAAAAAATTATGAAAAAAAGTATTTTTCATGTGAATTTACTGAATTAATTATTACAAAACATCTAACTATGAAACAGGGTTGCGTCGTAAATACAAATTACAATTACGAATTACGGCGTTTTTTGAGTTACGAAATACGATTACGAAAATATCGGGAAAAATTGTTAATTACGCAAATAATAAATAAAAATTACGAAAAAATATTATTGCTGAAAAAACTTCTGGTACTTTGTCATTAAATTTTTAAAGGACTCGCTTCACTCGCTTTGATATTTTGTGATGCTTGGTTCAATCCATGATTACTAAATAAGATTTAAACAATTATTTTTTTCAAAAATAATTGTTCTAAACTTTGATTTTGATCTTAGATTTTTAAATTTATTTTTTTATATATTAGAATTGAAAAGAAAAATTGGAAGTGATAGAGGTGGATTTAAAGTGATACAATGAATTTGAACAAATATCAGGGGTCTGTAGGGTATTAAAAAATTTTTGAAGGTTCGTATAGAGTAAGATTGTCAAGTTTTGTCAGGATTAAGTGAGAGATATCAGATGATATCAAACCCTTAATCTGGGATGATGATTCCTCGTGATTGATTGAAGAAATATCGGAGGTTTAAAAGGATTAAGAGTGATATCAGGTAATTAATTGGGATGTGAAGTAATATCAGAGAAATAAGAGGACACTTGAAGGGATTAATGCAGGGTTTCGATCTCGAATTTTTAAAAATCCGCAAATTTGATAGAAAAAATCCGCATTTTATATAAAAATCCGCAAAACATTATCAAACACAAAAATTGAATTAAAATCACTTTATGTATTATATTTTTCGTCTTCTACAATTGAATTAAGCAATTTTTTATTACTAATGATCATGTTATGAAAATCCGACAATTATCTGAAAAATTACACTTGAATTTTTGCGCGAAAATGTCGTAAATTTTTATTTCTTCCATTTTCAGCGCCGCAGGCGAAAATTTTTTTAATTTTGGAAGATCCTTAAGCCAAAAATCGTTTATTTTCAGGTCAGGCAAAAAATTTTGTGGATTTTGGAAGGCCAAGAAGCCAGATTTCTTCCATTTTCAGCGCCGCAGGCGAAAATTTTGAGGATTTTAGAAGGTCTTAGCGGAAAAATAATGACATTTTTGCTAAAAACCACAAGAAAATATAAAAAAATCCTCATAATCTTCAAAAGACCACAAAAATCCGCAAATCCGCATTTTAAAAAATAATCCTCATCGCCCTATCAAAAAACCACAAAATGAGGAAAAATCCGCAGATATCGAAACCCTGGATTAATGGGAGAAGCAAAAAATTATTAATAAATATTCGATTTCTTAAATTAATTTAAATATTTTTTATAATTTACAAATTACGAATTAAGGCATTTTTTGAGTTACGAATTACGATTACGAAATTTTTTTAAATTACGAAGTACGATACGAAAAAAATTTTCAATTATGACGCAACTCTGCTATATGAAAGTTAGACAATAAAAAGGTCCTTATAAAAATAGTTTAGACCAGTCATAAAGCTAATTTAAATTTATTTAAAAAATATTTTCAATGAAAATTAAAATTTATTTCCTTTTATTTTTTTCACTATTTTCTTTTTTTTTCTCCTTTAATTTTAAAAAATAATCAACGGATTTTGGTTAAATCTACAAAAAATAATAAAAACGAGGATGGAAGTGTTAAAATAAAATTGTTGAGAATGGAAGTAAATAAAATTGAAGAAGAATTTAAAATTGAAATTTTATATGAAATTGATGAAAAAAATGAAAATGATTTTGTTTATACAAGTTCAAGTTCGGATCCAGACGCTTGTAAATTTGAAATTCGTACCCCCCCCCCCCCCTTTTGTTCCAATAAATGCAAAAATGGTCGTCTTGATAGGTATGTGTTACAATCGAGTGTGGGCTAACTCAAGAAATACTAACTCAAAGAACAGACAAGTAAGGAACGACAAACTCATGGAACTATCAAATTATGGAATATTTTAAAACACACCCACCCAACGTTACACCCACCCAGCTTGGCATGGGTTCTAAAAAGTAGAACTGGTTCGATATAGAACATTTTAAGTTTGATCACTCTTCCATTTTGTTGAAGGAAAAAGGAGGGCAGGGGAAGGGCGAAGTTCAATTTTACTCTAGACGAGTGTAATATCTTTGACGAAACAGAACACAAAATTAAAAGTAAAACTACTGGAAATGAAGGAAGAAAATTAATTTTGATTGAAGATCCCTTCTATGATTCTATAGTCGAAAGAATAGATATTTGTGTAAAAGAATATAATGATCGTAGGAAGATAAGAAGAAAGGTACTTTTAAAAAATAAATTAATGTCTTCTCAAAGTCTCTTTATTTAAATTAATTAATGTCAATTATTAATCTTTTAACCATTTTTCAATCTTTATCTTTAAGAAATTAATGTCTTTATTGCCTATGTTTTATGCAAAGATAGATTTTGAGGAAAATAAACTGTCTGATGAGATTATAACAAATGCTTCTCGCGCCTCTGGTATAGAAATAAACATAAACGGAATAAATGCAACATTTTGGACAGCATTTAGTTGTAATCCTACTAAATTAACAAAATTAATATGTTTTTTGAATGTGGAAGAGCCTAGGAAAAAGCTAAAAAGAGAAAATTTTAGCAAAGCTAATTTAATTGAAGCAACCTCTTTAAAGGGTAAAAAACAGCAAGAGAATATTGAATATTCTCACATCGAAATTTGCCTAAAATTTGAAAATCCAGGAAATTATTTTATTGTTGTTCTTGGAAATATTAAAATATGTTGGCTTGAATTCTACGTTAAGATAAAAAAAGCAAGAGAGGAAAGATGTGTGTTCACATTGTTCAGTGAAATTTCTTATTTGACAAAAAGAATATTGAAAGATTTGAGATATTCTATTACAATAGCTGCATTCAAAACAAATGAAGATGATATTGAAGATGGTCAAATGAATGTATATAATAAAGGATATTAGGTACTATGCGTTTATATCCCCCCATGTCCGCAAATGTTTGTCCGCACTTTTCTTTCTTTTCCTTTCCCCTCTCATAAGGATTATAAATGGTCAAGTATTAATAAACTTTTCTTTTTTTCTCCTCTCATAAAGATTAAAATGGTCAAGTAAAAACTTAGTACAGACAAATATTCGTTTATAAAAAATATAAAAGCAAAAACAAAGCAATTTTAAAGAATGGTGACTATTGGGATACGACTCCCTTCTAACCATGTTCCGACTCGCAGCTGGACTTCAGAACGACACGTAGATTTACGACATCGCCATCTATTTTGATTTCCAATGCTTAGCTTCATTTCGTGACCATTTACACAAATTTTATTTGTCGGTAGAATGTTCTTTGATTGTAAAAATAGTATGGCTGCTTCTTCTGATTTAGGAAGCTTCTTAAAATTCATGATCTGAAAATAAATTCAAAAACGATAATATTAAATGTCGTACTTCTCATTTTTATTGCCATTTTATATGAATGATGCGTTATCGTATTTGACGTTTTTTAATATTCATGTGAAAAATTCTTTAGTTTTATTCTTACTTGACCATTTTAATCTTTATGAGAGGAGAAAAAAAGAAAAGTTTATTAATACTTGACCATTTATAATCCTTATGAGAGGGGAAAGGAAAAGAAAGAAAAGTGCGGACAAACATTTGCGGACATGGGGGGATATAAACGCATAGTACCGGATATTATGATAAATATCCCGATGCGGAGTTTGTTGGCTCAATTTATCCATTAATTAACGAAGGAAGTTACGAATTTTATTTGGATGAGGATGGAATTACACGTGAAAGAATGAAGTTTGTCGAGGCAAATAACAAAATAGTTAATTTTAAAAACGGATGTCCTTAATAAAAACTTTAGCAAAGAAACAAGAATTTAATATGAGGAGATAAACAGGAATCAGAGCTGAGCGAAAATAAAATTTCATCCTTTACGAAACGAAAATGAAAAAATAAGATCATCAATGTACGAAACGAAAACGAGACGAAAATTTTCGCACAGCTCTGGCTGGGATGAAATAAATGTTAATTCCCATAACTTTTTGTAATTTTTATAAAATACCGAATAAAATTTTCAAAATGCTTTTTATAATAACTCCAAATGTTTATCCCAAATGGATTGAACCTAGCCATCAGAGTTGCGTCATAATTACGAATTACGGCATTTTTTGAGTTACGAATTACAATTACGAAAATATCGGAAAAAATTATGAATTACGAAAATAAAAATTACGGAAAAATATTATTGAAAAAATTCTTCAGAATGCCAAAAAATACCTGAATAATAAAATATCATAGGCGACACGGGAGTATTTGAACCCCCTCCGTGTCGCGGGGGCAGAAAGGGAGATGTCACTATCAATCAAAAGGTGTGAAGGATTTTCTTTCCCCCTCCCTCTCGAACCGAAGCCTTTTGAGGCCTTTCCTTCTACCTTCTATCTCAAAACCAATACCTTTTGGGGCCTTTCTTTTGGTTTCCAAAACCAAAAGCGAATATAAACGGGGCAATAGCCAAAAGATTGGCGAACTTTTTTGGCGTATAATTGGACCTAATCAATATAAACGGGGCAATAGCTTCCGGCGAACTTTGGCGTACATATAATGGACCGAGTCCAATTTAAACACAGGGTAAAGCCTGTTATGTCCGAGCTTTCATCAGAAAACTACTTAAACGTATTAGATTTTTCTCTCGGAATTATCAAGGATAACTATAAGCCCTATAAGATCAACTCTCAGATATACTGAGGATAAACCAATAATAATAATAATATATAAATTTATCTTCTAAATAAATATAAAAGCAAATGATAAATGGGGAAAAGCGCTAGGAATTGGTCTCTCACTAAGGAGGTCTCTCGTTAAGGATGTCAAAAAATATGAAATAAGTTGGGGTTTATATACAAGTGAAAATAGGTGGAAAAGGTCAAAGTAAAGGATGTAAATGGGCAAAGTAAAATGATGATAAGTAGGGCTGTAAATTATATGGACGAAAAAACCAAAAAATATGCATTAGAATATGGATGAAATTTTTCAAAATATGGATCAAAATATGGGAAAAATCCCGAAATATGGACGAAATATGGATAAAATTTTTAAATTTTTATTCGTAATTCAATAAATTTGGTCGCGAACATTACGAATTTTTAGCTTTAATGAGACAAAATGAGTATTTTTAGTCAATTGGACATTTTGAGATGTGGCGAATTGGAGTGATCCGAATTATGGTCGCGCCCAAATAAATGTCTAAAATTTTCAAAACGCCAAACATTTTTCATTTTTTTGAAAAATGGCGAAATATGGATAAAATATGGAAAATATGGACAAAATGTCGAAATATGGGCACTTTTTCCTAGAAAAATGCCAAAATATGGACAAAATATGGAAAATATGGACGAAATGCCAAAATATGGAAAAATATGGAAAATATGGAAACGAAAGTCCTCATTTTTGTAAGCAAACAGTGGTAAAGTGTGTTTTTCGTGCGTTTCAGACCCTATGCAATTCAGGAAAAAAATATGGATTTCCATATAATTTACAGCCCTAATGATAAGCAATAGGTTAATGTCGGATATTTAAATATATAAGACGAAATGTGAAGGATGGGAAAATAATAAAAACTAATAAAAATGATGGGCGATAAAACAAAGGAAATATTTGAATATGAGCGAAAAGGCATTAAAAACATTTAAAAATAAAGATGTCAATCAAATTTAAATATACATATTTCCAAATAAAAATTTAGATAAAAATTTAGCCGAATTCCATTACAAAGGCAAAAGTCTGGCGAACTTTTTTGGCCTATAATTGGACCGAATCCAATATAAACAGGGCAATAGCCAAAAGTCCGCCGAACTTTTTTGGCCTATAATTAGACCGAATCTAATATAAACAGGGCAATAACCAAAAGTCTGGCGAACTTTTTTGGCCTATAATTGGACCGAATCCAATATAAACAGGGCAATAGCCAAAAGTCCGCCGAACTTTTTTGGCCTATAATTAGACCGAATCCCATATAAATGGGGCAATCGCCATATAAACAGTAGAGACGTCCGAGACTCTTGGTCTTGAGTCTTGATTCCAAGACTTTTCTTGGTTTTTTTCGGTCTTGGTCTTGGGGTGTAGTTTTTGAGTAGTTTTTTTTGTTTTCTCGACTTTTTTGAGCTTTTCTAAATTTACACCCCCTAAAAATTGAACAATTTTGGATTCCTAATTTTATTTCCAAAATAAAAGAAATCTGACCACTTGGCTTCCATCGGTTTCTGGGACATGTGACGGAATTTTTTCAAGCGCTGAACCGCGATTAGTGCTGAACCGCGATTATTTAATTGATATCACGTCTAGAACAACCTTAATTTATATAATAAATGTGCCAAATGTGGCAATACACTATTAATCACTTAACCCTAGACTCAAACACAAATAAGGATTTTAAGAAAAAAATTTATTCAATTAATTTCAAGTTCAAATATATGTTGTAGAAAAATATATGAAAATTTAACAAGTAAAAGACTAGTGTAAAAGAGTACAAGTACTTTTATAAAAGTACATTTATAACTAAAAGGAACAACTCAAAGTTAAACGATCTGGCTGTTAATAGGATAGGAAGGCGGGACTTATTTTTTGAAAGGTTTGAATAATAAAGTGTAAAAAGAGTATTAAAAAATTAGTAAATTAAAATTAATTTAAATTATTATAATTAAAATTAAATAATTTAAAAATTAAATAAATCACAGAGTTTTTCAAGACAATCTTTTAAAGCTTTCATTCTAACAAATTCAACATTAACAGTATTTCCTCCCTTTTTATTAAATTCATTAGATCTATTCCATTCATTTTTCAATGTCTCATTTTTACTTTTTAAACATTCTTTTTTTGAATGAATATTTTTATTATTTAGAGTGATTGCCAATTCATTTAAAATACTTTCATCGAGAGTATTGATATCCTCGCGAACAGCATCCAAAGATGGATAATCTTTAATGCTGATACTTTCAAGCTCTAAAATTAGCAGAATTTAAGATAATAAAAATTAATTTTTTAATTTTTTGCTAATAAAAATGTTTTCAGTTTGTCTTTCTGAATTTTTCCATTATAAAATTACCCTTAAGAATTTTTACCTAAGTTCAGTTAATTGAACCCACTGACAAAGATATTATGTCGGATACACAATGAAGCTATTCATTAAACATATCTTATGACTTGATTTAAGTATAAAAAAATGTTTCCACCTTTTTTATTTTCTGGTAAACTCAATTCGCGTTGAAGCATTTTTCCAGCTTCGATTTGAGAAACAAAAAAATTCAAAATCAAATTTTCATCCAATATTCCATTTTTTAATTCTCTATTTTTTCTCAAAATATTTTGTAATAACTTTTCTTCTCGTTGAGGATCGTCTATTGGCTTTGGAGGGCTCTGAGCCATTTTAAGATGAATTACCATTGGAGCTCGATGCAAACGCATTTGAAGGAGGGCTTTAATTTTAAAATTTGTATTAATTTTAAATATGATTACTTATAATAATCGAATTTTATTATTAGGGCTAGGATTTTAGGCAAAATGCCTGTTTTTTTCCTAGATAGGCCTGATGCTGAAACGTTCAAATCCGGTGTTATTTTACTAAAATCTTCTTTCTAACTAGTTTTATCGTTGCCTAAAATTGCCTATTTTAACTTTTTCTAGCATAATGCCCTATTTTGCCTATTTTCAGCCTATTTTGCGTATTTTTGCTTAAATTTATGCATATTTGGGCATTTTTTGAGAAATTTGTTGTCTAAAAATGATTTTTTTAGTAAAAAATATAATTTTTCCAAAAAAATTTTTTTTAATTATATTTTTTCCAAAAAAAAAATAATTTTTCAAAAAAATCTTTTCCTTAAAAATTTATCCAAATTATTTTTGTAACCAAAATAATTAATATAAATTGATTTCTGTTTAGTTCTGATCATCGAAATTAATTTATTTAGCATTTTATTGCTTAGATTCAACTTTTTTGATAAATTTTAGTCGATTTTGTGCATATTTGATGCATAATACTCTTGCCTATTTTGCATTTTTTTCGGATTTTAGTGCCTATTTTGGCAGTTTTTTAGTGCCTATATAGGCGCCTATTTTTAACTTTTTAGTGCCTAAAAATCCTAGCCCTAATTATTATGTATAGTAGACGCCCTTTAAACTGATAAAATCATAGTTTTAGACAAAAGTGTAGGTATCGTTCCGAACTCGCCTAACTAGTATCCAACCACATTAAAAACAGTGTGAGTATACTACAGGGTGACCATAATAGTTTAGGACACTTTTAATTTTGCCATAACTTTTTTTCTCATTTACATTTTTTACTATTTTTAAACTCATTTTGTAGCCCATTCAAATCTCTTTCAGGGCTTATAAGCCTAGTTCCATATCTAATCTTTTTCCAAAAGATTTGGCGGTTGCAAAATTTCAACTCCTCCCAAAGTTAAAAAAGCACTGTTCAACAAATTAAGAAAAAATTCCTGTATGAAATTTCATGGTAAAATATTTTCAATAACTTGTTTAGTTAATTAGCCATGATAGTTGACTTTAGAAAAAGTGGCAGCTCTCGATCAGTAAACACCCCCAAGAGAAATCACTAGAATCATTCGTATAGTGATTTGGACTGCGGTTAGTAGGGTTTACTTTATATGAAAAAGAGTAAACTGAGAAATAAGAGTTAGAGTTAAGAACATTAACCTAACATAAAATTTAATTTTTACAGCTTTATTTAAAGTAACATACATAAAATTGTCCAACTATAATTTCCCCCACTTCCAGATTCGACTTGCAGAGCACTTTTTTTGTTTGTATTTAAAAAGGGAGACCCTTGCGTGCCCATAATAATCGCCCACTCAATTAACATAATTGCCAAGAATGAAAGCTTTAAATAATTCATTTTTGTTGCTTTTTTATATTAAAGTTTTATTTATTCTGGCAAAATTATAAAAAAATATATTCAAGAAAATGCAAATATAATTTTGATGGCATTAAAAATATTTTTATTATAATGTAAAAAATAATTTACATCCACTCCTAAGTCATACCCACATCATAGCTCATCACCTCCATGAAGTTTACTTATGTATATGCCCTTAGGCAAAAAACGACCCACTCCAAAAATCCCCATATTTGATGTTCCCACCCCCAATCCAATTCCTTACGACGGTTAAAGTTGGCCTGATAGTGCTCTTATTTAGAGATTCTTTTAATATACCTAGGCCAGTATCGCGAAGATTCCTATGGAATCTTATTGAAAGATTCCTATTGGAATACAAGAAGGGTAATTTTAATTATATTTTAAAAATAAAAGTTAAAATATGAATTATTAATTAAATAATTAAGCGCTTATATTTACCTATTTTAAACACAAAGTTTAATTAGGTAAGTTGCGAAATTTGTTATTCCGGGAAGTGAAAATGGCGTCTGAGAAAATAATAATAAAAATATATGTGAGAAATTTTTATTTATTTTTAAAGTGCATTTATTTTTTTATAATTTAAAGTGCATTGTTTATTTAAAAATTGGCATTGCACTTTAACGTCAAAATAAATAAAAAAATTTTGTCAAAATTTAATTTTAAAAATTTCAATGAAAAATTTTTTTCAAAATTTTCATTTACAAAACACGTGAATATGATAATACTTTTATTTTTCACATTCCCGACAGTTAAGAAATATTTTATTGTTAGATTTTTTTATTATTTACCCGGAAAAATTATTTTAATAAAATAATTCTATAATTAAACAATATGTAGAAGCTCATTGAATGTGTATATTTAAAATGGTTGCTTTAAAGAGCTACTAGAAATTGTAGGCTTTTTCTATTAGCAGACTAAATTTGGTTATTTGGCCGGCCTAATTACATTCATTCTTAAAATATCAATTTTTCTTAGGTCTAATAGTTGGGGATGCGTTCCTAACATTTCTTCATGTTTGAGACCTACGCCCAAATGATCTGGGACCGTTCCTTACCCTATTCCTTGAAATTTCAGAAAGTTAAAATTGTTTTTCTGAAATTTTTAAAAATTATCTATAACTTTAAAAATTGAGAGGAAAAGTGTAAGGAACAGGTCCAGACCAAGTGGGCGTAGGTCCGAAACACATATTTTATTAGCCTAGCTTTCATGGTCCGACTCTTTTCTGTGCCGGAGTCAATATATCAAAAATTCTAACGAAATTCGTTTACATCGTTTAAGGTTAAAATTAAAAAAATAAAATTAACATTATAGCTTTTTGAAATATATTAAACAAATCTTTAAAAGAATGTTGCCAACTTTAAATTATTCTTTTATAACTTCAGTTATTTTAATTTTCAACCTTTTAATATTATTTAACAATCCAATTTATTCAATGCGTGCAAGTGGAAGAACAATTGAGGCAAGTTAAAGAGATGGGCCTTTAGAAGATATTTTTTCTAATGAGGGTGGTCGTCTATTTGTGAAGGAGAAAAATCTTCACTTTGGTAGATTTTAGTACGTAACTGAAATCCGTTGTACGTATCACTGAAGCAGCGATCGTTTAACACTATGACCGAAAAATTCGAAATTTTCACTCTAAAATCAAGAATAGAGTGTCATCCCAATATTAATTGTTAAAAAATATTTTATTATAGAATGAGCCAAGAAAGACATTATTGACATATGGAGATGTTGGTTATGGTCTGCCTAAATTTGGAAAAAAAATAGAAACACAAAAATATTTTGTTCCAAAATTTCTATTCGAGAATAATTATATGCAACCATTATTTAGAAGAAGATTTACTTAATGAATATTAAAAATTATGGAGAATTATTTTACTTTTATCTGAAAGCAATCATTATTTCCAAAATCTTTTAAAAGTTTAACTGATTAAATCTACATATATTTAATTTAATAAAAAAAATGCTTGAATATATTAAAGACTAATAAGTGACAAGTTCAAAGGAATTAGTAAAATCTTTGTTTAAAAAAATCATATCACGTGTGTTTTTGGGTATACATTTGTGCTGGGAGAGCAAAGATTTTTGGCTCTGTACGAGTTACTTTATAGATTGTTACTTTATAGATTCTCGCTGTTACTTTATAGATTCTGATTTATTTATAAGCAGTCTTTCATTTTTGGCGCCACTGCGAAAATTTTGAGAATTTGAAATGTTGTATGCAAAATAATTTTACTTTTTTTCCTTTCTTTAACAAATTTCTTCATACTATTTTATATAAGACCACGGCCAAGACCCTACTACCCCCGGCAAAGCTAACACTGCCATTTGTTTCAAAAAAAGTATTCGGATTTCGAATTTCACATTTTATTTTTAGACTCGCGTACACCATTTTATAAATGTCTTTTTCAGTTTAAAATTTTTCAGTTTTTAATTAATTTTTGCATTTATTTTATACTTTTTGTGTTAATTATAATTTTTTTGTAACTTTTTTTTTCTTGAAGTAAATTTTAACACTGATGTATTAAAAAATTGAAATTGTAGTATTTCATTTCCTTATTCACAAACCTGCTTAATTTAAGCAATATTGTAAATTTCAACGAAAAAAATTGTGTAAAACCACTTGTGTATTAAAAGTTTAAAATTGTATTTAACTTCCTTATTCTCACACCTGCTTAATGTAAGCATTTTATTTTACATCTAATTAAAAATATTTTATTTTATTAATTTCATTCTTTAAATTTATTTTTAAAAATTTAAATTTACAAATAATTAAAATAATGGAAACTTCAATTAATTAAACAAATATTTTACTAAATAATACTTTTCCAAATCATATGGTGAATAATTAAATTTAAATATGTTTCTTAATATTTAGGATCTCTAAAAGTTAAAAGCTTCTGCAATTAGAACCAATGATAGGGGTAATGTGTGTGTGTTACCATGACTTCTATTTCAATAGGTCATGGGAATAGATTAGATCTACACACTCAGTCATGGTACACGCACTCAATACCAAATCTTATGTTCTAAAATGCAAGCTGGGTAATGATTGCCATAAAGTTGAAGATTACATACTTCCTTACTAAATTACCTTCACTAATTTCTGTGCATTTAACATATTTTATTATACTTATTATTGAGGAAATAAATGGTTGGTAATGAAAGAAAAACTAATTAGAGACTAAAATTTGGAGAGTGGAGTGGGAGCTGATTAAAGAAATCTATTGGATTATCCATCGAGATTAACAAAAAAATTTCTTATAACCACACTGATTTTAATTATCCTTAATTATAGCTATATAGTCAATATAAAGATGCTGGCACAAGTTCTGCATTAATTATCCCTGCAGTATTGTTGAATGTTGCTGGAATACCCGGAATTGCTGCAAATTTGCTTTTAATCTTTGTAACAATACAAAACAAGTTAATAAAAAGATTCGAAATATTTTAATTAAAAAATTAAATTTTTAAGTAAATTGAGAGGATCAGCTAATTATTTATTGGCTTTAACTGCTTTCTTTGAAATTCTCCATCAATCTGCCCATTTCCTATTTTTGTTTATAACCGTTAGTGGCATCAATTTCATTAATTATTCTACAGCTATAATATTCCAATTACATTCAATTTTTGGAGTAACAGCAGCACAGACATCCATGGCTTCAACTGCTGCTGACAGACTTTTATCTGTCCTATTTCCATTAAAATATTATAAATTAAATATTCGTCTTTACCTCACAATTCATTCAATTTTGGCTTTTATCAGCGGTATCTGGATGTCAATAAACGCGATTAATTTATCAAATAAATATCCGACACTCCCAGTTAGTGGATCTCTTGCGGATCTGTTAGTTTTGGATATGGAAATAATTTATAGTTTTATTATGCTTTTATGTGGAATTAATGTTTTGATATATTTATTTGTTTGGATTGTTGTAAGGTGGTTTCATTCAGGTTGAAAAAATAAAATGTTTTCTTCTTCATACTAATCTTTAGCAAATAATCATGCGGGTAGTCAATCAGATACTCAATCACGTCTTCTAAAATCTCTAATTTTAATCGTCTCAATAGTTATTGGAGGCTATGTAATAAACAATATATGTAAAATAATTGTTGATCATTTCTTTAATTTAAATGATATACAAGTACAAAATAAAATTTTGGAAATTTAATTTAAATAATATTTGTAGATTTGGTCAGTTAATGAGTTTGGAGGTATTCTTCTAAATATTGGCGCTTCCGCTGAGACTCCAATACTTTATATTTTTAGGTTACTAATTTAAAAGTTAATAGAAGAAAATAGGCTTATAATAGAGATCGGACAGATTCTGTCCTTCAGGCAGCCTGAAGACAGAATTTGTCCGATCTCATTACTGTATTTTTTGAATATGTTATAAAATAATTCTTAAATATAATTAATTTAAGTTCATTCTATCGTGAAGCTATCAACAAACAATTAAGAAACCTTTTTTGCAAAAAATCAAGTCCTAAAAATGTAATCACTCCTGCTCTATTTAACAATAGTGGAGGAGTTGGCGATAAAGGAATTAATGGAAAAACAAAACACTTGCCAAATAAAACTAACGAAATTATTTTAATCAAAAAAAGTTCAACAGTTTTTTAAATAAATAATTTAAAAATTCATAAATATTTAATTGTAAAAATTGTCACCTCTATGTATAATGCTTTATATTTTATGCATTATTTTTACCCCAAATCATTTTATATTGAGATTAGAGCAAAAGTTAAGCGATTGGGCAGGAATCGAACCTGAGACCTTTTAAAGCGCATACTGAAATTCATTTATTTTTGCTTTTACTTTGCCGAAAACTTTTGATTTATTCTTCTTTAATTGTTTAACCCCCGACTAAACTTTTAATAAATTCTACTTTTTAATAAATGCTGCTTTATGTACAAATTAACTAACCAAACTATTGTCTTGACTATGAATTAGTAAAAGGATAAATGTGATATATTAGTTACTTGCTATTATTAATCTACGCTTTTGTATTACAAATCGAAATTTAACCTTTTCGGATTTTAAGAATAATTTAAGAAATTTCCTGATGATTAATTATTTTATGAAAATTACTTTGGCAATATGCCCATCGATATTTTATTTTTATTATCAAGAAATTGTATTCTTATGTGTTCATTCTTGTATTTTTATTCAACTTTCCACAATCATACTATCCTCAATTATCTTCATTATCCTGTTGTTGATCATCCAGAGTGTTGTCTGTTGGTTTTTGTTCGCTGCTGCTAGAATGAGAGAAAGGACGGGGAAAGCAGCATCCACGCGGAGGTGGGCCCAAAATTGAAGGAAGAATAAACGGCACTTGTTGACGAACTTCGGGGGAGGCTTGCTTATATGCGTTTTTAATTTGTTGGCATTCGGCCAAACGAGTTATGGTATCATCTTGACGAATACTCTGGAAGTTAAGAAATTGGGGGGGGGGGGGGGTTGAGGAAATTTTAGAATTAGATTTTTGAAATAATGAAAGGTTACTTGGAATATTTTTCTAATTTAGTCAAAATAATTTTATTTGTAACTAACCCAAATTTGGTTAAATAACGTCAAGGCTCCCCCTGTCAGGTTTTGGACAACTCTGTCATGGAATTGTTCAGCATCTCGTTGCAATTGTGAAGTGAAATTATTGTAGGGTTGCTTAAAAATGAATTTTTTAATGGGAATCTGATATTTTCTGTAAACATTTGAAACAAAAATTTTTAAGAATTGGGGATAATTTTAATCCCAAACGTTCAAATCTTCAAAATAAAAAAAATTCAAAACAATTTTTAACAACCAAAATTCCATTATTCTGTGCCCAATTCTGCAATTCACTTTTAATTTCCGCCTTTGTCGCAGTTATATTTCCCACAATTTCATTATATTCTCTAATTTGTTCTCGAGTAATATTTCCAATAAAAGGAGGTAGTAATTTAAGGATATTGCCTCTTGGACCGCCAAATCCAAAAGAAATTGTTAAAGCAAAAAAGAAAACAAATAAAAAAAGGGAGAAAAATATTTTGGACATTTTTTGGGGAATTTTTATTTGATTATTATTTTATTTTTAATTTTTGTTTTTGAAAAATGTTTGTTATTCTAAGTATTTTTATATTAAAAACTTTTTATTTGAAAAAGGATTAAAAATTTTTTTCCGAATTTTTTGTCAAACGGGTAAGGGCAGGTGTGGCCAATTGATGTAAATTGAATGAATCACAAGTATTTACGTAAGCATTTTTATTATTATTCAAATAAAGGGTAATAATACCTCTAAATATTGTGAAAATTTGTAGTTTGGTAAAAAGTTGTGACCCTTTATGTTAGAGTCCTTAAAATACATCTGGAAATTGGATAAATTTTTGAAGTTTTTTTAATAATATTCGATGGAAGAAATAATCTTTTACAAAAAATTAAAAAATAAGATTGGACAAGTTAATGTGGTCGTAGACAAACGAGGACTAATTTACTAAGGCGGGCTGAAAATTTTTTGGACATAAAGTGTAAATGAATAACATCTGTCCTGTCTACTGAAGATAATGGTTCGATCCCAGCCGCCGAATAACCTTTTGCACTAGCTAAAGAAGAGAACTAGCTATAGCCCAGCTGCTTTACTATTCTAATGTTTTATTTTGAAATTGTCCAGATAAAAATTTTTCAAAATCAGTTCTTGAATCTCCTTTAAAAATTTTTCTTTTAACACTTTGATGTGATTTATTTTCTAATTTTACCTTCCTATAAAAACTATCCAATAATAATAATAAAATAAATAAAAAAATAATTTATAAATTCCCAGGACTCAAATATTTTTTAAAAAACAAACTCCACTCATAGTTCATAACTTTTTAATCTCCCCAATAAAAAATTTTTTAATAGAGAATGGGTAAAGTTTATAGTTTTTACATATTTAGATTTTTGTGTAAATACATGGAATATATGAGTAATTATTTACTCCACCAACAACTAAAAAAGTTATACGTCACTAATCCATTTTTTAATTTTTTAAAAATATTTTTATAGCATGATATCCTTTTTTTATTGACGATTACGTTCATATTTTTGTTTTTTGATTTTTAAAATAATTTTTCTAATTTTGTGTTTTGTTCCTCATAAAATCCTAAAAATGCCCTATCTCGTACAGGCAAATAATCCTTTCGGGGTTTTAAATTTTTTTTAATTTATAAGTTTGTAAATTTAAATTCCCAACATACTTAACTAATTTCTGTATCTGTGATATTGCCTTGTTCATCCTCCATAAAATACCTTCTTTATTGCTAATTCTGTCATCTCCATTTTCTTTTTAATTTAGTCTGTTTTTTGACACCAGTTATTAAAAATCCGTAATTGTTTTATCTTAGCCTCAGCCCTTCAAATTATTAATTTCACTGAACTTTCATTAATTATTAAAAATAACTTTAAGAAATAATAAACTTCTTATTTTATAAATTCACACGCAATTTGATAAATAATTAAATAATTCTTTTGAAATTGTTTTTAACATGAGGATATTTATAGTGGGAATAAATAATAATGTATTTGCTTTTGATTTTTTTGGTGAAATTATATGAGAGATTTTTTATTAATTTTGAAATTGAATTTTTTTGGGGAGTTTTAAAGTCCAAAGATTATAATAAATCAAAGTTTCACATCTAAGATGCACTTTTATTAACATTAAAGTTCATTTGCCCTTTAAATAAAAGTTGAAAAAGTGCCGATTTATTGAATAAGCGGGAAATCATATGTATTGAATTCAATTGAAGTTTCCGCTTATTCAATAAATCGGCACTTTCTCAACTTTTATTTAAAGGGCAAATGAACTTTAATGTTAATAAAAGTGCATCATACGTGTGAAACTTTAAATGATTTAGGGTTGTGAAATAATGTCGAGGTTTTGTATTTAATCGAGATTATTAGAGACGGAAATCGGGAAGATGAATTACAGAAATTGCCATAGAATTGAGCTGACCGGAGCTGTGGATTGTTTAAATCGGGAGGGTTCTTTCCTTGCTGCTCTTGCTATTATTAAAGGCAACACTGTTTGTGATTTTGAAATGACTATTAAGTGTAAAATTTCATAAGATATGCCATTGTTTTTAAATATAATTAATGTTTAATCACTCCAAAAATCGGTTAAAATACAAAGCAATTCGTGTATTACGTTATATAATACAGTAAGTAACAATTAAATACGATACTTTTAAGTAAAAACTGCAGTATTAAATAATTTTAGGGGAATTGTTTCTTACTTCTTTTTGTCAAAATTAGTTTTTGCTTTTTAATGTCAGAAATGCTTTCTTAATTTTTTGTTTGAATTAAAATTCGAGGTCGGAGTTAGACTCGAAAAATTCTTATCAATTTTAAATCGGAATCCCGATCCCCCCATGTTAAAGAATATAGAGGAATTGGCCAAAAATCTTTTCTCTGCTCTATCTTAGAAGAAATCAATGTAGACGTGTCAAATATGCCAGTCTTTAAAGTGCAAATTCAATGAAATGGCTTTTAGAGGACCTCACAAGGGGAGAGGAGGATTTTTATGGGAGGAGTTTTAGCCAAATCCTCGTAATTTCTCACGCTCCATTATACAACACCTCCCATCTAAAGCTCCTTTTATAAGCCGGTCAAATTGGCATTAGACTCACATTCATTTAAGCATTCATTAATTACCTAAAGTTGTATTTCAAATTTTTTGCCTCTGAGTTTTGCTCAACTGAGGTCTGATCATGTTTAAATTATTGTATATTAATATTATCTAGCCTTTATAAGAAGGGGTCTAGTGTTGGTGTTGGTTGTAACCCTTCCCTAAGATCATGAATATTAAATTTCTAAACAATAGAAACATCCTAACAAAAATTTTTTGCCATCCCCAATCCACTGCCTTCTGTGCGGTGAGCGAGGTCTGAGAGTTTTTTTATCCAAAAGAGAAATGTGGCTTCATCATGGAGTCAGGTTCTCCACACCCCCTACAACCTACATACCTAATTGGAATAACCTGACTTTCTATAGTATTTTATAGTCAGGTCTTGATTTCAAAACTTATATTTTTATCCAGAAGAATAATGCTTCCTTACTCAATTCTATTTCAATTGGCCATAGCTTCGTTGCTTCTACCTCATGCAAATGGAATGCAATCTGGTAGTAGTAACACTATGAACAAAGAATCTGAAAAGAAAAATGCTTTGGTTATTGCTCCAAATTTTCTCGATGTTCATTTTAAAATGAACAGTGTCTTTGCCAATGCGCTGACCGAAAAGTTTTTTGTGGTTGGTGTTGAAAATTAGACTAAATTTAATTAAATTCTGATTTAAATATTTTATTCTGGGATCATATACACTCTGTAACAAAATGATAGCTCTACCTAGCTTTGATCAATATCCTACCAAACATTAACTGGATCTGTTTCAAATTTTGGCCCTTATAAAATATTCTCTTTATTTCCAAGTTTTAATAATTGAATAGCTTATTTATAAAAAGAAGTTTATTTTATTATTTATTAAATAAATTAAATAAATAAATTCAATAATATATTAAGCACTTTTTAATTCTAAACACCAAAAATGATGAGATTGGAGATAATTTCGACTATGGAATTGATCTTGAGAATTTTGAAGAAGGAACGGGAAATACATATCAAGTTGTCAATTTTCCAGATGATTATCCCGAAAAATTGAACGAAGGCGTGAAAAATTTACAGAATAAATTCATAAAAAGAGGTTACGAACAGAGTAGTCAAATTCTGGAAAATGAAGCTTTTACCGTCTATAAAGGTGTTGATAATTGGTTAATAATATATAATATATTTAAGATTTATTTGAAAACAATCGAGCTACTGTTCATTACTTGAAGGAAGCAAGGTTTGATTTAGGGATTTTTGACACTTGGGACACTGGAGCTCTCTTCATTCTCCATGCAGCAAGAATTAAAAATGTTTTTGGAATTAACAACTTTCAACTTAATGCTTACCAATTTAAATATGCTGGGAAAGAATTTCCAAAAAATATTCCTGGTAGAGTTAAATTGAAAATCTTATTTAATAAATTATATTTTAAGAAATTTATTCGGCACAAACAGGCGATAATAAATTATCGCCAACAAAGGAAAGGAAGAGAGAAATAGCCGGACAATATGAAAAAAGCTTTCAGATATTCTCAACTGTTCATAACGATTTGGTTATTTAATTAAATTAAAATTCTGAGCAACGCGTATTCCAAATTAGGACATGCAAGGGTTTAACATTAATATTCTCCAAAATCACGAGATAAATATTTGTGTTAAAATCACGAGATAAGCTGATACATACATTTAATTGTATAGGATATGAGCAAATTTAAATATCTCAAAAAATTTTAATGTAGATTTTTGAATGAGACTAGTCAATGTCTGATTTCTTTTTATTATTTCAGCTGAAAAATAACTGTAGATAATAGCCTTCCGTCAGATAATTATGTCCCATTTCTATATTAATTACTTGCTCAAGCAAAGACCTAGCTAATTAATTGAATAAATATGTATAAATTTTACAGAACACATGGTATTCACGCATTGATAAATCAGGAGAAACAGTTCAGAACCTTTATTCAAAGATTAAAGGAATATTCCTCAACGGACATCAATTGTTTGATTTTCCTTTAGGTGAAAACAAGCCTGAAAATGTTTTTTATGTTGGTGGGATTCATCTGAAAGAATTTAAGCATGAACAGGCAAGATTTTTTAAAAACAATGTTAGGGTCATGTTTATTATGAAAATTTTTGGAAGGGAGCAAACATCTTCCAATTAAGTTCAGCAGTATCGAGATCCTAATCGGGCGAGATTGTCCCGGTTTTTTGATTCCCTATCCCGATTATGCTGATCCCGAGACCGCAGTCGGGACCGGTATCAGGATCGGGATTATTCCAAAATCCTGAATTTATGTCGAACTCCTGATACCATTGACTTCCAATTCAATTAATTATTTATATTAAATAAATTAAGTGCATAATTTTAAAGTAAGTGCATATTAAGTGTAAATTAAGTGTATAATTTTTGTAATTTCAAAGGAATCCGTGATTCAAAATAAACAAGTGATTATAAGCATTGAATATTGCAAAGAAATTGCTCAACCTGAAACAATAATAATTTTGGAAAAATTAGTCAAAGCTTTTGAGAACGTGTCAAATTCAGAAGAGATCAACTTAATTTATGATTGTGCAGCAGAAGGAGAGGATTTGAAAAATTTAAAACAAGTGTTGAATCTTGAGAATCATGTCATTAAAAAAATTCCAGAAATGCAAGAGGAATTGGGTATATTTGAAATTATTATAGAATACCTAACCCCATTTACTAAAGTAAAGCTTCACTCATAGGATAATTAAAAAATCAGCCCCATAGGGTTTATTTTCCAAAATATGCTAATAATTTTTTTTTCAGCAAAAGGTAACACACTCCTTTTAATCACCAATGGCAGTGGATACCAAGTAATTGAGGCATTTTATGAGAATGTTCCAATTTTAACTTTGCCCTACATCGTGGATCAATTTTATGTTTCTGAAGCTTTGAAAATTACTCATGAAATTGAAATTGAAAATTCTGTTGGGAAAGGAGCAATTAATGGAGGAAGTCCCAAGCATGTGAATGGAAAAGGCAAATCCCCACATTCTCTTCGAAATAAATCCCCAACTAAAACAAGTTTTCATGGTGGACATAAAAGTCCAGGCAAACATGGCGAGAAAAGTCACACTGGCAAACAGAAAATAAAAATTGATGCTCCAACATTGAGCTTCAACCTTATGTTAAACGAGAAAATTGAAGCGATTGAAGAAGTCTTGAAGGAGGCTTTGTTTGATGCTAGGTAATTAATAGTTGAATAAAAATATGAGAATTTAAACTAAAATAGAAAATTTTGGTTTGGAGTGTAAAGCTTGTGGGGTTTAAAACTTGGGGTCTAAAACAGCAAGTTTTATCCTACAGTCACATTATCATAAAAAATTTTTTTTGAAATACAAAAATTTTTCTTAAAGTTACAAGGCTAATATTAGCAAAGTTCATCAATATTTGCGCAAGACTATGAGCAAGGATAATCATAGCAATCCAAAAAATATTTTCCTCGAGAAAATAAATGAAATTTTTCATAAATCTGATGGAGGAAATGGAAATGATTTGAAAAGTAAATTGTAAAAACAAACAAAAACCCCATTTTTATTAATCGAGTCCGTCACTTTACCGAACATTTTATCCGGATTTCTTTCGAGTCCGTGTTGTGTACATAATTGTTCTTTATTACTATTTTAGTCACACATTTCGTATAACTCATTTAAAATTCTTTCCCCGCCTAATTAAACGCAAGCTGATTTACCTTCTTCCATGCTGTACAACCCAAAATTTTTTTGATGTATCAAACGGCTGTAAAACCCTTTAAGCTGATGTACCTATGAGCTATGAATTCAATTAGAAGTAGTTTATGATTTAACCCGTAACGCTACTTGTATAGAATTTAACCCCTAAGGGTTGGGGAAGTTTAAATACTAATTCTAAAAATTCCTGATCGAAAAATTGTTCGATGAACAAATCGTATGAAATTTAGTAAAATATTCATACTCCTAGAGAAATCATAGCTCCAATGTGCGTCAGTTATTATCCCTTAACTACAAGAAAATCCCCTTATATGTACCTATTTCATTTACTTTTCTATTTTGTTGTACATACCATATATGTAATTTTGTATTTATTATTTATTTTATCCTCACTTTTTAATTCTGTAGTTTATCGATAAATTAGTAGAGAGAAAATTTGTTAAATATGTAGAGTTCATATATAAACGTTGTTCTACCCGGGGGGGGGGGGGTCTAGGGGGGCCCAGGGCCCTCCCCCTTTCTAACTAGGGGGCCCTAGTTATTTTTTAGTAAAGTAAAGAATTTTTTAAATTCTATTCATAGAAAATAGACCATGGTCAATATAATATCGAATGAGATTTTGCCGATCTCTTTGGAGATATCAAAATGAAGGAATAAGATGCAGATAAGATTTTTCATGTAATTTAGAACTGAATTGCGAATTAGGTATATGCCTCCTTTCTAATTTTGCTCCTTCTAATTTTCCTTTTACTCATAATGTGTGAGGAAATGAATGATTAGCAGTAAAAAATTAATCAGAGATTCGAATAGAGGAGTGGGGGTGATGCCGACAAAAAATGTCGGCATCAAGGATTCGAGTAATTGACAAAATTTTTAAAAAATAGTTTATACTGGAAAACAAAAGACTTTTAGTTTATGCTTGAAAAAAAGCCAAAAAGAGCCATAGTTTATGCTGGAAAACAAAAGATATCGTCAATGATTCGGACAAAACCAGTGATAGCTCTTGGTTCCGTGCCCTTTCGAGAATTATACACATTAAATTTATACATTACTTTATCTTAGCTAACAATTTAAAAATTAGAATATATGAAAGGAGGGGAAGAAAAAAAATAATATCTGGCTCGATCTGATATGAAATATTAACGACCGAGTATTTACTGCGTACGACAATTGCGGATATGACGATTCCGGACTAAAATTCTGAATTTAACTATTTTAACAAGTTTTCAGATTTATCAGGTTTTACTAATTTGAGATTTTTTTAATACATCCGAAAATCGTTATGGTTCGGAAACCTACAGCTGGGACTAAAAATAGACATAATTCTTAAAATAAAAAAATTTTATCAGCAACTGTCATATACGTGATTGTCTAATTTCATCCGGAATTGTTGCTTATCCGCAATTGTCGTAACATCGTTTTTAGAAAAAAAATCATAAGCAAACCATCAGTGTGTCTTCGAACTGGATTAAAAATTTTTTATATTTACATTCATCATTACATTCATCTTCAAAAATCTTTAGATATTAAATATGTGTTAATCATCCACCTTTTTCATTTTTCGAATGCTTAAATTAGTAGTTTCAAAATCAGTTTTTCTTTTATTATTTTTGAGGCCAACATTAAAATGAGTAATGGCTTCTAATGTCTTTTTCTGAAATAAAATTTATTTTTTTAAATTATAGTTTACATCTAAATGTAATTACTGTCCAAATACATACAATTTGATCTGCCAAATTCAAATTATTTTTAAGCCCATTTCATTGGCATTTGTATTAGATATTCAAAGTAGATTTGGATTACTTAAGAGTTTTTGAGTTCGTAAACTTATACCAAGAGAATGAACCGATACGAGTTTCGATCAAAATTTTATTAACCCAAAAATTTACACAATAAGCCAGGTAATCCTCTCACTGGCATGAAAGGAAAATTCTAGAGACGTCTGAGACTCTTGGTCTTGTTTCCAAGACTTTTTTTGGTTTTTTTTTTCGGTCTTGGTCTTGGGGTGTAGTCTTGGTTTTGGTCTCGACTTTTTTGAGCTTTTCTAAATTTACACCCCTAAGAATTGAACTTTTTTGGATTCCTTATTTTATTCCAAAATAGAAGAAATAAAATAAGGAATTGACACATCAAATTGAATTTTGACTGAGACATTTAAATAAATATGAATTTATGTACTTTTAATAAATTTTCCAAATTATTTTGATTATTTAATTCTTTCATAGGGTAATATCCAACTAATTGACATAATGCTCTAATATTTCCATTTTGTCCAATTTCAAAATTAATATAATATAAATTAACATTAGAAGAAGATAAAGCCTCTCCACAATTAGTATGTAACTGTTAAAATTGTAAATAAATAGAAATAAATAAAGATTAACTAAGACGGCGCTCACTATAGGCTACACCTTCGGGGTTAAAAAAATTTATTTTATAAATACTGGACATAGTTTATGCGCTTTTCTAGCCTAATCTCAACAAAACGATGTACGACTGACCCAATCCCAGAAAATGGCAAAAATTTACATGGGACTGATAATTAAATTTTCGATGCAATGTTGTTAACTGACCAATCTTTTTGTTTTTTAAAACAAAAATCTAAAGAAAATATATGTAAGTATATTTTTATTGGGTGTATCCTAAATTGAGATTATTTAGTGTAGCGGGAACACATTTTTAGATAACTTCAAAATAAGTCTAAGTATATGGTTGGCCACTGGGTTCGAGGAGCTACTTAAATTATTTTCTCGCTTAATTACACCTCAGTAAGAGGTATGTTTCAGGGGTGTGCCAGTTTCGCATTTCGCGGATTTTGCGTTTTTTGGACTTTCGCATTTCGCATTTCGCGTTTCGCTTTTTAAAATCCGTTTCGGCATACCCCTGGTATGTTTTCAGTACCAAGGCTATTCAAAATTAATGTTCGAGTATATTCTACTAAAAAATTTCTTAAATTACCTCCATATCTTTATTCAAATATTTAAAATGTAAAATATATTCATCTCCTTTACAAGCATTATTAAGCTTAAATAATGAATTTCCATTTATAATTTGTAAAAACCATTTTGGATGTTTATTACAATAAATAAACTTTGGATTTATATAATTTTTATTTTCAATGGTGAAGAACATATGACGTCTAGGACTGTCAAATAACATTGGATCTAATTCGATAATATTTATTTTTTTGTTTATTAAATTAATCTTTACAATATTGAACATTATTTCTAAATCAAAATATCCAAGAAACTGAAAATTTAAATCAATTAAATATTATTTATTCAAATTTAAAATTATGAAAAACTTTTTTAAAGGAAAAAACAGCCATTCATTAAAGTAAGAAAAAGATAAGATTGCCAAGTTTTTGCTAAAGTATTCCAGTAAAACAGTGGTAAGAAGAGTTGCAATATGGAGAGCTCCGAAACGCGAGATATTTTCTCCCCGAATAATATATATATATTTGTCTTGGATCTCAATACAAATATTATAATTCAGATGCCATATAAAAGAGAAATCGGTAGAAAACATTATTAAAGTAAAGAAATTTAAACCAACAATTAATCGAATGATAATTATCATACAAAATAATTATCATACACAATTATTCATTGCCAACTAATCAATTATTAACCCTTACTCTCCGATCACTTACAATATACATATTTTTGACCTTTTAAAATAATCTTCTAAAAGAAATATTATATTTCGATGTTTTGTATGACAATAGTACTATAATAGTACATATTTTAATTTTTATTTTAAACTATCTTTCTCAGACATGTCTCAAATAAATTCAAAAAATACATATAATCTGTAACGAAATGATAGGACCACCTAGTTTTTACCAATATCCTACCAAATATTAAATGGATGTGTTTCAAATTTTGGTAGAATATACTAGGTAAGAATATTATGTATCAATGATGAAAGGAAAAAGTTTAATGCAATTCTTATAGTCTTAATTTTTAATTAAAAAATTAAAACATCTTTACCTTCTGTTTAAATAAATTAAATTATTAATTTTATGTATGAAAGAGATACCTTTTGTTCTTTTCCCTCAAAAACATAAATATTAAACAAATTATTAGTTGTGTAAAATAATTTATTTTTAAGTTTAATCGGCTTCATGTACGCAACAATATTATTTTCTAATTTAAATGAAATATTATCATAATTTTTTGTAAAATCTTGAGCAATTAATTGACTGACATTTTTTCCATCTGACTCATAAACTTTAAATAATTGAACAAAATATCGTTTTCCATCTTTATGCGAATTTAAATTTATTGGTAATTCTTCATAATTTATTCCCGATTCTATTTTTATATTTATATAAAAATTGTTTAAATCTAAAAAATAATCAAAATTAGGGCTTTATCATTATCTAAACCTGTTGAATTAATTCCAACAACATCGGATGCATTGACAATTGCGCCTAAAACATTTTATTTTGTTAAGTCTGCATTTTATTTAAATTAGGCACTTAGGGACATAAAAAATGTTTAAAAAATTTATAAAATATACTCCAATTCCTTAAGTATAGAATATGTTTTTTCAGCTAAAATAAAATTTATTTTTCGGATATGTCTATGAAAAAAGCTTTAGATTCAGTAAACATTGTCCAATTATTTTTACAATAACATTTTTTCGACTTAGACAGCTATTCAAATAAATCTGTCTGAAAACAGCTATTTTGGAGGAATATTTTTTAATTTAGTAATAAATTTAATAAAATAAAATTTAAAGGCGATTAAATTGGAATTTAAAGCAGACTGGTGCATGGATACGGATAATATCCGGATACCCGCGGATATCCGCGGATACGGACGGATATGGATAGTGTTTTTTAAAAATCGGACGGATACGGATGGATACGGATATGATCTCCAAATCCGCGGATATCCGCCCCAATTTCTGCGATTTAAGATCACTAATTAAATTTGAAAGATATATTTTGCCAAGAGAAAATAATTATATTCCCAACGCCAGGAGATAATTGGGTCTCGCACCTGACCCCGAACCCCGACCTAAAAGTCAACCTCGACCCCGAACCACGACATGCCCTCCCCGGCAAACCCTGATCCCTGACGATCCCAAAGGCTCAACGAAAATTTTTAGAATTTAGGTTGTCAAAAACTATACCCTCTCCCGAAATGGGAATAGGGATAAATTTGATGAGGGGGTTGGGCAAAAAGGTAAATTTTTTGGCCTACGGCCTTCTAAAATTCTCAAAATTTTCGCCTGCGGCGCTGAAAAATGGAAGATTTCTTGCTTAATTGTCTTCCAAAATTCTCAAAATTTTCGCCTGCGGCGCTGAAAAATGGAAGAAATCTGGCTGCTTGGTCTTCCAAAATTCTCAACATTTTTGCCCGCGGCGCTCAAAAATGGGAGAGGTCTCTCGTGAAGGGAGATGGTAATCTCACATGATAGCTCTCCATGAGAATTATCATTAATCTTGCCGATATTCAAAACTTTTCCACGCTTTGAGTTGGTTCGTTTTACTGCAATGCAGTTATTACTTGATTATTTAACCGTTCCTCGAATTTAAATAAGTTTGACCATTTTGAGAATTTCTGTCAGGTTGACCATTTTGAGAACAAACGGATAAATCCGCGGATATCCGCGGATGGATATGACTCAAAAGTCGGACGGATACAAGCGGATACGGATATTGACCCCACGGATATATCCGGATACGGATAGCAAAATCTGTATCCATGCACCAGTCTGATTTAAAGGAGATTAAATAAGGGCTTCTGAAGAGGCCAACAGAAACAGCTCTCTGTCATTTTTTCAAAATATCCAGATTACCTGGAAAAGCAGAATTTATATTTTTAATTATTTCATCATCTCCAATAAATATTTCTTCTTCATTTACGGTTGCCTTTTGTCCTTGATTATTACTAGATTCACCTTTGTTTTTAACCGCACAAACGGAATTAAATAAAATAATCCAAACAAAAATTCTCCACATTATTCAAACAAAGTTTTAAAAATTAAATTTTAATATAAAATAATAAATAAATTTTTTATAAAAAATGTTTTTTATGAAAATTATTGAGAAATAGTCTATATGGGCAATACTAGAGAATAAAACTAGGGTGTGTTTACACGAAAGTGCTTCGAGGGTTGTCATTAAAAGTAAGAGAATAAAGTCTCGTCTCTTTATTACCCATGCTATTTTTTCCGAAAGCGAGCGTAAATTTTTGATTTCATCATTTTTGATTTTTAATTAAATACAAATTCACGTGAAAATTTAAACGCCGGATTTTGAAAAATGTTTTGAAATGCGCAAAACTTTCAAATAACAGAATAACACAAAAAATAGAAGACGGGGATTAAATAAAAGAAAAAATTAGATGAAAAAGACAGAAATAATGAAGGATGCTATTGCTAATGAGTTCTATGCGTCTTCAGTTTCTCGAGTTTGTATATCGAGATTTCAATTTATTTGTTTAAATAAACATTTTTAAAAAATTTTGTAAACTGAAAATTCATTAACAAAAAAGACTCTACTGATGTCTTTATAACAAAGGTAATAATAGAATAATAATAAAATATGCGGTGGAGTAGAATAATAACTTAGATTGTGGAATAGGACTAACACACCACTACTGAAAGGCGGTGAATTTTATAGTAACAGAGTTATGTAATAAAATTTCAATGATTTCTTGTAAGGTAAATTTTAAAAATTTTTAGGGGATTTGAAAAAAACGTTAGTTTCAGTTTAATAGTATGTACAATCGACATATCTTAGTAAAATTTACAGGAGTCCAATCAACTATTTATATGAAATATTAAAAATTTATGAAATAATGTTTAAATTAAACTGATTTGTTGGAATTTTTTTGGTAATTGTGGAGCAGTAAAACATCAAAGGGAATTTACAAAGATATCACTCTAAATTAATACTAGAGTACGTCGAGAACCGAGTAATTGGAAAAAAACCGAGCTCGAGTAATCCGAGTTTGAAAAACCCGAGTTCGAGCAACTTTTCAGGTCGAGTCGAGTAACTCGAACTCGCGCGACTCGAACGTACTCTAATTAATACCACACACAGCATCTTAACCTGTTACTTTAAGCCGTTTCAGTGGCACTGAAAAAATAAAAATACAGTATCTTTTTCTTTTCCCCACTATTTCTTTCGCGTGCTATTTTCTAAAGATTTGGAGGTTGCAACTTCGAGAAGCTTTATCTCGAAAAAAAACTTAGAAAAAAAATTTTCTTAACTAAATCGTTAAACAAAGTCTTATCTTTGTTTTAAAACCAAATTTATCGTTTTTTCACATGTTTTATAAAAGTTACACATGGGTTTGTAACTAAATTTAGAAAATGAAAAATAAAGGGAAAAACCTATTTTGAAAAAATTTATTTTCATTTAAAATGCCTTTAAATGTTAAATAAAATGATTAACATTCCATTTTAATAATTGCATACAATTCATATTCACTTAAATAGAGCACACACTGAAACCCTGGCACTGAAATCCTGGCACTGAAATCCTGGCACTTTATACCAATATTGTGAAGTTTGTGTAGTTCCACAATTGAAACAATGTCGTTTTTTACATTCAATAATTTCACCTATAACAATTAATAGAGCACGAGAATATTTTTATTAAGAATTCCAAAAAATGTAATTACCTATTTTATTGCCAATGTAAATAATTTTACTTTCTTCCCTCTGATATTCAACTTTTTGTTTTTCTAACAATTCAATTTTATATCCAATTAAATTAATTTCCTTCCAATAACTTGACAAAATTTGCTTTTTATAATTTTCTATATTTTCTAATAACATGTCTTTTTTATTTATTTTAATATTTTCTAAACTTTCATCCAATATAGAGGCCTCATAATAACTTTTATTTTTATTGAAATTATTATTTAAAAGTGCCTTAAATTTTTATGTTTATTTATACATATGCTTGTGTTAGAAATTTATATACCTATGTATATGTATGAAGTTTGGGACTTTCTCCTTTTAAAAAGTATAACATAAAAACAAAAAATACCCGGAAGATTAAATTTCATTCTCATTCTGATTTTAATTCGATAGACTTTCATTCAAATTCTGTTTTCAGGAACCAAACCGGGAATCCGTCAATCATCCGAAATGCCGAATTTTAAGCCGAAAGAAACCATAGAACAAATATCGAATCTTTAGGGTGGCTAAACTTATTTTCTAATTGGAATACTCGAATTTAAGTAAATACCAGTTTTTCCACTTTAGGCAAAATTTTTTGTATAATTTCATTATTTGAAATTTCAATCAAAATTCTTCTTTTTAGCTGATAAATATAATTTTTTCCTTTTAATAATTTAACGGTAAAAACATTTTTTTCGGGATTTACTTCAAGTTTACTAAACGATCCACTTTTCTTATAAAGATAATCAGCTATTCTATTATGTGTTTTTACATTAATTAGCAAAACAAAACGTTTAATTAATTCAATATTTTTTAAATAAATAAATTCTCTCTTTTCCTCCCAATTATCCATGATTTTTACATTAACTATTCTCCCACCATTGCAATTTAAAATTAAATTAATATTTAAATATAAAATAAAAATAATTATAAATTTAATCATCTAAAATTAAAAAATTTAAAAAATAAAATAAATTTTTAAAATTTTTCTCGGTTTTTAAACGCATTTAAAGATTTAAAAAATAAATATTTTTTTAAATTTACATTATAAATTAATGCTAAATGATAAAAAAGTGCAATTTTGGTACAAAATGGTATAAATGAATACAGTTGTATCACGATTGCAGACTCAGGTTATCACATCTCTCCCTCTCTCCTCTCTCCACTTTCGTCGGTTATTCGAGTGAATAATAATTCAGACTGGGCAAAACATCTAAACAAGTAAGGTGTTTTGAAGTTGTCCCAGCTTTTGGTAAATAGGAGTGAATAATAAATAATTTAAATAAATCTAGGAATCACCATAATTAAATGTGGAGCAGAGTTGCGTCGTAATTGAAAATTTTTTCGTAATCGTAATTTAAAAAAACTTTTTCGTAATCGTAATTCGTAACTCAAAAAATGTCGTAATTCGTAATTCGTAATTTTTCAAAAATATTTAAATTAATTTTAAAAATCAAATATCTATTAATAATTGCTGCTTCTCCCATTAATCTCTCCAAGTCCTCTTATTTTTCTGATATTATTCAAATCCCAATTAATTCCCTGATATCCCTCTTAATCCTAATAATCCTCCGATATTTCTTTAATCAATCATGAGGAATCATCGTCCCAGATTATGTTTGATATCATGTCAAATCATTCTCACTTAATCCCGAGCCAACACTCTTATATTTTCAGCGCCGCAGGCGAAAATTTTTTAGAAAATTCATGACTAGATTAAAAATTTTTAAGTTTTTCTTTAATTTTAAGATATTAAAAATGTAAATTTACAAACCTAAAATCAAAATCAAAGTTTAAAAACATTTATTTTTGAGAAAATGAACTGTCTAAATGTTATTACCCACACATGGATTCGAACCAAACCTCACAAAATATCAAATGAGTGAAGCTTGACTTTTAACCCACTCAACCACCGATAAACAAAAGTAACCGCGAGAGAAAATATACAGTCGTGGAAAAAAGTATGGAAGCGCTAGAAAATTTTCTCTTAATTTTTAATTTTTCATTCAAAAAATACGTTCTATATACCAATCGAAAGCTCTATTCGTATCTCAGTTGACATGTTTCTGCATTTTTCATGAAAATGAAAATTGGCCGAGATAATCCGGATCTACCGGATATACCAAATCCCACTTTTTCGGAAAAATTTTTCGGAACAAATTTAACAAACCCAAATGATAAAGCATATTTTTCTGAGTATTTTCCACAAAACCGCTTAAAAATATCTTTTTTCAGAGCAGAGATATGATTTTTTGAAAATCGCATTTTTCCCTTAAAAATTGAAAATTTTGCAAAAATTGACGAAAAATGCGATTTTCAAAAAATCATATCTCTGCTCCGAAAAAAGATATTTTTAAGCGGTTTTGTGGAAAATACTCAGAAAAATATGCTTTATCATTTGGGTTTGTTAAATTTGTTCCGAAAAATTTTTCCGAAAAAGTGGGATTTGGTATATCCGGTAGATCCGGATTATCTCGGCCAATTTTCATTTTCATGAAAAATGCAGAAACATGTCAACTGAGATACGAATAGAGCTTTCGATTGGTATATAGAACGTAATTTTTGAATGAAAAATTAAAAATTAAGAGAAAATTTTCTAGCGCTTCCATACTTTTTTCCACGACTGTAAATATTTCAAATATTTCTTCCCCTTTTCATTCTAAAATTTAATGCCAAAATTATTTTCGTAATTCGTAATTTTTCCCTATATTTTCGTAATCGTAATTCGTAACTGAAAAAACGCCGTAATTCGTAATCGTAATTCGTAATTACGAGAATAAAGAATAGATGTGAATGTGCGTGGGGTTATGTATCACCTGGCTGATCCAAAACAGAATGATAGAGAATGTATTTAAATTATTTTACAAGGACCCTAAAGGCTTGTAAAGCTCGCAAAATCTGCAGATAATTAATAAGTTTTCAGAATTTATAAGCACTGAATCTTTAATTATTTATTTTCTATTATTTTTAGTATTGTTTTACGTCATAAATCAAAGCATATACTTTGGAATTTTTTATAAACTTCCAAATTTAGAACATAATTTTTTCCACATTCAATTATTAATTCTAACATAATACAAATATAATAAATGTAAACATTGTCTGAATTATTAAAATAGGACCAATTCTCTCCCTTTTAATTTAAAAAATGCCAAAGCAGAAATTGTTTGTATATAATATTTTCTTTTTTACTTAAATCCCTCGTTATTCTTTTTTAGAATAAGTTCCATTAATTTTGCTTTTTCCAAAAATATTTACGGAATAATTAAACTATTAAATTACCTTTAAATATTTTAATAAAAGTAAGAGAAATAATACAATAACTGAAAATTCATCAATTTTTTAAAATGGAAAATTACCTCAATAAAATATGATTATCGGATCGAGGGAATCCGAGATATAGCTGCTACCTTAAAGACATCTCAATCGTAGATATCCGGTAGTAGATATTAAAGGTTTACTTAACTACATAAGTCTCTTCCTCCTTATATGCGATTAAGCTTTATTGTATGTACATTTTAGAATTTAACTTTCTATTTGTCTATCCTTTAACTCTCACAGTAATTAGCCTTCAGGAGCTATCGGCATTTTGGTTTTGGAAAAAAAAGAAAACCTATTTATTGGATTCCGAACTTTTACTTTAAACATATTTTGAAATTTTATTATTTTATAAACTTTTATATAAATTAAAGGTTTATTATGCTTTCAGTACTTTTAATTAAAAAATGCCACAACTAATTGTATAATATTTTTATATAAAATGTTAACTTCATCATCTCCCTCCCCATATATCAGCGATCCATCAGATCCAAATTCGGGACCAAGTGGTTATGACGATAATCAATTAATTGCTTTGATTAGATTTCACAGCATTGATATTATTGTAATTTTGATTAATTTAAATTTTTAAATTATTCTTTTTAAAAAAAAGATTGGCGGTATTTCTTCGTTTTTATGTGCTCTTACTCTTCTTATTTTTATTTCTTCAAAACAATTCTTTTTACATAATAAGGTTTGTTTGGAAAATAAAGTATTTCTATGAAATATTTTTTAAATGATTAGTGATTCGTTTCTAGTGACGAAAGTTCGATATCATTCTAAAATTGGACGAACCGAAAGGACATTAATGTTTCGCTTAAGTTTCGAATCACAAACCCTCATTCAGTCTTAACATTAGTTTAGAAAAGTCAGACTTCAGTTATACGACGGGGTTGCGTCGTAATTACGAATTACGGCGTTTTTTGTTTACGAATTACGATTACGAAAAAAAATTTTCGATTACGACGCAACCCTGTTATACGACATCAACGTTTACGATACTCTCATATTAACACACTTTTTAATACGATAGTTGACATACAACTGAGATCTAACTATATTATACATATAATTTATAGTTACTAGCCCTTTTGGCATTAGCTGACCTCTTCACAAGTATTGGAGTGTTGGATTTAGGGTTAATGCGTAAAGGATTGTTCACAACAGTTATGGAGACTAGTAGAGTGCCTATTGAGGTAATTTTAGAGGAGTCTATTAATTTATCAAAACTTTCTACAATAATTTGAAGACCTCTTGGACGTGTGCCGGCAAACCGTTTGTCTATCTCCGTCTTTTGGGGGCTCTGATACCCCCAGGAATTGTCTTTTGGATTAGCATTGAACGCTTTGTTGCTGTTTATGCGTCTGATTTTTATAGAAAACATATTATAAAACAGTTGAGATTTTTTAAAGTTAAATTTGGAAAGGATAATCAAGGTTAATCAGAACTGTTTAAAAAAATATATTCAGAAATCGAAAATATTTTTTTAAAATTTCGAAATAAAATTCATAATTTGAAATTTCGAGAACATCAAACATTAAACTAGGAAAATAAAGAGAGATAGTGAAAACCTAAAGATCAACACATAAGCAAAACATTCTGGGAGTATATAGGTATATACATTTAGTATATACATACATTTAAGAAACTACTCTAATTTTTATGTTCGAAAAAATAAGCAGTAATACCCAATATTTTACTCCAAAATACAAAATTTTATATTAAAGTCAGAATATTCCTTCATTAGCTATTCTAATTTATACAATTATTGCCGTAACAACTGCATATACAATAGCCTGGTTGAACCGAAATAAGGGAGCTGTAGAGGCTTATTGTGGCAGAAAAGTAATAATTTTTCTAATTATTTAAATATGAAGAATTCAACAAATAAAATTTTAAAAATATTTTCTCTTTAAAAACTTTCTTCTAAGGTTGCGTTCACTAAAAGCTATACAACTTATGTTTATTTGGCCGATGTTTTAGGCTTTGTAATTGCGTAAGCTAATTTATTTTAGTAAAGCAAAGTATTGCTTCGGGGTCTCTGTTTCTTTCCCTTAATTCCGTTATTTTTATCAAGTGTAATACAGAAGGATTCAATTTACTATTTTTGGACTGTCAGTTATTTAAAATTTTTGAGCATTTTTCCGAAAAAATACTTTCTTAAGAATTAGACTCTAAATTATTTAAAAAATATTTTAGACTTTTGGTTAACTGCATAACCCTTTGCCGTCTCGGCCATCTTTACTCCCAACGTGAAAATCGTTTTGAAGTTAAAAAACAAGTTAGACGTATTCACTACTTATTGTTGATATCGATAATGTCAACACTTACTGTAGCAATACCGAATGGTATTTCGTTAGTTTCTGCTTGGTTTGGCAGGGTAAGTTTAAATAAATTTGTTACAAGTTAAAAAAAGGTTGATAAAGTTGTAAAGGTTGAGGGTTGAAAAAAGTTGAAAATTGAAAAAAAATTTTAATGGTTGGCAAAGAATTTGCACCGAATATTTTTATTCTACACAAGATCTATTGGGCGATCAGTTCTATTGCTATATTGTTTCGTAATTAGAATTTTCTTGTCGAGCCCTAGTTTTAGACCGGAGCCCCTATTCTAAGGCTATAGAAGACCGGCTTTTGTAATTGCCTAAAAATTAACAGCTTTGGGGAAAACTTGTAATAAATACAATTAATTATAGCTAAACATAGCTTTATCTGACCCTGCCAATTGGATGATTGCTGCTAAATGTTCAGTAAACTTATTTATCTACCTTGTCCTCAAAGCTGTAAGAAAACATAAAATTTAAAAGAAAAATCTTTTAAAAGGATTTTCGTCAAAGAGTCTACGAAATTTTAGGCTGTTTAAGTGTTGATGATTGGCAGGATAAAGGGCGAGTACTTGGGGATACGGCAAGAAATGGAGGTGGTGGAAGAAATAATGGAGTGAATAATGCTGAATTTGTTAGTTATTTTTGTTTGAAAAATTATTTTTAGAAATTTAAAATTTGGGTTTGAATGTCGGACTAACAAATCTTTCTGGTTAGAGATTGGTAATTCTTTGAAAAAACCGCAAAAACGTCTCAAGTTATGAGGATGGGTCGGATTGAGAGCAAAATTAGTTTGGGTTTCATCAGGTAACCCAAACCTCTCTCAAAAAATTTCGACTTAAAATCTATATGTACCTAAATATTTATGAATGGTCTTAAATCTACACAATTTCCACAACTGCTAATGCCTTTCCAGATGTTAAGGGAATACAACTCCATTTAGAATTAACTAATAGATTTTCTTAAAATTTTATTTTTAGAACAACGAGGACCAATTATCTAAACAAAACAATAATAATATGCCTTTGAATAATTTGGGTAAATCAATTACTAATGCCGACAATTTAGTTTCGGATTCACTAATAAATCCAAAAGAAAAACAAAAAAGTGAACATGTAAGAAAGGCATGGACAACAAATTCTAAATTTCATTTTGATTCTCTTGATCATATATGAAACATACATAAGACCAATTTTTGGAATTATAATCACCAAGTCAAAAAACGGGATATTGGACACTGGAATTTTAGTTAACAACCGTAAAAAGGAATCTTATCTTGACCTGATATTAAATTGCTAAAAATTGTTTTTCACTCTCCCAGTTGATCAATTCACCGTCAATCTCACTCCCTCTCACTGTAAATCTTTTTTTCTGTGCATGTGCAAAATTTGTTGGTTTTTAAGTTTAGTAATCAAAATCCCTATTGGTGATCAAAATTCAATGCCCAATATTTCGTTTTTTAGGACCCGGGCCGGGAAACCCGGGAATTCCCGTTCCCAGTTTCATCCCGGTTGCTTCAAAAAAACCGGGAAAAGGGACCTGAAAACCGGGGAACGGGTCCCGTTCCTATCTCTAAAAATTTTTATAATTTGTGTGAAATTTTAACTTTAGAAATAAACATTACATATTTAATTGTATGTATATTTTTATCAATCAAAATCCTTTAGAATTTTACAATTAAAATTAATATGTAGTAAATTTACAATTTATATTCAGAAAAATATGTAAGTAGGTATATCAAAAAATTTTCTTTTCTCATTAAAAACTAGCTTGTATTACATTTTACTGAAAAATCATCAATTTAAACATAAATTAAATCATAAAAAACCAACCGATCTATGACCAAAAAGAGAAGGAATGAACCGAAAAATTTGAACAATGTCCAAAAGCTAAGAAAAAGAACTGTTTAAAAATTAAATTTTGTCTAATTAAATTACCATAATAACAGCAAAAATATATTCCTTTGGTTCGATTACATAATTATGTCCTCCCATAATAAACTAAGTAAATTATTTAATCTTAAAACTGAACAAAATTTAATATTACTTTAATATCAATAGCCAAATATAGCATAAAAACGAGGGTGCCAATACCTGCATAGATCTGGAAAAATATATTTAAAAAGAGGATGGAAGATTGAAAACTAGATAAAGAGTTCGGGTATGGAAAATCATTGTCCAAATGACAGCAAAAAATCCAAAAAGTATCAAAACCATTCCAATTATAACCGCGAAACCAAGAATGCTTAAGTGAAATTTTAAAATAAAAATGAGATGAAATTTGAATGAGAGGTAGAAGAAATGGTGAAAAATCCAACCTGGTGATATCACGTTTAGTGATCAGCGAGAAAATGACTATATGTACCTACACAGCAGAGAGTTGTAACAACGAAAGCAAGGACAACAGAATCGAGGGAATAGTAAGAGGTTATGACCATGGCCTAATAAAGTTGTTATCGAATGATAATAAGATCAAAAGAATACAAGAAATCCAATTGAAAGAGTTAAAATTCCGGTACTAATTAGGTTTGTTGGATGAGTTCGACGTGCGCTTTCACAGCAAATTATAGCAAAATAAACAACCAGAAAAACTAATAATGACAAGAAATAAAGCCCCGAACTTTTCTTCAGATAGTCTCTAAGTGGATATTTCTCACCATCACGGTAAAAGAGGGAAATTGCTGACATAACCGTGACAACACTTATCTTGGAAGGATATAATTGATATAATAAATAAATAAATTACACACCATGATAGTCATCAAAGTAAAAACCTTCCTAAGAAAAGCTTGTCTTATTGTCTTATCATTAAATCCAATTCCAGTTTTCGGCATTCCAATTTCAACTGGATGAGTGTTCTCATCAGCTCTAACCCCGTAAGGATTAGTGCCTGTACGAGATAGGGCATTTTTAGGATTTTTAAAGGATTCTAAACTGAACAAGGAAACAATAAAAGCTAAATTAAATGTAAAATTAATGAAATATTATTGTCTTTTTTAATTCAATGCAATGTTAAAGTTTAAATCTCGTAACGTTAGAAACGATAACAAATTCTCTCTTTTATTTAAAAATCTTTAAAAAAATATTTAGTAAACAACTACATGTGGTTAAACATAAGAATTAAATTTGGTGAGTAAAAGCCTAGACAACGGGGATATCCGCATTTTTCTTGTTATTTACTACGTTTGAATTTTTAAATTGTTTTATGGACCTCAAAAGCCGATATTCTACTAAAAATTAAAACGAATATGTATGAGGTTTCAAATTTCGATCAGATAAATACCTCAAGAATCAACTAAGCCAACTACACTACTATACCTTCGATTCCTCTTAACGATCTCTGTAAGAATTTCTAAAAATTTATTGTCTGAGAAAAAATTATAACGTTTCAAACATTCAAAAATTTAAAACTTGTGGTGAAATTAGACAAATCATGAAAAGATGATTAATATGTAAAAGAAATAAAAAAAGGAACCATGAATTAATCATTGTAAAAGCTATATAGAGTTAATTTTTCATGTAAAATCGTTAATTTTTAATTTTCTAGATTTATTTCATATTTGTATGTGTCATATTGTAGGCTCATCGTTTTTGGTGATTGTACCATCTTTCTTTTTGTTTAACAATTTAAATGGCCTTGGCTTCTAAATAATTTTTAATAATTTGAAATAAATGAATATTGTGTAAATTTTTTAATTTAGAAGTACACAGGAAGTTAAAATTTGAAGATAATAGAAGTTAAAAATGTAATTTCTGCCGGAACGAAGTCCGAAAGGCACGGAGACGGGGCTTTTTACCGGGAAAAAAACATACTCACATTGTGTCTCATATAGTAAATGCTACATGCATTGCATTCAATTTTTTTATTTTTGTTTCGGCGAAATTTTGGGCTAGAGTTTGTTCCACAATTAGCGCATGCTATCTCAGAAATACTTGGTATCTCAGAAACCTTTTTTATAACCTTTAAAATTTAATTATTTCTGTTTTAAAAAATAATAGATTAGCAAATCCATTCAATTATTTGCCGTCACTAATATAAATCCATCCCTACTTAAAAAGTTGCAGTTTATGTTTAAAAGTTCTAGTTATTGAGTGTTCAGAATTTAGGACTCCTTTTACCGTAAATGCTGAAATAAAGTCCCTCTCTCAAATAATTTATGAAACTTTTTGACTAACTTTATTCCTTCTAGGTTTTGTATTTTCTAAGTAGAATTTTTGATCATAACAGCTATTGCAAATATATTTTTTGATTAAATATCTACTCCAGTTTTTAGTTTTTGTAGCATTACAAATAAAACAATGACGCTTTTTCCCTTCCATAATTTCACCTTAATATTTATAATTTTCCACAAATTAATAAAAAGATTTTGCTCCAAAATTAGCAGTAAAAAATGTTTTTTTTCAATTTTTTATTGGACGGAAATAAGGATTTACCTAATAAAAATGCTGCTTGATGGGTCGAAATTACTCTTGGCTATACTCCCTATAGATACACATCCTAAATGGTTCTCAAATAAAGCGGCTCTAACCGCTTTATTTTTCAATCACTTCTCAAAAAACCTTTGATTTGATCTAGACAGTTTTTTGCATTTGTCCACACTCTGTCCCAAAATTATGAGTTCACTTTATTATTTAGCTCCAAAATATTAGGAAAAATCTATAAATATCGCAAATTGTCTCAGAACTTGCAATTAATAAAAATAAGATTAATAATAATTAATAATAATTATTATTAATAACTAGGGTGCGGATTTATAGGCAAATGCCTTTTCTTTCTGCGAGCTTGGCATGAAGTAATACGTTCAAAAAACGTGTTTTTAGCATGGTCCGAGGAGTCTATATTTTAGCGAATTTATTTTGCCTATTTTTGCCTATTTCGGACTTTTCGAGCCTTTTTGTCTATTTTGGAATTTTCGGTACTATTTTTGCCTTTTTAGCGATTTTTTCTAAATTTTGCCTAAAAAAGATTTTACTGATTTTACTTGCCTAACTTCCGCGCCTTATTAATAACAATTAATAATAATTCAGAATAAGCTAAATAAACATATATTAATAAATATTTGCAGTTTGTATTATAATAATTTCGGGATAGAGTGTATAGGTTTTATTGCCAAAGAATTTTCCTCTTTTTTAATATAAATTAATTCGTAAATACATATGTATTTATGTATAATTAAAGTAATTTATAAATAGAATTTGTTTAATCCAAAATTAGAATTACTTATTTTATTGCCAATGAAAATAATTCTGTCTTTTAACAAATCTTGGTCATTTTCTTTATTTTTGTTTATCAATTCGATTTTATATCCAAACAAATTAATTTCTTCCCAATAACTTGATAAAAGTTTTTCTTTATAAATATCAATTATTTCTTTTAATTTATTTTTTTCTTCAATTGTTTTTGAAATATTTTCATTTATTTTTTTGTACAATATTGAAGTTTCATAATTATTATTCTTTTTATTTTCAATAAATTTATTATTTATAAAAACCTTAAGTTTATTAATAAAATCTTTTTTAAACAACTAATAAACAATATTTAGTTGTATCTCCATTAATAATCTCGATTATCATTAATTATCGCAACCCTCCCCAAGCATTCATTAAAGCATGTCTTAATATAGTATATAGTATCTTAATTTTACATTGTCTGTCTGAGTTTACTTATGTCCGAAGAATGTCGGAGATATCAAAGTCGACGAGTTTAGTTTCTTAAAGTAGAAAATACAATGAAGGAGGAGGTAGTATTGGGCGAAATGACTAAGGAGATCAGAGACTAGTCGGTCTAGTATGATCGAAGGCTATTATTATAAGCTCTTATACTCGTAAGCCGACTGTTATATACAGGGTGTTTCAACTAAGAAATACTATTTGAAAAATTCATAACTTTTTTCTGCGTTGACAATTTTTAATGAAATTTTGTTAAAATCTGTCAACGCAGAAAAAGGTTATGAATTTTTCAAATAGTATTTCTTAGTTGAAACACCCTGTATATTAATACCACTACATAAACGTATTGCTGAAGTTTGTAAGATTTAACCTGTTTATCCAATTTAGGTATCAATTTTTGAATAAATTGACAATTGGAAACTTGGATAACAATCTTCTTTGATAACTGAATATTTTTATTAAATTTTGAATAATCAGGAAGTTTAACATTAAAAGAATTAGTTTTTCGATTAAATTTGAGAATATCTAAGCCTTCTAAAACATTAAAAATAATTTCATCATCAATGGCTTTTGAATTCCCGAATGTTCTCAATTTCAATACAAAACGTTCTTTTTGTTTAATATTTTTTAAATAAATGAATTGCCGTTTATCTTTCCAATCATTTTTTATTTTAACTTCAACCTCTATAGGATATCTTATTTCTTTTTCACATTGAAATTTGAAGAAATTAATTGAATAAAGGATTAACAAAAGAAATAATTTAATCATCTAAATAATAAAAAATGTAATTATTATTTAGCGTGACAACTGTTTTATTATGTTTCTCATCAAATAATAGCTGGGAACATTATTCTAGTATGGAGTATTAATTAAAAGGAATTACCGTATTTATTCTAATTGAATGGCCCCTACAATTGAATGGCCCCTCCAATTGAATGACTTTTCGGAATGAATGAAAAATAGAATGGGCTCCTCTATTTGAATGGCCCTCTCCAATTGAATGACAATTTTTTGGGTATTGAAAAATAGAATGGCGGCCATTCAATTAGAATAAATACGGTATGTAATAATCTGAAGCATTTATTTTTTGTGTGCCCACAACCCAAACTCCAACTGAGAATTTTTAAAAATCTAAAACTTTTAGATTTAAATATTTTTAAATTAAAAATGAAGAATAACTTTTAAATGTCTATGAATATTTAATTAAATTAGTAAATTAATTTGGCAGGCTATTATGAAATAATATTTGTTTATTATTAAGCGCTATTTTGACTAATGAAAATAAATTTTTTTAATTTATTTTCTTCGACATTTTTTAGAAATATTCAATATTCTTTGAGAGGAAAGTGCAAATGATTTTATTTTTAGCGCCGATCATACATAAATGAAAAATAATTTTGAAAGAGAATATTATTTTTTATGACGGCAAATTATTAATAAATATGTATTTACCGTATTTTCTCTAAAATAGCCCCCGGGGGTTATTTTTTTCGATCGACCTCCAGAGGGGGGGGGTTATTTTTTTCGATGCCTAAATTTTTTGAAAACCAAAATTTTTTTACCAAATTTTGAATAATATTTTTCTAAAATTTAATAGAATTCTTCATGAACTAAACGTCTCTTAACGAAAATCATAGCCCAAAAACTTCCATCAAGTAATCCTCAGTCCTTAAATTCATCCAAGACTACGTTTAAGGTTCAGGATACCTAATCAAGAATTAATTTTAGATTATTATCCCACTCGTATACATCTCAGTTAAGTCCCTAAAGTTTAATAATATTAAAAGGGGTTGGATTAAGATGCCTATCTTGGCATTTTTAGGTATTAAAGTCAATGTGACATGACTCTAATCCTTCATCGAGAGATCAAGTGTATAATAGATCAAGTGGATATACATCATAATCCCCTTATATCCCTTCAAATCCTCGATATCCCCCATAATCATTTCTAATTTTATTGACATATAGGGATTAAACATTGCTGTGCTTTGAAAAATATCAATGCCAAAAAATAATTACATATTTTATGGGAGGGGGGTTGGCTCTATCTTAGGACATGCGTCCCATGAACATTTATGCGTCCCATGAACTTTTATGCGTCCCATGAAGGTTTATGCGATCCAAAAATAGTATATGCGTCCCATGAAAGTATATACGTCCCAAAAATTGTATATGCGTCCCAAAATAAGATAAGCGCAAAACAACATCTTTTAAATGAATTAATGAAAATTAAATAAGTATTATATGTTTGCTTGCTCAAGGGACAACGAGTTTTTGAAGCGGGTGGAATATTGAAACATACGGATTTGTGAAACAGGCGGAATAGTGAAACAGGTGGAATTGTGTTGTGAATTTGGGGTTAGCGAGGTGGTCGGCCGAAGGCTATCAGTTATTCTTTTGATAATGCTTTGTTAAATGTTTTGGTAATCTGGTATGCTGGTCAATGGTTAATAATCGGTTTGTTGTGTTTAAGCGTCTTGAATTAGAGTCAACTTTTGAGGTTGTCATAAGTTGATTTGGATTCAGGTTTTTTTGATTTGTTTTGAATTTGCTAGCGGGGTGGGGCGGCCATAGGCCGACCGACTCTCCACTTGTATAATAAAATATTTAATTGTCATTAATAAAATTAAAAAATGTTTTTACAATTGTTTTACGCTTATATTAATTTTGGGACGCATATACTTTGAAGGGACGCTTATACTATTTTTGGGACGCATATACTTTCATGGGACGCATAAAAGTTCATGGGACGCATAAAAGTTCATGGGACGCATAAATGTTCATGGGACGCATGTCCTAAGATAGAGCCGGGGGGTTATTTTAGAGGGGGGGGGGTTATTTTTTCCGATCGACTTCTAGATGGGGGTTATTTTAGAGGGGGGCTATTTTAGAGAAAATACGGTATATGGTTACCGTATTTACTCTGGTAATTCCCCAGGGGGATTATTGTTTCAACCCATCTCTAGGGTGGGGAATTAATAGAGACTGGAGAATTAATAAAGACTGGGGGATTACTAGAGTAAATACGGTATACATATTTCCTAACTTTACTTGAATATTTCGAAGTTATATGGTCATTAGTAGCAGAGGTGAATCGGAATTCCGACTGATGATTTTTCCAAATTTCTCAAAATTTTTGCCTGCGACGCTGAGAAAGGGAGAAATTTGGCTCAAGTGTTTCCAAAATTCTAATTAGAGTAGCACGAGATCGAGGCTTTTCGAAAAAAACCAAGGCGTGGGTCACCGAGGCTGAAAAAGCCTAGATCGAGGTCGAGGGGCAAAGGACCGAGGATAACCTAGGTTTTTAAAAATTATTAAAAAGTTTCAAAAATCTACTTGAATTTAAGAAATTAAGAAGCCGGGAAAATTACATATTCAAACAGGGGGAAGCTGTTCAAACTCCGGGAGTAACCTTCCTGTTGTTGGAACAATATTTCCCAAATTGGAACAAGATTTTTCAGTCTCGATATATACATAGAGGTAGTGTTATAAAACTATTTGATATATGGGAGCGATATCGATATACCGTATTTGCTCTATTAATCCCCCAGTCTTTATTAATCCCCCAGGCTCTATTAATCCCCCACCCTGGAGATGGGTTGAAACAATAATCCCCCTGGGGGATTACTAGAGCAAATACGGTATTGGGTTGATCTTCTAAATTTTATTCCAAGCAAAACACAAAATTAGAGAAACTATTTTAAAAATCAAAAAACAAAAAATATAAACGTAATCGTCAATAAAAAAGAATAATGCAATAAAAATGTTTTAAAAAATTTTAAACAATGGATTAGTGACGTATAACTTTTTTGGTTGTTGATTTAATAATTACTCATATATATTCCATATATTTACACAAAAATATTAAATATGTAAAAACTATAAACTTTACTCATTCTCTATTAAAAATTTTTTTATTGGGGAGATTAAAAAGTTATGAACCATATGTGGAGTTTGATTTTTAATAAATCTTTGAGTCCGAGTAAATTTTTAAATATTTTATTATTATCGGATAGTTTTTATAGGAAGGTAAAAATAAAAAATAAAATGACATGAAAATTGGATAAAAGGACAATTCTTAAGGGAAATTCAAGAACTGATTTTGAAAAATTATATTTGGAAAATTTCAAAAAAAACATTTGATTAGTAAAGCAGCTGGGCTATAGCTATTTCTTTCGGCTCTATCTTAGGACATGCGTCCCATGAACATTTATGCGTCCCATGAACTTTTATGCGTCCCATGAACTTTTATGCGTCCCATGAAAGTATATGCGTCCCAAAAATAGTATAAGCGTCCCTTCAAAGTATATGCGTCCCAAAATTAATATAAGCGTAAAACAATTGTAAAAACATTTTTTAATTTTATTAATGACAATTAAATATTTTATTATACAAGTGGAGAGTCGGTCGGCCTATGGCCGCCCCACCCCTCTAGCAAATTCAAAACAAATCAAAAAAACCTGAATCCAAATCAACTTATGACAACCTCAAAAGTTGACTCTAATTCAAGACGCTTAAACACAACAAACCGATTATTAACCATTGACCAGCATACCAGATTACCAAAACATTTAACAAAGCATTATCAAAAGAATAACTGATAGCCTTCGGCCGACCACCTCGCTAACCCCAAATTCACAACACAATTCCACCTGTTTCACTATTCCGCCTGTTTCACAAATCCGTATGTTTCAATATTCCACCCGCTTCAAAAACTCGTTGTCCCTTGAGCAAGCAAACATATAATACTTATTTAATTTTCATTAATTCATTTAAAAGATGTTGTTTTGCGCTTATCTTATTTTGGGACGCATATACAATTTTTGGGACGTATATACTTTCATGGGACGCATATACTATTTTTGGATCGCATAAACCTTCATGGGACGCATAAAAGTTCATGGGACGCATAAATGTTCATGGGACGCATGTCCTAAGATAGAGCCTTTCTTTCATTCAGCCAGTGCAAAAAGTTATTCGGCGGCATCTTCAGTAGAACGGACTGATGTGTTAGCCATTACGTTTACAAAAAAATCTTCAGTCCGTTTCAGTATAGATTACTCGTTCTTCTCTACCACAACATCTTATCCAATCCTATTTTTTAATTTTTTGTGACAAATTTTCTCTTCCATCAAATATTATAAAAAAAGCTTTAAAAGGTTTATCCAATTTCCAGATATATTTTTAGGACTTTACTCTATTCAGGGTCACAACTTTTTACCAAACTACAATTTTCGACAATATTTAGAGGTATTATTACCCTTTATTTGAATAATAATAAAAATGTTACGTAATTACTTGTGATTCATTCAATTTACATCAATTAGCCACACCTGCCCTTCCCCCTTTTGACAAAAAATTGGAAAATAAAATTTTAATCCTTTTTCAAATAAAAAGTTTTCAATATAAAAACGCTTAGAATAACAAACATTTTTCAAAAACAAAAATTAAAAATAAAATAAAATAATCAAATAAAAATTCCCCTCCCCCAAAAAATGTCCAAAATATTTTTCTCCCTTTTTTTATTTGTTTCCTTTTTTGCTTTAACAATTTCCTTTGGATTTGGCGGTCCAAGAGGCAATATCCTTAAATTACTACCTCCTTTTATTGGAAATATTACTCGAGAACAAATTAGAGAATATAATGAAATTGTGGGAAATATAACTTCGACAAAGGCGGAAATTAAAAGTGAATTGCAGAATTGGGCACAGAATAATGGAATTTTGGTTGTTAAAAATTGTTTTGAATTTTTTTTGAAACTAGTGTTGTTGGCGACCGATTATTAATTTTTTTATTAATTATTAATTTCAGTTATCACGGGTTTTCGGTTCCGGTTAATTCGCCAAAAACACCGGTTAACGGTTCCGGTTCGGTTAACCGTCCGCCAAAAACCCTGTTTGAAACTTTGAACGTTTAGTTGGGGCCGGGATCGCTGAACGATCTGTATTATTTTGACAAGTATGGTTTGGGTCCCACTCTTATTTATTATTTCCTCTTTTGCCAATCTTTCAAAATTAGAAACATCCCCAACTCTTAAGAATTTGTGTTTCCAATGTTTACAGAAAACAAAAGATTTACCATTAAAACATTCATTTTTAAGCAACCCTACAATAATTTCACTTCACAATTACAACGAGATGCTGAACAATTCCATGACAGAGTTGTCCAAAACCTGACAGGGGAAGCCTTGACGTTATTTAACCAAATTTGGGTTAGTTACAAGTAAAATTATTTTGACTAAATTAGAAAAATATTCTTATGTAACCTTTCATTATTTCAAAAATCTAATTGTAAAGTTTCCTCAATCCCCCCCCCCCCCATTTCTTAACTTCCAGCGTATTCGTCAAGATGACACCATAACTCGTTTGGCCGAATGTCAACAAATTAAAAACGCCTATAAGCAAGCCTCCCCCGAAGTTCGTCAACAAGTGCCGTTTATTCTTCCTTCAATTTTGGGCCCACCCCCGCGTGGATGTTGCTTTCCCCGTCCTTTTTCTCATTCTAGCAGCAGTGAACAACAACCTACAGATAACACTCTGGATGATCAAAAAAAGGATAGTGAAGATAATTGAGGATAGAATGATTGTGTAATGATTTTAAAAATACAAGAATTAACACATAAGAATACAATTTGTTGATAATAAAAATAAAATATCAATGGGCATATTGTCAAAGTTCTTTTTATAAAATGATTAATCATCCTGAAATTTCTCAACTTATTTCTTAATATATTAAATCCGGAATGTTTAAATTTCGATTTGTAATACAATGGCGTAAATTAATAATAGCAAGTGTTCAATATATCACATTTATCCATTTACTAATTGATAATCAAGACGTAGTTTAGTTTAATATGTACATGAATACTTTAGGGATAATTTATCTGGAAACATTTAAAAAGTTTAGGCGGGGGTTAAACAATAAAAGAAGAATAGAGCAAAAGTTTTGGTTTTGGTAGATTAGTGGCAGAGCAACAATGTTTTTGAGCGAAGTTCTGCATGCACTTTGAAAAGTTTCAGGTTCGATTCCTGCCCAATCTCTAAACTTTTGCTTTAATTTTAATATAAAATGATTCGGGGTAAAAATAATGAATAAAATATCAAGGATTATATGTAGAGGTGACAAATTTGGGTAAAATTTTGATTTCAAGGAATTTTTTAGTTAAATAAATTTAAATTTAATGTGAATTCTTGCTGGGAGAGATGAATAATTTAGCAACATACCATCATAAATTTTTCATTTGCGATTCACAACTTTTTCTAATTACAACCTAATAAGCTAAATCTTCGCCATAGTTTAGATTTAGATTTAGGTTTATCCTGATCGATTAGATCTTTCATAGTACCTTCGGTTTTTTGTTTAGTATTGTCATGTTGCTTCCTTTCTTTTTTCTTGTTGGATTTTACGGTTTTAGGTTTACATGACCACCCTTTGTCACCAACTATGTCCGGTTGAGCACCACGAAGTCGAGCTTGAGAATGTTGATGAGGAATATTCTTGTCTGATATATGACTTGAACTAGCAACTTTTTGTTCTCCCGCTTCATTTTTCTTTGTAATAGGTGCTCCTTGATTTACTTTTTTACTTTTGTCGGAGGTTTCCCAATCTCCTTCTGCTAAAATTTTTTGAATTTCTAATGAAAAGTCAGTATTAATAAGGGACAAAATGGTATACATATAGGTAATTAAGTTTTTTACCTTCTTTTGTATGAACGTTCTCCTCCTCGATTTCCTCTGTGCGCAAAGCCTTCGATGTACTTCCTCTTTCAAGAACATCAAACTTGAAAATTATTTGATAATTTTTAAAATTTAACTAAGAAAAGTTAAATTACCGGTTTCTTCACATTTTTTGGAAAATTTGATTTTCTATGATCAATTTCAATTAGCTAAATTAAATGGTCAATTAAAAGTAGAGTTGGGCGGGATCGGGATCCCGGTCGGGATCGGGCGGGATTATCCCGGTTTTTTTGAATCCCGATCCCGCCCAACTCTAATTAAAAGTGATTTAAAGTTTGCTCGAGAAAAATTTTTATTTAGGCGAGGAAAATCATATTTAGGGACTAGAGCCTTCTATGATATACTTAAAAATAAGCACTCTTTCAATTTTGGAAGTACGGGGTCGATTTGTAAGTACTGTACTTCCAAATAAGTAGGATACGAATCTTTGGTATTGTTCAAAAAAACTGTTTCCTATTACGGATTACGGTATTGCCATCAATTTTGTTATAACTTAAATTTTTACACTATTTTATTAAGCCGAGGAAATACTACTTATATTTAGGGAAAAATAAAAAACCAAAAAACATAACCCTTGTAGTAGCTTTGTTTGATTTATTAAAAAATAATTTTTAATTAACTCTATGGGTAAAATTTATTCAACAAAAATACTTACATCGCTTTCGGATTCACTACTCAGCAATTCGTTCTGGTTAGATGGCTAAATTTAACAATTAAACCATTTTGAAAAACTAAATAAATCCACTAATGTGGGAAAACCTACCCTATCATCCTGATTTGTCTGTGTAATTGAAGCATTTATAGAATCAAGTTCAAATGTCTTAAATAAAATAATGTTTAGATTTAATAAATTTATTTATTCAGGCCGAAGCTAAGCTCATTATAACAACAGACATTACTAGAATAAGTGTCATAATTGTTTAACAATTAAAATAAATAAATTTTTTCACAAAAATAAGGGAGAAATTTCTTCCATTCCTTCATAATATTTCCGACAAAAAAAGATGACCGGTTCTCTCTCCCTCATGGGGTCACTTTGTATAGGACTACAGAGTCATTCGATTTCACTCGCAAAGTTGAGTTCAAATATGCAAGAATTTTCGGAACAAAAACTCTCAAGGATATAGGCACCTGAAAATCAAAAAGCCATATGAGGGAGTAAGCGCGGCGACCGTATCAAAGCGGCGCTCGACATGCCCGAATTCATACGCAGCGGCCTTGTGTTAGGGGTTAAAGCAATTGGTCACAACTTTGTCAAATTAAGTCAGACTTCTATGATTTTGGAGTCATCCGATTCAGCACGTCCCTCATATGGTTTTTCAGCTTTCAGGAGCCTATATCTTTGCGAATTTTCGTCTCCGGCAGAAAATTCCTAAATATTTGAACTCTGCTCGGCGAGAGGAATTGGATATAATACGAGTTTTCCAATTATTGGTCATATACTAGAGTACAGCATCCCTCATATTTTAAATATAGAGTTAATTTAATAGTTAAAAGATAGCCATAATCGTAGGTTTCGACATCGAGAGGAAAATTTGTTAAAATAAATCTTACCTCGCTGTCGGATTCATTACTCGTCGAATGTCCATCCCTTTTCCATTTATTTACATCCTCAATAGGATTGCTGGATTCTATCATATCTGACTTCGGAAATGCAAACCACTGACTAAAAATATCAGTCGATTTCTAAAATAATATATGCTGTACATATATCAGCCTTGAAAATTTAGTTACAAAGATTCTTTAATGTTTTTTGTAACCGATGTTATATTTTTTATAGCCTACATACTTTGACTGAAAGAAAATTCCATAGATTTGTAACTACATAATTTTCGAAAATTTTATTGAAAAATATCCATACACCAAGCTAGATATTTTGCTTAATTTTTTTCGTTTAAAAATTTCCAAAAAAAACAAAAATGACTAATAACTACAACTTATAATTTTCTATTTAAATGTTTATTAAATTCCTTACAGCATGATCAGAGACTTCCGTTGTTGGCAGGGGAAATTTAAATGACTAAATTAAATAAAATATAATATTATTTAAGAAGTTAAAGCAGATATACTGTATTTCCTCTAATTGAATGACTCTTTAGAGGATCATTCAAAAATAGAGTGGCAGGTCATTCCAATAAAGGAAATACGGTCTATTAAAAAAATTTCAGATACCCCTTCATCATGATCAACATTTCTATCGACATCTTCAACATTACTACCGCTAACATCGGTGATCACAGTTTGTTCATCGCCTGTCTTATCTCTCACCCAATTTCCAAAACTTGCAGCTGATTCCTAAAATTAAAAAAATTATGAAAAAATTCAGTGCTCAATTATTTCCTCTAATTGAATGACCCTCTGGTTCTTTTTCTTGAAATTTGTGATGAAAATTCTAACAATAATTTAATCCTTAACGATTTATTTAATGTCTATAAGTTCTTAAATATTTAGATTTTCTTTGGATTTTGAGTTTAGGTTTGGTTACATTTACATTTTTATATCGGAGCCTTTGCACAATTGGTCTAGGACCATCATTAGTTAACTGCAAGACTTTTCCCTCAACAAATGTGCTTTATCGACTGAGGTACCTGTGCATACATTCAACTTTTCCCTCCTTTATTATATCTTAAACCCCGCCAATTAGAGATTAATTTTTTTAATTTACAACTTACCAAGCTTTTAGTGCTATTATCATCTACGGCCGTAACGTTGGAATTAGAAATGTAATAGAGGAAAATAATTTGTAAAACAATTAAATTTATAGAAGATAACATCTTCCTAATCACTAGATTATCTTTTTCAAGTTTTTAACGGGTTTAGTTTAAATTATCTTTTGTATAGACACTAGAAATACTGAATAAAAAATTTTTATTTAGATATATTAGAATTTAAGGTTCCGTTTCTTTGTTGAGGACGGGGGGGGGTGTAATAAAATTTTATCTCCAGTTAATTTTTTTTAAATAAAGATTCCTTTCCATAAAAAAATAACCAATATTAAAATGTTGAACTTAATTACGGGGGTATCCGAATATAAATAAAACTTCAGATTCTGTATTTTTTCAAAGCCAAATATGACAGCTCTAGAGGGCACCTTTAAACATATTTACGTGAAAATCCTTTTCAATATACATATTAATTTTAAAATTTTTATTAAAAATTAATTTTTATATAATTTATTTTAAAATTGTCTATATAATTTTATTTAAAAAAAAATTTAAAGTGGCAAGAAAGATAAAATCCTCTCCCCCCCCCCTCCTCCCTCTCTCCCTCCCTTCCCAATAAAGACAGGAATCGATTGTCTAACTCGACAACTTCCATTGTTTAATAAAAAATTTAAGAGGAAGGCAGTCATGAGGAGGTAAGGGACCCCATGAGAGGGGAAAGGAAATTTACACATGACCCCGAAAAATTTTAAAAAGTTGGGAATTTCAAGACGTCAATAAAAAATTATGTCTGATATTATTAAAGAATTAATTATTAAAGAATTACCGCAAATAATTTAATTAAAGCCTTGGGCTTCTATTTTTAATATGTAGGTCTTTTCTGGGTTGCTTATATTAGATAGGGTCTTTTATTTTCAGATGGCCCCCTTAGTTGGGGCTGAATTAGATATAGGCTTCTAAATAAGTCAGGCTTCAATTAGATACGGTATCTGATACGGTATCTGTAAAAGATACTGTATCTGTAAAGATACGGTATCTGTAAAAATTATCAATTGAATAGATCAGCAAAACGACTGACTAAATGATCTTGTTTTCTCTTGTCCGTGTTTTGGTATGGTCCATATTTTGGCCGTTCCGTGTTCTGTCTTTCCCATGTTTTTCTCGTTCCATGTTCTGTCCGTTCCGTGTTTTGGCATTCCTTGTTCTGCCCCTCACCCTGTATTTTTAATACTCTAGCATTTTTCCATCATGAAACTGTTTCACTTTTACGGATACTTTTATTGACTAAACATTATTTTGTTTGGTGGTTGGGGGTTGGTCTGACGTTCGCTACATTTTTCTATCATCTCCGTTTGGTATTTTTGTCAGGAATTTACTATTAAATTCTATACTCTTTTACATACAAAAAATAATAATATACTATTTAATATTGTACAAACGTAAAATAAATAAAGCAATAATCGATATACTTTCTATCTAATATTTTTATTTTACTTTTAATAAATAAATAAATATTTTTTAACTTTTTTAAAATTTAAAACTTAATTTTAAGACAATGTCTGATCCACAAAATTACGGAAAACAACCAAAAGACCCCAATAAGCCTATGAAAGAACGAATGTTGGCTGGGGAACTTTATCGTATTGATAATGTTCTTGAACAAGAACAGGATTTAACGGCTAAATGGCTGGCTCGTTTAAATGATTCTTCTTGTTCCAGCCGTTCTGAACGGCAACAAATTATTAGAGAACGAATTGGGGCTATGGGAGAGGGTTGCGATATACGGCCACCTTTTTATTGTGATTATGGTTGGTGATTAATGATTTATGATATGTAGATGGACCTCACTAAAACATATGGATGTACACTCGGTTACATCCCGATACACCGCGAGCCCAGTATACCGCCGAGCTATAACTTTGTTCAGAATTGTCGAATCCGGGAGGTCCTGACATAGTTTGATTCAGCTCGACAAGCCGCATCAAACCATAGCAGAGCGTCCCAGCTTTGTTGGAGCAGGCCGATCGCAGTATATCGGCCTGTCCCATGTACACTTAATACTAGATATTGGTTGTGTGTTTATGTGTGAGTACGTAAGATTTTTTTGCTTTCCATTTTGGGAGGATTCCTACTCTTTAAGGCCAGGAAGTCAAAATTGTTTCAAATTTATCCATTTCTCCGAATTTTCCTTAAAAATGTCTAAATACATGCATAAAAATGAAATCCCAAGGTTGTGAGTTAGTTTAGTGAGTTAGTTAGTTTAGTTTAAAGTGAATTCCGACTTTATCTTGAATATTTTTAAATAAAATATTTTTCCAGGCTCAAACATTTTTATGGGAAAAGATGTCATTCTTAACTTTAATTGTTGTATTTTGGATGTGGTTACTGTTACAATTGGAGACGGCACTTTGTTTGGACCAAACGTTCAAATCTATCCTGCAGATCACCCAAGGGACAAAGAAACACGTTTAGAAGGTTGGGAATTTGGTCGGCCTATTAAAATAGGCAAAAATGTGTGGATTGGTGGAGGGGCAATGATACTTCCCGGAGTAACTATTGGGGATGATGCTATAATTGGGTAATTTAAAAATATTGAGACATCACTAAAAGATACACCTCTTGGGACTGAAAAAAAGCTTGATTTATTGGTAGCTTAATTAGAAACTCAAAAATTAGAACGTCATCAAGACGTAATGTAGTACTTTATTAAGGGACACGCTCAAGTAGTCGCGCGGCCATAACGGCGCAACGCCATAGCTTGCTGAAAAATTTCTGGCTCATCAATTTTGGTACCATTCTTTTTAGCTCGATGAAAGGAAAAGTTTAATGCTAAATTTGGTAATATTCGGAAATCTTGAAGCAAGTTATGGCTTTGCGCCGTTATGGCCGCGCGCCTACTTGGGCTGTACCCCTTTATCAATACCCTGCCCCCCTCTCTATTTGAGTCTCGGATTAATATTGCTTTTTTACTGTCAATCATTTTTTCTACCAAACATTACCTATAAAGTAAAACAGCTTTTACGAATATATTGTGTTAACAATTTAAAGCTGTTTTACTTTATAGGTTATTATGAAGGAAAAAATAAACGGCAACTAGGCCTAACGGAAAAAATTAACGTTTATAAAGAAGGAAATTTGCCAATTATAAGGTAGGGAAAAAATAAAAAGAAAATCATTCTGCGACATAAATAGGGGTGGGGGAGGGATATTAATAAAATGCCCAGATTGGAACATTAATTTCGTTGTGGGGGTTTTTAATATGGGGAATCAGCTTTACAATGCTGTAACTCGGTCCCAAGTAGGCGATTAATTTAGAGGGTATTTGAGGTTGTATTTTATAGTGAAGACGCCTTTATTATCTAAAAAATTATATTCTAAGTGCTGGCTCTGTAGTGACTAGAGATGTTCTGCCAAACACAACTGTTGCGGGAAATCCTGCGCGTCCTTTAACAAAAAAGTGTGGATGATTTTTACTGGAATTAAAGAGATAAATTGAAGAGGACATTTCATTTTTGCGTTAAAAAACTTGATATACCGTAAATATAATATATAGACTATTTCCAGTTGATTTTTTAAAATGTTGTCATTTTTCACTGGTTAAATAAAATTAAAGATTTTTTTCAAAAAAGTAATTTTAAAAATTCTAAAATATGAATTAGCAATATTTTAAACAATATTTTTAAAATTTCAACGATTATAAATTTATTTTATTTTTCTTCGTCGGTTTTGGTTGTAGTTGTGGTATTGACTCTATCTACGATATACGTCCTACGAAAGTGTATGCGTCGCAAATTTTTTTTTCAGTCCATATTTTGTCAATATTCTAGATTGAAGTCTATACAAATCCTCTATAATTATAAATTTAAAAACGTTATAAAGTAAAATTTTTTAAAATAATAAATATATTAAAAATGAAATTTATAGTTTTGAAACTTTGATATAAGACAATTTTAAAGAAAATGTAAAAATAAATAAAAAACAATTGACGAAAAAATAAATGATAAGAATTATTTAATATTTTTGAAGAAAAATTTTTATTAACTCATTAGAATGAAATAAATATGTATGCTTGGATATAAAATTGAATTGTTAAACAAAAAGTAAAGGAAATCAACAAGTTTTGTTAGAAAGAATTAATTCAATTGGCAATAAAATAAAAATGTTGGAAATTTTAGAAGTCAAGAACTCAAATTTTTTCCATTTTTTGCGTCGCAGGTGGTTGAAGATTAAGAAGAATATAGAGGGATTTAAGATTTAATTGGCAGGGATAATGCGAGATTTGAGGGTTAATTTACTCATATCACTTTAAATCCTCTTAATAAAACATCCAATTTCCGAATCCCACTTATCACGCTAACGATATCCATTTAAATCCCATTAATCACTGAAAATCTACCGATATCCCTCTAAATCCTCAGATATTCCTCCAAATTCATCTGAATCCATGCAACCCAAAAAGAAATTAGACATAACTTGAAGACTTCCCAAGTTATACTGTATCGACACAAACATTATCAAGATTGCATAAAATTTTGCGCCACAGCTATTGGAAATATGAAAAATAACATGTAGAACAAAGATTTCAGAAACACAGAGATGTTCGTAGATTAGTTAAATATATCTACCAAATTTCGACTTTTGAAACGACGTATAACTCAAACTTTTCATTAAATATCTGTTTCTTAGGGATTTTTATTTCCACGTTGTTTACAGCCACAAGCATTACATAAATGAAATCCAACTTTTGAATGACGGCGCCAGCGTGTTGTCTGTGTAACTCCGCAAGTATAACATTTACGATTGTTCATAGATGGCTGAAACAAAAGTATTTTATTCGTACCTTCATCGCCTCAGGCGAAAATTTTTGTGATTACTTACTTTTAAAGGGCCTCAGAAAACTGCTTGTACAATTTTCCTAATGATAGAGACAAACCTTTTTAGCTTTAGACAACAAATTTAATTGTCTACAACTTCCAGTCCTTCGATTATAATCGCCACAAACTTGACACAAATAATATTCTTTTAAGAATTTAAACCAATGTGTGCCTTGGTTAAATCCACAATAGAAACAATGTCGTTTGTTTCCTTCAACAATTTCGCCTATAATTAAG